CTTAGGGTTACAATGTGGCTACAGAGGGAAGAGTTTTGCGCCTCAATTGAAAGATGCCACTCAGTTGCATTGTGGGAAATGTAGGAAGCTTTTTAGCGTCAATGGCTTTGAGGATAATGCTGTTGTCTCTGTCCAATATAAATGTCCAAAACAATTATCAAGCAATATGTTTTTGACATATTCAATTTCACATTGACCTTCGTTTTATTTTATTTTACAATCACATACTAGTTTATTTAAAGCTAGTAGCACTTATTGGAAGAGCGAAGCTTGAATAAGTATTCTGGATGCGTCGTATAAATCTCCTTGTGGTGGGCTGAAAACATTGAGATAGAATATTAAACAGTAATATATATTCAGCCAAAACTGAACCAGGGGAAAGTCACTGTGGTATCTATCTATAACAAACACCTTTGAACCATTCAACGCCCCACATTGTGAAAGAAATGGAACAAAACAATAAATAGACGGACTGTGAGTCACCAGTCGGTTTCAGAACATTGGACATGAATGCTGATTTACGTGTCCTGTTATATTTGTTATCGGCATAATGAAAATCGTGCAACTCGGCGAAACACGGCCAGCGCTCACACCTCGCCGCACCCCGTGGAAATGTGAAGAAATGAAGACGTACTGTTCACTCTGCAGAGCGGTGCTGTACAGAGAGGAAGAAAAGATGACATTGCTGCAGAGGTGGAGGGATGGAAACACCGGTGATGCATCCAGGTGGAATCCAGACTTTGGGCTTAAACAGTTGAACGTAATGAGCACACAAAAAGGCTGCTGTAAAATAAATGATATATATAAATCCTTTTCTCACCTGTTTCCGCTTATCTGGCCCATTCTGGCCTCAGACTCACTGTAACGTGTCACTTCAAACAAGGCCGCCCTGGAGCCTCTATTCAAAATGAAACTAAACATTTGTGACCTTTACTTAAAGATTCATAGATTACTTTAATATGTATATTCACCGGCTGGAACCAATGGCTTTGATGCCGTTAACTGTGCCGTTGTGCGAGTTTGACATGAAACTATTTATGATACATATTCTTGGTTCAGAAAAGCCGGTATTCTACGTAACCCGTAGTCAGAAAAATCATGTTATTTGGCTGCTTGAGGTGGTTATAAATTAAAGTCCTGAAAGATTTGCGCTTAGTGTGGAACAGATTCATGGCGCCTGCATGAAAAAGGAAAGTTCATCATCTTCGGCAAACTTCATAGACGGCCTGTTTGTGTTGTGCAGTCGTTGTACACTGATAATATTTCTGTGCTTTTAATTACTTTGGGTTTTGATCAATGCCACTCACGTTTCGCAATAGAGAGAACACATGTTTTTTCGTTCAGTGTGACTTTTATGCTTGTATTGTAGTGTTTCCCATGAACCAATCCCTTCAACACATACACACACACACAAATTGTTCATTGAGTGAGTGCGTGTGTGAGTGTGGGGTGACAGAATGCCTTAATTATGGATTAATTGTGTCATTAGCAGGTTTCTGCTGTTGCCACCACATTGGGCCTGTCAAGGTTAATTACTGGAACACGTTTATTTGCTGTCAGGCACGGCCGCAAGCTGTCACTTCCATGGAAACACAGACAAACACACACACACACACACACACACACACGCACACACACACACACACACGCACACACGCACACGCGTAATGACGCTGTTCCCTCAAACAATTCACAGGGCACCTTGTGTACCTGCATCCAATCCTCCTTTGGCAGTAGAAATCAGTATAGCTTTATTTATTTTTATTAATGTATGTCACTTTTCATTGTTGTGTACCAAAGATAATGGTAGTTGATTTTATGGTATAATTCAAATGGATTTTTGTGTCTGAGGTCTATTTGTTGGGGAAACAGTTATGGGTTAATATTAAATATAACATATGAAATACTAAGCCACTGTAACAGCAACACAACCGAATGTGAGACCCACGAAGGCATTTACAATATAACAGGAGTCTCAAAGGTCACACATTTTCACACAAGCTATTTAAGTTTATTTAAAAGAAAAGTATCTATTGTGTGTGTGTGTCACAAAATACACAAATGACTGGCTTTCGTGGTGGAAAAGCAAACACTTATTTACGTTTAGAAAATGTAATTGAACAATATCAGTAGTTGCACATTTTTTGTTGGATTGATGTTATACACATTTATTCTGATTATTATTATATCTTCAGGTGTTTATTTATTGAGATGAAAGACTAAATGTTGAACATTGGCTTATTAAATAGTAAAGTAAAATAGATGATCTTCAATTATCACCACCTCTCAGGGGCCAATGACATCCATGACAATACCAGTACGATGTAGAACTTGTTGTATTTTGTCCAGTCAAGTGTTCCATAAAATGAGTAATTAGTCAAACGTATAAAGAATGAACGCAGTGTGGAATACTAACATTAGCTTGCACTGAAACAGGCAGCTTAAAAACAGATACTAAACCAATGTAGGAGTCTAAGGGTTTAAGGACTTTGGCACAATTATTTTTTTTTTTTTAAACGTGAAAAGTACCTGAAAATACGAGAGAAGAAAGAACAGATGAACCAGAGTAAGCGGCAGCAGCAGAAAGCCGGCCCGGCGGCTTTGATCGATTTGAGCTGTGATCTCCTCACTGACTCCTGACATCTCTCTTTTTCTGTCTCTACCAGAGTCTGTCCATTAAGTCCCAGTCGCGCCCCGGCTGAGCAGCTGAGGAGACACAAAACATTTGTCAGCCTGTCAGCTCTTGCTGCCTGTTATTCCAGCCAGCCAGACTGCGAGGCCGAGTAGCTCTGCCTCCAGTCAACGGCCCACACAGCATCCGTTGCACCAAAGAGCGCCTAAAGGGAACGCACGAGAGTATGGAAGGCGAGTCGAAGACACTGATAAACAGTTCGGTCACTTTGACCACGTTGACATCCTGACTGGTGGTCTGAGGGACTCTGGTGCACAGCAGCCATGTGCTCCACCTGCTCCACCCAGCGGCGCGCAGCAAACGTGGACGGAGGTCGCCATCTAGGGCACAAACCGGCAATCACACGTGAGCCGGCAAAGGCGGCAGCAGCTTTTCTCTTTGATAGCTGAAAGAAACCAGGAAATAGCACAATAGAGTGAGCGTACCCTTCATATGGGGTTCTACCTGGTCCACTTACACCAAGAGGACAGAACGTATGTTAATATACTACATGATCGCTCGGTGAAATGAGTTAGTTTAGTATTTGGCCTGAATATAAACCCTGCGTTGACCTGGTAGGGGTTGTGACCTCTCGTTTTTTAAGTGTCATTTGATGGGGTTTTGCGCTTTAAAGAGATTTAAAATCATAGGATAAAAGAGGAATTTGATTTTTTCATAATCAGAGGCCTAAAGCATAGATTTGTAAAAAGGAGTCCTAGAACAATATTACATGACCGATGTAGACTATTATAAAATCATGGTTTGGAATGCCATTTAAAATAAATATTTGCATTTTGATGAAAAAGTCAAAAGTATTTCAGTGTGTAGTTGGTCACTAATGGTCAGTCTGGATCCAGACCCTACAACATTACATTTGACGCAGCGCTTCCATTTTAACCGGGAAAATGTTTTCCCGGCCTTTACAGCGCTCATTCAACGGGGCACGAGACGTACCAACCCTCATATCACGTGATGCTCCTCAGCCAATCAGGTACATGCATTTGGGATCATTTCAAACCTGAATCAAACGTTAATTGAAGCACAACCTTCCCACACACACACACACACACACACACGTTTTTTAAGTCTTCATCAAATGTTTCCGTGAAGAACACGTCCATTAGAAAAAGAAAAACAAACAAGGTGGTTTATGTGCATTAGCATTTTTAATTGGACAAAGCAAGAAAACATTGATTACAGTAGCAGAGTCATCGGTTGTCACGGCCAACACCTTCCGAAACAAAAAGGGTCTGGAAACGGCTGTAGGCACTGGCCAATTAAAAAGTATCTCGTCAGCTAAAAGAAACCAGCTCTATAAGGCAACAGTTAAAGTGTAGGCCTCCTCAATTCTCTGGCAAAAAGAGCAAGTGTAAAGGTTGAATCCACTCATTTTGTTTTATATAAAATACTGGCGTTTCAATAGATATTTAAAAACCATCATAAGTGTCCGACATGTTCATCCTTTTAACATTTTAAGTTGTCACAGCATGGCGATGCCGTTTTATCCCTGCATGGAAGAATTGTGTGTTCCACTGTGCCAGTGTCACATTAGATAGTGCCGCTGCGCCCAATGTTGGGAGTCAACTGTCAAGTTATCAAAAAAAAAAAAAAAAGAAAGCAAGCACCCACAGTTAACAGTAGCATTTTACTTACATTGTTTCAAATGAGTTAATGGTTATTTACATGTGGCAAAAGGCTGTCCGAAAGATATGAAGGAGAAATGGAACGCAAAAGAAGAAAAAAACAAAACTCTTGAAGTCAAATTTGTCCCAAGTACAAGAGAGGAAAAAACTGTGCAATGTTTGTCCTTACAGAGAAACAGCAGTGGCAACGATCCCTGCAATTTATTTTTAATCCAAAAAAAAGAACAAATTAAACATTTGATTTCCATTCCTCAAAATAACTAACTTTCATAACTTAGCACGACTCAGACTCCGAAAAGAAAAAACCTCTGGGCTGTCTGGGAGGACAGATGTGAAAATGGAAGCAATTTGTAAAACACGAAGGAAAAAAAAAAAAAAATCCCCAAAGTTCCTCCTGTACAGTTTTATACTCATTTACAGTTAACTTAAAATAGTAAGAGCTCTGGTCCACGGCCAGTCCTCCCACAAAGGGTGTAAATACCTGTGTGGGTCAAATCGCTCCTCCCTGGTTCCCTTTACCCCCCCCCCCCTCCCCTGCCCCCCCCCCTTGAAATTGGGAGGTAAACCTTCCATTTAGGTTCCAACTCCCGGAAAAAGTTTTTCCCCGGCCACAAGGGGAGGGGGGTTAAACCAGCCCCGGGGGGAACCGTAACCCCAATAACGAGTGGGAGGTTCTTTATCTCACCCCCGACACCGCTGCCCACCTATCAGTGTGTGGGGTATCCTGCAGCTCCCATACCCGGCTGGTTGGCTAGCATACTCCCATTCAATCCCTGTGTGGGCTCCATAACCCCACCGTTACTGATGGCGCTCATGCCAGTCCACCCAGCACTGGCCGGTAAGTGACTGCAAAAAACGAGGTAAAGAGAGAGAGGGAGAAATAGAGGAGGGAGGGAGGGAGGGAGGAAAGGGGGGGGGGGGGGGGGGGCAGAAAGACAAAATGCCAGCAGGTTAGAGGAGACAAGGCGAAAGGGAGCCAAAAGGATTTATATTAGAGCTACTAGAATCTGGACAGGCTAGAACGAGAACAAGGAGGCAAAACAGAGTTATCTGAGTGTGAGGGTGAAGCAGGCTGGGCAAAAATAAAAGACAAGCAAGCAAAAATTAAAAAAGAAAAGAAAGATGGAGGGTTCTTTGGAGGAGCCAAAATGTAAAAGTCATTAGATTAAATATGGGTGGACAAGCAGACAGAGCCCAGAGGCGAAGCAAGCTAAAGATGACTTTTACACCCCCCCGTTGCAACATAAGATAAAGTATTTACAAGAAGTGAAGAAGAAGTGTATTCTTTCCCGAAACACTTTCTATTTAAACACTCGTGATTCATCTGATCTAATTCCTAAGTTCAGTGTGGAGATAACGGCTCATCCCAGATGAAACTTCAAGTGAAGAGGCCTCGGCTCCCTTTCTGGTATTTACTGAACGTTCAACAGTCAAACACACTCGCATGGCTTTCGTTACCTAACACCTTTGTACAGAGCCTATTTATACAGCTGGTCTCCAAGAACTTTAGACTGTCAACAACGTATGGCCTCTCCTTTATTTTTCTTCGGTGCACAAAATGTCACTGCACATAGACTGCCTAAATAAAAACAAAGTTTGATAACCTACAAAAGATATTCAACATGTCCGGCCGACATTCACATACAGATCAGATCCTCGGATTTTTGTAGAAATAGAGCAATGAAAATCGAAAAAAAAGGAAAAAATAATGTTAAAATCTATAGGACATGAATGTAGACAAACAAAAACAACTGAACAGCCTTGAAGAACACATTCTTTACACACAGTAGGCAATCGTACAAAACGGGAAAGGAATTCTTCAACATCAAACCATCCTCAAACTTTTGTTCTGGGCTGTAAGCGTTCATCTCGTTCGCTCACTTAACCGGTTTAAATGTGTCGAAAATTCAAGAAATAGGCTTTGAGATAGTTTAAGGCAGTTTTTGTTACAATCCTTTTTGGAACAGACTACAGTTTGAACTTTGATGCGCCACAATTCAAACACACGTTGGAACGACTGCGCTCTGCACAGGGAGCAGGCAGGACTGCAACATGATTAACAACAAATTAAAGTTCAGATAGTTCCGTGTGTGTGCGCGCACAAGTGTGTGTTTCTCTCTCAATCTTCTCGAGAGGAGTGAGGCGAGGGGGGGGGGGGCTGGCGGAGGACGAGGGGGTGTAGGGGGGGAGACACGATGTGGGGTTCGCGGAGGGAGGTCACGGCTCCCTCCCGTGGCCAGAGCTGGCTCTCGCTGCCCCGATGTGGAGGGGGGACTCTGGCGGCGCTGGAGTAGAAGGAGGCGGTGAAGGGGAGCCCTGTGCACAGCGTGCTACTTACTTGAAGCCCTGCTGGTTCCAGGCCTGGCCGTAGACATTGTAGGTGGGGACCTGCCACCCGTTGGGGACATACTGGCTGATCTGGGGCCCGTTGCCGTACCACTGGCCCCACTGGCCGTAGGGCTGGGCCGCCGCGGGGAAGCTCATCTTGTTCTGCTGTGAAGTACAAAAACGTTTGGTTTGAGACAGCGGTGACCCCCCCAAAAAGACACAGATGACGTTTTATCACATGACCTCCGTGTTTGGCGACGTGGGGATGGTTGCTACTGAATATGAATGAATGACGTTAGTAACAGAGACTCGGGACACACAGCACTGTCCCTTATGTCAGCTTGTGCTCACGTCGTCCAATGAGCTTTTAAAGGAACTGGCGGTTTACTTCACCCGACATGAACAGTGTGTGTGTGTGTGTGTGTGTGTGTCCCCTTACCTGGGGCAGAGGCATCTGCTGCATCGGGTTCATCATGTCTGGGGTCTCTTTACCCCAGTAGCATTTGACTATATGACCCTCTATTGAGGTGCCATTCACAGAGACAATGGCATGCGCTGCAGACTCATGGGAGTTAAACCTGGACAAACAGAGGGAGAAAGAGAGACCAAAGACACGCTGATTTCACAGATGTGTGCTTCCAGAAGCTGCAATCCTCCATTAAGAGTGTGTAGGACCCCGGGCTGATGAGGACCAAGATCAACAGCTTGTGCACCACACTTTGACTTGAAAGTAAATATGAAACGTCCACATACCTCACGAACGAATAGCCTTTGTCTGGGAAAACTCGGATTTCCATGATTTGTCCAAAGGGAGAGAAAGTCTGTCTCATCAGTTGCTCTGAAAGCCAGAACACAAAATGCTTAGATTAGATTTTAAATTAAAATTCACAGGCCGGTCACGATTTTGCTGATGACCCAACAGAGCTTTGGAATGACCCCTCTGAGCAGAATTAAGTTACGCATTTATTGTTCGACCGTCGCTTAGCACAGGCGTTACTTTACCTTTTCCTAATCATAAAATCCCTTGAAAAGCCTAAAAGGTTTTAGAGTGATTACGTCATCAGATGCGACGACATTCAAAGACCTCAAAAGGAAACTTCAAACCTCATTGGGAAAAAATGTGGAATGGTTAAAAAAAAAAAAAAAAGGAAAGAAAAGAAAAGAAAAAAATGAATCAACTAAGAACAGCCTCGCTTTTAGCGCGATGTTCACTGGCATTTACAACCATTAGCATCCAATTAGCCGTTTAATGAATTGAATCTACCCGATCCTCCCACTGTCACCATTGTAGTAGTGGTACTACTAATATAATCCATTACCTGTAAGTCCTGTGCTGACTCCGCCACAATACACAGTGCAGTTACTTGGGCTGGACTGACTCACTACCTCGTCAAAGGAAAGGTGCTTGGAGTTACCTGCCGGGGGGGGGGGGGGGACACATTTCTACTGTTAATACATGAATCTGACATCCTGTAGAAACAAGAAAAAAACTGAAAAATAACCGTGACTACGCACTTTCATAGGTGGTCTTTGGAGCGGGGGGCTTTCTTGTAGCCCAGTTAGTTCGAATCTGTCTGCCTCCTAACCACTGACCACCCATCTGCTGAATGGCGTTCTCTGCGTCCTGGAGAAAGGGGGGGGAAAGCGGCCTGTTAATGCATCCAGCCGGCGTCTAGTAAAAAGGTAAATCTAGCACGCATCCCTTTGGAAAAGCATTGGCTGGATAACAAGAGATAAATGGTTTGTTTTGGGGCAGGTTTAATGTAAATAATATATAGTCAGCAATAGGGGCGGAATAAGCGGTATGTTGCAGTAAGGTGTATAATGTCCTCAGCCAGGTCCCTGTACCAACCCATTTGTTGAAGAATGACACAAAGCCATAGCCTTTAGATTTCCCTGTAGCCATATCTTTCACAACGCGAGCATCTCTGTGGAAGAACACATCAGCAGGAGCATGTTAAAAGCGTGTAGGACAACACCATGTTTAACAGAAATAAACATCTGAATCCAATAGTGGATTAACCTCAAAAGTAAAACAAGTCTTCAAAAGCTCTTAAACCGGAATTACACTCGTCTTTCTTTTTACAGTAGGTAAAGTAATAACACTTCCTGTTCTTTTGCTTTCGTCAGTAAATCCCGATACTTACGATATCCGGCCAAATGGACCAAAGGCAGCTTTGACGTCTTCTGTAGTTATTTCTGGGCTGAGGTCTCCAACGAAGACGTGGAAGTGATCTATGGGAGACACCGTTTAGACCCGGAGCGCATTACAAGAAACAATCTAGTTGAAGCCGTGAAACTTTTTCCAATAATCACTTAAAATGACTTAGAAATATGTAAGTATTTATACAATAAAGATCTTTCCTCGATTATTAATGTTAACAACTCATTCAAAAGGACTTAACATTTAGAGCACTAGGATTCACAGAAATATGGATTTGCTTGTTCTACAACTGTGTTGAATGCACTTATTGTAAGTCGCTTTGGATAAAAGCGTCAGCTAAATGACATGTAATGTAATGTAATGTGTTGGATCACATCCGTAGACCTAAAGAGAGTAGTTTTGTTACATGTCATTAACTGCTGTTCATAAAATTCAGCAACACTGTACTTACTACTTGTGTCTTTTTTCTGGCTGGTTGGCGTCGTGGCCCAGTTGACTTTGACCTCCTGCAGACGGGGCAGAGAAAGAGCAGGCGGGTTATGTTTACATCACTTGGATTAAGACCTGGGTTTTATAAGTTAGGTTCTCCACAGATTTAAAAGTAAAATCTACTTAGAATATTTAATTTGATTTAATGGGATATGGTGCCTTATCTTGTGTGTATCTAGTGACAAGAAAATGAATCATGTATCAAATCTTTTAACAGAAAATAATACCAAGATGTGATACTAGAGCAGTATTGTTTTGATGTTGAAACACCAGAATTAGAGGCAGAAGCCAACAACAAATGTAGACCTCTCACTCTGGGTGCTGGCTAACTTCAGCAGTGTATGTCTGCACCCAATCCATTATTCTTTTGATCTAATATTTATAATGCAACAGGAAATGTTAGTTTAAGCCATTTTCCTACTGATACGTGGCGGTTTTAGTAAACAGAACAAAGATGGTTTTGCTTACTAAAGTGTTCCGCGGAGCGCCACTTCTAGCTTAAAGAGTTTAAAGTTAACTACATTTTGGGGTTTCACGTCTAAAACAGGAGCACTCTAAAACGGGACTGTGGGTGATGCTTTTAAACTACATACGACGTGTCAATGCACGTTACCCCGTGTGACGTGTTCTTCCAAAGAATAGCCTGAATAGCAGTAATTTAATTTTGCTGATTGAAAATTTTAATTATTTGCTCTATTGTTCTGGGTAACCTAATATTATCAAGATCTTTTTGTTTTGCCATATTTAAAAATGTACTTTATATGTTCGCAAAGACTTGGCTGATGTTGCAGCCGTGCCTTGTTTAACGAATCCCTTATTTAAAGCATGTGGATATATTTTTCATTTTCTCTTGCCAAACCTTATTTTGCTTAAAACACTAAAGCCAAAAGATAATGACATTCCTCTTAATCCAACACCACTGCTTCATATATTTTAAAAGATTCCATTTTAACCACCAGAGATAGCCGCCTGGCAGCAGCGATGCACTCGCACGCTTCAGATCAGATTTAGAGCGACTTCAGCAGCTTCACACTTAACAGAACTCTAATCTAATCTCTGGCTGGTTACTTGGAAGTAAATAATCAAACTAATCCATTGAATTAATGGGATATAAATACAAGCACTCAACCAGCATTTTTTTCTAAATTTTATTTGGAAGGCATACAAGCGTGTAGTAGTAGTAGTAGCGAGTCCCCAAACCCAAAGCCCGCCCGACCGCACTCACCCTGTAGACACGATAGCTTACCTTACCCATTATTTTCCTTCCATTCATGGCTGCCAATGAGGCAGCAGCATGCCTGTGGTCATAGAACTCCACAAAGCAGTACGGATCATTTCCAGCCGTCTGTCAATGGGAAAACCAGACGGATATGATCCACAGCAAGGGGGACAATTTAACCACTGCAGAGCCACCCAGCGAAGGAGCTGATATCAATCAATATCACACACACACATGTGCCGATCGTGAGTTTTGGGCTGATATCATTGACTGGAGGACACGTGCAGATTGTGACTTTCGCAAGCATCACCACAACATATGGGGCTACTGTTGATGCCATTTCCTAGGGTGAATATACACCAGAGAGGGTAACACTCACATCGACTATCATTTTACAACTCTTGCAGGGTCCTATCTGGGTGAAGACCTGTAGAATGAGGGCTCGGTACATCCTGGACAGATTCCCCACAACTGCAACAAGAGAGGAATATGAAGGGGGTGGGGGGGGGTGAGAATTGAGTCTTGTCGAACAGAGTAGCATGCAAACAAAGGCTAGTAACCGAGCTAGCTACACCCACAACAATTCCTTAAATTAACATCAACGCAATGGTAGTGAACTAAATATAAACTGGGTATGGTCTCGATTTCACACGGACCACCAGAGTACGACCAGTCCAACAGGAGCCGTCCCGGGCCGTCTACCAGAGCGTTGACGTGGCTCGTCTGCCATCGGCTAACTAGCTAAAGATGCCGCTAGCCGGTTCATAAGGGCCTCATGCTAGGTGGCTTGGCAACAAGCGGCACTGAAATATTATCCACTCCGCGAGGGTCTGGCTCACGCCGGCCTGCGGCTGATAAAACAACGAATGTTGTAGGGAGTAAATATATCGTACAGTAAAACAAAGGCTGCGTTTTAAAACTAAGAAGGCGGCTAGCTGCGTTGGCATCATTGGCTAATGGTGACTAGCATTAGCTAGCCATTCAGTTTCATTTTCAGGCAAGTTGCGGTTCCGTCTATGTATACAACTATAACAGAACTTCACGTTAAAACAAAAACAACCCAACACGTGTGCCGTATTCACAAACGGTGCCCGTTTTCCACATGCTGCGATAACAGTGAGCAAATGTTAATTTGTGTTACAAAATGAGCGGGTTTTACAGTTTTAAAATTGAAACAACAACGTGGAAACATTTCGGGACGCGCCGTAGTCACACGGAGCCTTGCCTTTCCAGGACATAGACAGCGCCGCGGTTACTCACAAGGTTCTGGGTTGATCGTCCTCCATCATCGCGGTTGAGTGGTCGCGTCCTGAGAGCCCTTTAATCCAATGACATAAAAAGGGTTTGTGCCGAACTCGGGCGACCGTTGAACGTAAATGGTGTAGCTACGATTTAATGATAAATCGGTGGCCGATTCCGCTCTCGCACACACCGCAGACAGCCTGGGTCTGATGCAAACAATAGGAAGTTGAAGATGGCGGAGGAACGGCGTCAGCAGCGTCAACCTGCGCGCTGAAAGGAAGCCAAAAATCAAGAGCTCCGTCTCCCAAACACAAAGATGTGCCTGTATATTTTTATGGCCTGAGCTGCAAAAACCCGGCTATTTTTCCATAGCAACATAGAATAATGTATCGCAATAGCGTAATTGAGGCCATAGCTTTATTTTATAGCTTGATCGTTAAAGGAATTACAACTGCAAACATCTGGGGGGAAAACACCTTTAACCCAGCAAGTTGAGCTACCGTGTTATGTGGGCAGGTTTGAGAGTTATTTGCTGCAGTTCATCAATCAATGGTGCGACATTCTTTAATTAGATTTTTCCAAATTAAGTTTTCTAAAACAAAACACGTGCGCCGCCCGGGAATCGAACCCGGGTCGCAAGAATGGGAATCTTGCATGATACCACTACACCAGCGGCGCAGATGGTGGAAAGCGGGAGATACCCAATTATCAATCTAAAACAGACGTACGTTGTGAAACATGATTACGCAACATTGACACGTGAATCAAATTCGATGGTTATGAATAATTATGTTATGTTCTAAAAAATAGAATAATGTTCTAGAATATGTACAAGATTTCCATTTACAAATATACATCAAGAAATGCTGCATGTTGAAATCCCCACCCTGTACAGAGATGTATTTATGACACTGCATACTTATGAATAATTATAATTATAACCATGCGCTTTCATACGAAAATGATATTAACCAGGACATTATTCATAAGTATGCAGTGTCATAACTACATCTCTGTCGTTTATAGCAAACCAACCCGTTTAAAACTCGGTTGAAAATTGAGCAAGTTATTAGTATTTAAAGTACATGTACCACAACACAATGTTATGGATGAGCGAGGTGCCCGCACCAAGATGGCCGCCATATGCGGACGTTCCTCCGCCGTAAGACATCTAGCCTTTATATATGTATGTATATGCTCCAACCCCCGCCTCCGCGTGCAGGATAAGCGGTTTGAAGAGGGATGGGTGGATGGATGCCCTGCAGCGCCTCCCAGAGGGGCGGAGGCGGGGCAGTTTGTGTGAAGGGTCTACGATATTAATGCATAATCAATAAAAGTAACATTAATGCAATTCTTTTCGTTGTGTATTTAGGGAACCTCGCAGAATCACAGGGGGCAGAATGCATGCGATAAAACACAATGCTTCGACTGTGGTTCCAAGGGAGGACTACAGAGCAGCTGTGCCTAGTACGCCGTAAAGGAAACGAAGAAGAAAAAGAAGAATCAGCACCTATGTCACCAATGCCCCGGTGCTGCACCGGTTTTGACACTAGAAGAAGAGAAGCACTCTCACACGGAAGAATCATGGCTTCGCCTGCCGGTTGCGAGCATTATGAACGCAGCTGCTTGTTGAAAGTGAGTTACATTTTTTATAAACGCATTGCATGTATTTGCATATAAACGCCTTACGTTGACCCCGCTATAAAGAAACGTGCTACTATGTAGCTCTAGTAGAAACCACTCACAGCTAACCTACCTAGCCACCTAACGTCAGCTAACGTTACTTCACGTTAGTTAACGTTGAACTCGTGTGGTGGCGCAGCAACTGAATGGTTATGCGATTAGATCGTCTCGTATGTGTATTAAGTTATATGTTAGCTAAATACGATTACGATTTGTTGTTTTTTTAATGCATTTTAGGCACCTTGCTGTGGTAAACTGTACGTGTGTCGGCTGTGCCACGATGCAAAGGAGAACCACGAGATGGACAGATTCAAAGTCACGGAGGTGCAGTGCTCTGAGTGTCAGACGGTGCAGCAGGTAACTGAGCACAACAACAACAACAACGGCAGCTGGCATGCTTCAACTCTATTGTCAGCTGTAGCAGTACTAAGTGTTCTTTTATGCAGTGGACAACTTGCATCAAGAAAATGTAAAATGGTACAAATTAAAGATGTTCCTCTTGTAGGCACAGCAGACTTGCCAGCAGTGTCATGCACAGTTTGGAGAGTATTACTGTGACATCTGCCACTTGTTCGACAAGGATAAGAAGCAGTACCACTGTCAGCCCTGTGGAATATGCAGGTGAGAGCGACAGAATACAGTTTAAACATCTTGACTACTTGTCACTCATTTTATTTCGATTATAGCCTAGACACAAAACACTATCAGTCACATGGTCATTTGGGGGAGTAAATGTGCATGTGTCTCAAGGAGAAAACCTTCTTAAAGTCACAAAGACAAAGAGGGATCACGAAAGATTTGATTCGCGTCGCTAAATAAATTCGCTGAATTCCCCCCATTTGTTTATTTGAGGTTCAGGTCAATTCATCACAGAATATTAAAGGCTAGCGTACATGATACATGATTGTTTAACTGATGATAGGAAAAATTAAGGGCTTGTTAATCAGCCTATTGTTATTATTTGATATCATTAATGAGAATAAAATATTTGTGTTTTATGTTTTCAGTAAGACGCGTTAAATGAAGTTGTAATGTATAAAAGGTATATCTCTGTGAAAGGGCTGGTTTACCTGCCATACTACTGAATGCATTTCGTGTTGTCAGTCATTGTCATGTCACAGGCCATTCATGCAGGAGGTAATAGTGATCTGGGTCAGTGACATTGTGTCTGGACCCCAAACAGGATTGGGCCCCGGGAGGAGTATTTCCATTGTGTGAAGTGCAACCTGTGTTTAACTGAGGCTCTGCGGGGAAACCACAAGGTGATTATTAGCGTGCACCGGTTTATGATGCAAACATAAATCCGCTGTATTCTATGCGATGAGCAAATGAGTGTCCACGTTGCGGTTGTTTATATATTCTCTCCTATGTTTCAGTGCGTTGAAAATGTTTCAAGGCAGAACTGCCCAGTGTGTATGGAGGTAATGAAAATAGAATCAACGACAGGGCTGTTGATTTCTTTGTTTTTCCTGCATCCATTAAATTCTCCATTGTGTGTTGTCTAAACAGGATATTCACACGTCCAGAATTGGTGCTCACGTTCTTCCATGCGGCCATCTTCTACACAAGTAGGAGTCGTTCTTTAATTATTATTGGCTCTGATGTCAGATTTAATTCTCTATTTTTGGCTGTTTGTTTCATCACCATTTTTGATTACACTTTGTGGCATTTGACAGATGGCTTTCTCTATAGATTGATTACTCTAATCTACTACTTTTTAAAATAAGTCATATCTGGAAATCACAAATAGAAAACTGATCAAATTATAAAATTAATTGGAAATTTAAAGTATTGTAGAGGAAAAAAAAATTATTTTCTGAAAAATGACTTCTCTTCCTTAGTAATCATAGTTGAGGATTTGTTCTGATATAAAGTGAGTGATTAACTTTTGTTTTTTTTACATTCTCTGCAGAACCTGCTTTCGTGACATGATCAAAATGGGGTATGTTTAATCATTTCATTTTCCTATCTCTTCCATAGTCCAGTAAAATACTCATGTTCATTTATAATTTTTGCGTGAACATTTTGTGCATTGCTAGATTAAGTCTTGCATCATTGTTTTTCAGGCATTTATGTGTCCTGTTATTTAATGATCCCATCCAAAGCCTGACTGAAACAAACTCAGTGTTCACCAATGAACATTTGACTATTTGTTGGATTCAGACACACTGAGGCTGTGAGGAAAAGCTGATCTCTGACCTGCTGCATGTGTGTGTAGATCCACAGTGCCGCATGGAGAGAGAGTTCTCCCTAAATACGATTTTTGTTGTCATTGATTTCAGAGCGTATCGCTGTCCTTTGTGTATGCACTCTGCCTGCGAAATGGAGGAGTACTGGGATCAGATCGACATAGAGATTTCCATGTCACCAATGCCTCATGAATACTCGGGTGCCACTGTCAAAGTAAGACTTCAGTAATGGTACAAAATTAACTTTTCAAATTAGGTCAATTTCATTCACTCCAGCTTGTACAAATCAATAGAAATACTTTTAAAAACATTTGACCTAATATTTTTCCCTTTATTATAGATTATATGTAATGACTGCCAAACCCACTGCACGGTGCCTTTCCATGTGTTGGGCATGAAGTGCAGTGGCTGTGGCTCCTACAACACTGCACAGGATGGAGGACTCATCCAGCAACAACCACCACCACAGCAGCAGGACGCTGAGAATGAGACCGAGGCAGAGCAGCAGGACGCTGAGAATGAGGCAGAAACCGAGTCAGAGCAGCAGGACGCTGAGAATGAGGCAGAAACGGAGTCAGAGCGGACAGATGAACCTCGGTCGCCTGCGGCAGATTAAAAACCAACGTTTGTACTTTAGACATTCAGCTTGTTCACTGACTCAAAATGAGTAACAATTGACCAAGCGGATATTCAGATTGTACATATGTAAAAACTTTTGGTTCATCATTCTCAGGGCACTAGGTTATCTGTGCTTGACAAAGTCACAGAATTCACTTACAGGCAGTCTGACCGGAGCCACTGTGTGGCACCATGATAAAAATAAAGGATTGTTTTCATAAGTTCAGGGACAGTGTTCTATGTACATCCTATTTTAATGTTCAAGATAGTGACACAGGTGTAAGCTTAACTATATTTACCTTTGAAAGTTTCAGACCCAAATAGAAATCTGATGTTATGTTCGCTCAAACTGGCAGCATGGCAATGTGTAGTTGCATCTAATTGAAATAAAATGGAATGTGTAATTCACTCTAAATGTATCCATGTAAATATTTAGAATTTTTTTAAAGTTACTTTGATGCAGACAGTTAATGTTTGGAATAATGCAGTTGTCTAAGACTGACCGTTGAAGGACATGTTAAATGGAAGTAAGAGCAAAGTACCACCCATGTACATAAGAACTTAGGCTCACAGGCACCTTAGTGGCTCAGGGGTCATGAACTGGAAGCCTGGAAGACCAGTCATAGCCATTATATACCAGATCTCAAATACAGACTTACAGTAACTAGTAATAGTTTACAAATTCACTTAAATTTCTGAGCAATACATTGCGTTTAAGACCGAACTTTAATTTTGAGTCCAAGTCTAAGAGTAAATGTAAATTTGTGGTTGGTATGTGTCAGTAAAATAAACCAAGTTAATATTGTTTGGTATATCAGTTTAGTTCCACTATAAAATAAGTGTTAATTCATGCCACTTCTAAGTATTTTAAAATAGTAAATGTAGGGTGAAAAGGCATAACATGTTTGTAGTTCAGTTGAATAAAATTGTAATCTGTAAAATAGGTATAATGTCATGTACTAAACCCAACCGTCAGCTATCCTGAGGCTGCACTTTGGCAGGAGGATTTACAGCAGTAAGTAAATACTCACTTTTTTCTCAAGTGCAATATTCAACATTAAGTCTAGCTAAATCAACGTGACGTCAGTCAGACCATCAATGTTGACTGACTAAAACAATGTTAAGGAAACCCAAAGGAAACCGTTCAAAATATAAATGTTTATTTAAAAACTTTGCCCAGGAATTAACCTCAGCCCACAAGGGATACAGCTTCCTGCAAAGAGAAGGAAAAGTCACTCCACAAGTACAGTAACAAACTGAGACCCTCTTTCATGGAGGTGAACTGACGTGAACCTCTGGTTTGTTGGCGTCTGCTGGGGAAGAGTCGGTGCTCGCGGGAGCCTCAGCTTTGTTCACCAGATTCTTCATAGTAGTTTCGTTCCCCTCTGCCGTGCTTCCGCTCCTGCAGAAAAGAAAACGTAGACCCACACATAAGATCCACATAAACCCTCAATTAAATTCCTATTTGCTTTTAGTCCCTTATGTGGAACCACACACAATTCCAAATATTTGGTAGATTTCTAAAAGTTTAAAATAAATCTCCATTCTCCACCTGGGACGAAGCATATAGTCATAAAACTTGCAAGGAGATTGTCTGCTTGCAGGTTAGACTCTTTAAAATGCTTGAGAAATTCTTCCACAAGAAACAAAATTAAACCATTATTCAGTTTCTTAACAGACAGACCTTGTATTGGCACGTCTCCGCTTCACCAGAACTGCCACCATGACAATGATTACCACTCCCGCACAGAGCCCCGCGCCACCGTAGATGATGGGCCCCTGCATGGCCTTGAGGATGTGGTCTTGACAGGATTCACCGCTGTAGGCCAGTGAACACACACACGCAGTGGATCCATCCGTTTCAACACAGCGCCCGTTGCCACTGCAGCGACTGTGGCTGCACTTCTGGGCGTCCAGGTTCTTGACCAGAACACTAACGCCAAGAGTGGAGTTAAGGCCCGTTACTTCGGAAAGATTTACAGCAGGCAGAGAAGACGGCGGAGGGGAGGAGCTGTGGGGCTGGGTGGGTGCAACCACCGCGACTCCTGTTGAAGGCTTCAGACCGGCACCTGAAATTACAAGGATTTGGAAAAGTAATGTTCTGTAATGACAGCATGTCCATTTTCTAGTTCTCATTGATCCAACACAGACTCACAGTTCTCATCTGAGTGGTCGTGGCAGTCAACGAGACCGTTACAGAACTTCTCAATCGCCTGGCATGAGAGTCGATCCAGACACTGCCTGCTGCCATCGGAGCAGTGCCGCGCCGGCCCACAGTGGGTGGCATTCAAGAGGATTTGGTCATGGGCACACCTGCATGTCCGTCCTGCTGGGGTTGCGAGGCACAAGTGGTGGCAGTTGCCATTGTTTTCTGAGCAGTGGTTAGAACCTGGGAAAAATACATAGCTTGACCTCAGTAAGCGCACGTTGAGGACACCAATAGCCATCAAAATTGAGGTGTGCGCGCGCTTCTTTCTCACCGGTCTGACTGGACTTGCTGAACGCTTTTAAGCTGATCACCTCGGTGTCAACTTCAAACCATAACTTGTGTTCCTTATGCTCATCTCTGTACCAGAGCCTTTTCTTGTCTGGAGGGGGGAAAAAAAGGTAGATGTTTAATTCCATTACAAGATGTTGGACCATCCAGTGTGATGGAATGTAGTTACTACAAGGTGTAGGATTTTAGACTATTTGGGATGTAGAAATCATTAATGTCTTGAGCTTTGTATTCTTGACGATAAAATTATGTTGAACAGCCAGACAAATACATCATGTCTGTGCACCTTACCACCAACAGTCATCCAGAGCAGAACCGAATCACTCAGCGCAATCGCAGCCAGGCCCTCACCGGCCTTCAACTCTCGGTATCCAGACTTGTCGAGCTTGACAGAGCCGATGGTCCCCAAACCTTGGCAAGAAGCAAAGCTACGTTACCGCTTTTCTAAAAGAACATTCACTTTAGACAGTCAAACCATACTGCACAAGTATGCAAACATTACATCCATTGAATCTTACCCTTGTCAGCCCAGTAAATGGTATCCCCGTTACTGGAGAAGACCAGAGATGTGGGGCGGACAGCATCCTGCCACACCACGCTCCTATTGGCCCCGTCCATGTCGGCACACTCTACAGTAGCCACCGTGTCTGCACCCTGCAGACGCACGTTGGTGTAACAGACTCGTCCAGTCGGCGGGTGGAGCGCGATGGACTCCAGTTTGCCAATACCTCCCTCTATGAGAACGGCGGTGTGCGCGCTGGGGATGGAGGTCACCTGCAGGCGATTCTGTTTGTTGCTGCTCCAGTAGACGTTGCCGGTCACCCAGTCCACGGCCATGGCGGTGATGGCGTTCCCCAGGAGTTTCAGAAGCGGGCCCTGAGAGGACAAGTCGGAGCCCTTCAGTTGGAAGGCGCTGAGGGAAGTTGTGCCGTCGTCAGTCACAAACAGCGTAAGGTCGCGCAGGCGGTAATCCATGATGGTGGCCTCGTTGATGCCAGGCACCTGCAGGGCCAGGTGTTCAGGCCAGCCCTGCAGGTCTGCTGCCGTGTGTCGGGACTCCAAGTAGATCTGTGGGTAACGCATTAATCAAGATATGTAGCTTTTCTTTAAATATTAAAATCAATATGGATGGTGTACACATTTGAATAAATCTAAAACCTTTGTGACCGTAGAGGGAGACAGCATCAGCAGGTAGGCTGAATTCACTATGGTGGAGCAAGCAAGACCATCCTCAGCCAGTATGAGACCAGCGGGACACTTGCACACAGCCTTGGGTCCCGGGGCGAACACACACATGTGGGAACAGCTGATCTTCTCACATGGGTTTTCAACACCCATCTGGAGGAATGGGTGGAGGACCTGCAAACCAAGAAGGGAACAGAGTAGCATGTTAACTTTCCTTGCACCTTAGTATTCATGCATAAAAATTACAACTAGGAAATGGTACCATTTCCCAAAACTTCAAACATGCAAAGTCTTTATTTTTCCCCACCTTGACACCAAAAGGTTGTCCAGGTCTTTTCAGAAGAACTTTGAGATTTTTGCCAGAATTTTTATGGGCAGCCAGTACCACTCGCTTCCTGGCATCAGCCCAGTAGAGCATGTCATTGAACACTGCCAGGGAGAACGGGTTGTTTGTTTCTTTCATCTGCAGAATCTGAAAATTACATTTAGACAAAATTATTAAAGCATTTTACTTCAGCAGGTAAAAAACAAGTGCTCCATGCGGGTGTGGGGGGGGTTACAATGAGGGCAGAATAAAAGCTTTACTGATAGATTTAGTAATGTTTTAGCATTGGAAATACCAGATATCCCCTTTCAAAAGCAGTTACCTGAATGTCATCTCCAGCCAGCGTTGCAGATCCAATCGCTCTCAGCCTTTCATCCGTCCAGTAGACCCGTTCAGAGATGGCATCCACGGCCACACCGCCCGGCCAGCCCAGACTGGAGTTCACCACGGCTATCCTCTGAGACCCGTCCATCCCGGCACGCTCTATCTTCGCTACATTACCGATCTCAGTCCAGAACATCAGCCTGGTAGAAACATTTAAACACTATGACCTTCTGATAACTAATGTCTGTAAAAAAAAATGAACGAAAGTCATGCGGACCCTTTTTGTGGCAGCAGTGCCAGAGAGCGCGGCTGATCCAGGTCTTCATCCAGGATAATGCTGTGGTCCACTGACTTCACGGTGCCTTTTCTCAGTCTGATTGCAACGATCTGGCTGTTCACGCCGTCGATCCAGTACATGTTCCTCCCGAGCCAGTCAACAGCAATAGAATCAGCTCGGACACCTGTTGAAACCAGCCATTACAGGACTTGATGAGCAGCCATCGTCACTACATGTAGATTCATCTACAATACTCGGCCGGGTTTTGTTGCACCGACCTTTAATTACAGTTCCGGTGGACTTTTGGTCCAGGGATGACCACCTGATGCCGTCAGTGTCCAGACTGACCCAAAATACCTTCTGGTCCCTCCAGTCATAGTCCAGGGAGAGGATTGCCTTCTCGGCAGACGACGACGGCAACATGTCGAGGCTACCGCTGCGCAGGCCGAACAAGAACAGGTTTGTTTGGATTGACAGCAACAGAAGGGGTTCGCCTGAGGGGAGAGGAGATTTTTTTTTAACTCATGGACAAAAGATTCAACTTCAAATAAATAGTCTAGCAAATAATGGAAATTTCTTGCAACAGAACCAGACAACCAATATCCATGTTTTAGATTTGCTGGCAGATTGATCATCCTGCTTCCAGTCATGGCAGCAGATCAATATTAAATGAAGTCATGAGTGGAATCTACCCTTTCGGTCGACAGGTCATGAAAAGTGCATTTCATGCCAAAAACTCCTTTGTCTCACTAAGGATGTGGTCTACCGAAAGACTTTACCGGTGATCTTGCAGTGGCGTCCAGCCGTCTCCATTATGTAGCCCGGGTGACAGTCACATTTGTATGAGCCTTGAGTGTTGATGCACAGCTGACTGCACATGCTGGGCCATCGGTCTTCACACTCATCAATATCGGCACAGGTCAGCCCATCCTCCATGAGCCTAAACCCTGCTGCACAGCGACAATGCTAGACCGCAAAACACATTAGTTAGGGGGTGTTACATTGCAATCCTTCCAGGAAAGCGTGTAAAGAATCTATCAAAAACATCTGGCTACATTTACAAAATTGTTTTGGAATAGATTGATTACTTAAATTTGGCTAATTTGACACAACATTGAAAATACAAGGTCCTCACCGGTCCCCGAGGTGTGTTGTAGCAGCCCTGAGAGCAGCGGCTGTCTGCTGCACATTTAATCTCGCAGCTGACCCCCTCGTCTGAGCCGTCTGCGCAGTCTGCATTGTGGTTGCACACGTGGATTTGATCCACGCAGTCCTGGCTGCCACACTGGAACTGGTGAGGGGGGCAGCTCACCATCCCACCTGTTTCAAGCACATTTGCATTAATACAGAATGTTCCAGGCATGCAGTATATTCTTAATGACTGTGTACTTTCTAATGAAGTGACAATGATGCAACCGTGGGAATTGGGAGCTATACATTGAACAAGAAATTCCCAGCTGGACATGTGCATTTGCAATGATTACCTCACGACGGAACTTGAACGTTAAGCTACTAGAATTGACATCTACTCACATTCAGTCTCGTCGCTGCCATCGTCACAGTCCTTTGTGCCATCACACCTCCAGGCTGCAGGGACACACTTTGTCTTGGATTTACACAACCACTGGAATTTGCCACAGTTCAGTGGCAGCTCAGGACAATCCTAAAGCACCAATAGATTACATCTAAATTAAAACATTCAAATTTAACTAATTGTAACAGAAAATCAGCGAGGAAACCAGTTTCACATTTTATACCTGGCTTTAAGGGACCAACCGCATCAATATGAACATCTTACTAGGCCTATTGTGTCAAAATCCCTTTACAGCTTTGTCTATATTGAAAAACTGTAAATAAAAATTGGGTCCAATACGTACTTTATCAACTTCCAGTACTGCACTCAACCTTTACCTTCTCATCTGTGCCATCTTTACAGTCCAGATCTCCGTCACAGAGCCACTCCTGCACCAGACACTCCTTGCTCTGCGGGCAGCTGTGTTTCGTGGTGCAAACTGGCGCGGTGGCGCAGTCATCCTCATCCGAGTGGTCCTGGCAGTCTGGGTGACCATCGCAGAACATAGTCGCCGACATACACTGGCCACTGACACACTGGAACTCAGTGGGGCTGCAGCCCATTTCCGCTGCAGATGGGGGGGGGGTGGAGAGGCCATCACTAAAGTCCCCACCCTCACAAGCAGAGCAGATTCCAGCATACATTCACGCCTTCCTTCTTCCATGACAACATACCACAGTTTGCCTCGTCGCTGAGGTCCACGCAATCCCTCTCCCCGTCACAGAGGAAGCTTTTGGGAATACAGTGGAGATTGTCGTCACACTGGTGGTCGCAGCCAGTCATCTGCTTGGCACAACTCAGTTCATCCGAGCGGTCCTGGCACTGAGGCACGCCGTCGCACACCTGGCCTTGCTCTATGCACTTCTTTCCATGGGCGCACTGGAACTGGTCTGCAGGAAACGTATGGCATACTCAGGATGATTGTACAACTATAGTTTAGTTTTGACATTGTGTAGTGCATTGCCAACAATGTCTTTGCACTTACAATAGCTTTTCAGACATTCAGCTCAGTTTACAATCAACTAGTGTGAAACTTTCAAATCTTTTCCTGGCACAAATCTCCTGTACAGTTTATTCCGAAGTGATCAAACATTACAGCAACATTTGTTGACCCCGTGTACAGGAGATACACCCACCAGATTACCTGTTTCACAAGACAATGCGCATTCTTCCTCATCAGAGCCATCCTTGCAGTCTGCTTCTCCGTCACAGAAATGGTTGTAGGGGACACATTGGAATTTGTTCTGGCAGGGTCTTGAGCCCAATTGACACTTTATAGGGGTTGAGGAGTCAAAGGTAGCAGGCAATGAGGTTGAAGTAGGCCCTCCTTCATTTTCATACACATCTTCCTCTTGGTCCTCTGATGCAGATGGAAAGTAAAATGGGTTAACGTGATGCAATACCGCCTACCATGCAAATCCTCTCCCGAGAGACACTTCTGAAATACTCAGCGTACCGCAGTTGGTTTCGTCTGAGCCGTCTAAGCAGTCCTTCTCTCCATCGCAGAGGAAGGTTGCAGGAACGCAGCGACGGTTTTGGTCACAGTGATGAACGCAGCTCTCACTCTGCTTCTTGCAGTGCATTTCATCAGAGCGGTCCTGACACTGAGGAACACCGTCACACACCTGGTCCTCGTCTATACACTTTTTCCCATGAGCACACTGGAACTGATCTGCAGGCATTTGACATTAGAAGACACGTTATAGTCAAAAGGTTATTTCCGCTTTGTCACTGAATTGATTTTAATATGCACTGGTTTAAATAGTCTAGTTAAATTAATTTAAAGTTCAAAATAATTAAATTGTTTTGATCAGCACCATGAAAAGTATTGCATTTTACTTAGTAGCCTCACCTTCCTTCTAAACTTTCAGTGACAGCCACACATTTCAGAAATGTACATGACCAGCATCATCCCATCCGATTGAGGTTTGCTTTAACTTGGTCAGTGTGAGCAGTTGACCTCCGGTACCTTTATCGCATTCTGATGCGCAGTCTGCTTCATCTGAACCATCTTTGCAGTCAGCTTCTCCATCACAGAAATGGTCGTAGGCGACACACTGTACGCCGTTCTTGCACAGTTTGGAGCCCAAATGGCACTTTATAGGTGTTGAGACAGCAGGTAATGAGGCGGAATCAGGTCCTTTTTCCTCTTCGTCCTCTGATGCAGATGGAGTGTAAAATGAGTTGAGTTGACATGACTCGATGCCGCTTACAACGCAACTGTGGGAGATCAGTTTATTCTGAAATACTTAACGTACCACAGTTGCCTTCGTCAGAGCCGTCTAAACAGTCCCGCTCTCCATCGCAGAGGAAGGTTGCAGGAACGCAGCGACGGTTTTGGTCACAGTGATGAACGCAGCTCTCACTCTGCTTCTTGCAGTGCATTTCATCAGAGCGGTCCTGACACTGAGGAACACCGTCACACACCTGGTCCTCGTCTACACACTTTCTCCCATGAGCACACTGGAACTGATCTGCAGGCATTTCACATCACACATGTTATTGACGGTAATGAAGTAAACGGTCTCTTGAATTACTGGTGGGTTTGATTAGTGTATATTGAACAGTTAAAATATGCCAACAGCTTCCATTCATTAGGTACACCTAGCTGAACTAAGACAGACATCCTTGCTTCCATTTGGTTAAAATGTCCAGTTATTAATGCTAAATTGTTTGAGGATTGTGAATTTAACTATGATCATTTAGGCTGCAGTTTGTCGTGCTTAACTGGAATAGTGTATAAACCCAGCTGAAAATATGACAAACTAATTTAGATGGGCTACATCACAGGGCTTTAGAGAATAGCCGGTTCAAAAAGAGTGTACCTACCAGTGTTAACATTTACCAGACAGTGATTGCCAGACATTTTAGCCAGTCTCAGAACTGTATGTGTCAAGATTATTCCATTTCAGAAAGTTAAAGTAAACCTCAAAGTGAAAACCAGTTTGACCTCCAGTACCTGTATTGCATTCTAAAGCGCAGTCATCTTCGTCTGAACCATCTTTGCAGTCAGCTTCTCCATCACAGAAATGGCTGTAGGAGACGCACTGTACTCTGTTCTTGCAGAGCATGGAGCCCAATGGACACTTGAAAGGTATCGACACAGCAACTGGGATTGAAGTTGAACCAGATGCTTCTTTTGCTTGGTCCTCTGAGGGGAATTTATTTAAAAAAAATCTTTAAAAAGAGTTACAATGCAAAGAAACGATTCAAATCCGCTGAGAGATTGATTAATTCTCAAAAACTTAACATACCGCAGTCTGCTTCATCAGAGCCGTCTAAACAGTCCCTCTCTCCATCACAGAGGAGCTTTGCAGGTAGGCAGCGATGGTTTTGGTCACAGTGAAGAACACAGCCGTCAATCTGCTGCTTACAATTTATTTCATCAGAGCGGTCCTGACACTGAGGAACACCGTCACACACCTGGTCCTCGTCTATACACCTTTTCCCATGAGCACACTGGAACTGACCTGCAGGCATAGTTTTAAAAATACTTATTTTGATTGAAATGAAGTCGACTACAGTCTTCACAGAACTGTATGTGACAAACACTCCAACTGACTGAGCAAGCGAAAGCAAACTTTAGAAAGTAATGACAACTTGACCATTCCAGTCCAATACCTTTAATGCATTCTGAAGCGCAGTCCTCTTCATCTGAACCATCTTTGCAGTCAAGCTCCCCATCACACAGTTCGTTGTAGGGGATACAATCAGAGCCATCCTTGCACATCCGAGAGCCCCGGCCACACTTCAAAGAAATGCTGTGAACTGAAGCAATAGTTTGAAACGTGACATGTCACTCAAAAAAAACAAATACCTTTTAGAGAGTATGAAAGTTTCTCACCTTGCAAAAGCCCTGACCATAGTAATAAGACGGCACACAGACGCATGCATCCACCCATTGCCACAGACTGAATAAAATCAACCGAATGCTTTCCAGAGCTTTAAGGTGGCATTTTATAGGATACCAGGTGATGCCAATAAATCCTTACTGAACACCTCAGTGGTAGGAGGGGCTAAGTGTTGTCCTGTTAACCCTTGCAGCTGCTAAGGTAATTGCGTCATATTGGAAGAAAATACGTTATTACACATACCACACCTTCCCATTTTAATTATTATTTTCTTTTAATATTTTGCTTTTAATCTACTAATGTGTTTTATGGAACATGTAAAATACGTTAATACCCTGAGAAAATTTCACCTTTTCACCTTTTTAAATGACATACATAAATTCTGTCATTTATACAATAAATATTTAAGAACATCAGTCGGCATCAACAGAGTGTTTGTTTTTTTAATCGTCCAATCGGATTTTGTAAAAGGAGGGATTAAGAGGTCCTACGTAGCTATCACGTTTCTTGTTTATTTCCGGTCAACCAAACTTGGCAAACTAGCCACAGTAGCACTGATAGCAACTTGAGAGGAGCCCTCAAGCCTTGTCAAAATTAGCTGCGGTACAATACAGTTCAGCTATTTTTATGTCAACAAGGTGTTTGGAGGGCTGTGCACATCTTTATTCAAAAAGCGGTGCGTCGGACCTTGAATCCGGGGTAACTATTGAAATGCTTTTAGATGTTTTCTCGACTTTGAAGCATGTTTTTGTGTGAGAGATGTGGGTCCGTTAGCCAGCGGGAGCCAGGACTCAGTTTGGAAGAGTTCGTCCAAGATGCTAACTCGTTTTGGGGCCGTGTCCGTATTGCAATAAAATTAACAAACATTCAGAAGCTACGTCCACATACAACATTTAAAGTGTTTTGACTTCGTGAAGCTTTATTTTGTTGAGTTAGATCAATTATGCCCGGGACAAGCGGACGTTAGTTAGCAAGTTAGCGCGACTTGACTGTTGCGCATTGGAGGATTTTTTGTGGATCACAACAAAAGGATTTTTGATAACAAGCTGGCAGCTAGCTCAGTTAAGCTAGCTAACGTTAGCTGACCAAGCTAAACGAGGACTTCTCTCTAAATTGCCTCCAATCTACTTAGGTACGATACCTATTGGCTTGTGCCTTCTTATTTTATCTAGCAATACAACTATTTAAGCATTTCGTTGTTTAACACTCAGCTAAGCTAACGCTAGTGAACTTATTGTTGTGATTTGAGTGAAGCAGCCCCCCCTCCAGGTAGCTAGCAGCAGGCCTTCCCAAACCAGTTGATGTTAGCACTGTGTTGGCCTGGGACTAATGCTCATTTTTCATGTTAAATGATTGTTTTTCACGTTGTTATCCGACACATTAATCCACGTTAGTCGCTAGGCGTGATTGCCTCCACGCACGGAAGCACGCCCCGCGTGTTAACTCGAGAAGTTTGCATGCTAACGTTAGCTAAGTTCACTAGCTTGGATGTCGGGCAATGTTACTGACAAGCTATCGTCAAAGGAACAGCTGTGATTCCCCAACTCCCCAAAGTGTGACTGTAAACAAGAGGTGGATACGTAATGTTAGCCATGCTCCTTTTTATTCAGTCATCGAAGATTCCCTGAGTAACAAGTTGTTGCCTGCCTTGTATTGTTTTGATGGGGCTCTATATCGTGGCTGGGGGGGTTCTCTACTTTTATTTTGTTTGTAACCATGTACTTTGTGTGTGACTTTCTCCCAAGGTGTCCCTCTCGTTTGAACAAACCCTGCTGGCACTGGCGTTCACCCTGTGACTCGTTGGTCACCAGAGGGGCCACATCACAGCAAGGGCCCCAACTGTAGCCCCAGGTCCCCGCTGTCTGTGAGTGGGAGAGCTTCTGTCGTCTGGAGACGAGCGGGTTGTCCAGCTAGGATGTCCTCCATCTTGCCATTCACCCCTCCTGTGGTGAAGAGGCTGCTGGGCTGGAAGAAGTCGTCGAGTGGCCCGGGTGGAGCAGGCGGCGGAGAGCAGAATGGGCAAGAGGAGAAATGGTGCGAGAAGGCTGTGAAGAGCTTAGTGAAGAAGCTGAAGAAGACAGGCCAGCTGGACGAGCTGGAGAAAGCTATCACCACACAGAACTGCAACACCAAGTGTGTCACCATCCCCAGGTATAAGGCCTGACACTCGATTGCGTTCCAACTAGAATCGGGGGACAAAACCGCTGATGTTACTGGTCTGTGCCAGCGCACTTGGTCGGAGACGCCTGCATAATATAAAACCACAAAACCTCGAGCTGGTGGCAGGTGGTAGTTTCCTGGGATTTTTAACCAAACGTGTAAAACTGACTGCAATGTTCAAAGGTTTGTTTAGGGATGCAAAATAGTGGAAAGTGAATTGCTCTTTGACGATAAGCTGATAATATATTAAGTAACTGTGTGTTTACAACTGCACTTACCTTGTGTATTACACTCGTGGGGAGGGGGGGGCATATAAAGGGTGAGAGAGGATGTTCTCTTTATCAGCCAGCCAGCCTTGATGGCCCAGACTCAGTGGGAACACGACGTTAACGGATTCCTTCCTCACTGATGTGCCACCAAGTACCAAGTCAGATGTTTGTATGTCTATAGATAGCAGCCTGCTTGTTATCGCCTGAGAATTGTCCTAGGCAGCACTGTTTGTAGAGATAGCGTGGCTGGCTCGTTCCGAATGAGTTTGTTTCTTGTAGAGGGCTGGACTAGCAGAGAGGATAGCGCCACGGAGGAGGGTTATAAACGCACACAAAATGTTGGATTGAGGCTTTGTAACCAGCCATACTTAAGTTGGTACATTTTGATTGTGATTGGGGATCCTCTCTACTACCATGCTTGTTACTTAGGCAAGTATTCATTCAAGATTTGGAATGATTATTCTCTAAGCATTTAGTTCCCTGCTGTAAAAAAATAGCTCTGGCTGGGGGACAAAGTTTGGTTTCCTTTACTGTCATGAATCAGACAATTGCAATTTTGAATGTTTGTTGAGATTCCACCAAAAGTAATTAAGTCTAGTAAATATTGTGCGTTTGTAGCATTTAATACGTGGAACGTGTTATTGTCCTGTTATTATTCAGAAGCAACTTCTGCCATTTGTCCTCATTCCAAGTTTCAAAAACTTGATTCTCAGTCTGTCTGTCCATTTTCTTGTGAATGTTTTGAGAATGTCTGAAAATTGATTTTCTTTTCTTCCAAGGTTGCCTCCTCCCTTTCCCCTCCCTCTTTGGTGCTATTGTGTCCTAATGTTGGTTTGAACGTCTCGAGATGAGTTCTGACATAAACAACTGGTGAATTCATTTGAGCGTTGGATGCAATGTTGAGGAGTCCTCTTCTCATTCAGTGTGTTAGCAGATTCCATGTCGTTGTTTTTTTCCCTTAATTCTAACAAAAAAGGCTTCTCTTATTGAAGGTCGCATCTTTCATTTCCACTGCCAAAAATGAATCATACTCTAATAAAAGAGGCCTTTTGGTGTTAACATTACCATACTGATATTTCTGAATGAGCCATGTCCCATGTTTATCATTTGTGTTTTGTTTTTGTTTTGTTGTTTCTCTGTGCACAGCAATTGCTCTGAAATATGGGGACTGAGTACACCAAATACGATAGAACAGTGGGATACTTCAGGCCTATACAGCTACCCTGACCAAACCAGGTGACTATCATCAACTATTGTAATGTGTTGCGTACAACTTTGATGTGGGAGAGTTGTCATTACAATGTTTGAGGTGACGGACATTGAGAACGTCTTTTGTTTCTCGCTCTCGCCTCCGCTTGTCCCAATCCATCTCCATTGCCCCCCGCCGCCCTACCTGGCTGTATTATGGGTCACCCTCGCTCCCCTGTCACCCACCTCACCTCCATTTCCGGTTTGCTGTTCAATCAGATCCCTGGATGGCCGCCTGCAGGTCTCTCACAGGAAGGGGCTTCCTCACGTTATCTACTGCCGCTTGTGGCGATGGCCGGACCTTCACAGCCACCACGAGCTGCGTGCCATCGAGGCCTGTGAGTATGCCTTCCATCTAAAGAAGGATGAGGTCTGCATCAACCCCTACCACTACCAGAGGGTGGAGACCCCAGGTGAGTGGACTTAGTTCACTGTGCGTTTGTTACCTAAAATTAAAAAATTACTTTGCTCCCACTGAGGCTTGTAAGGCTAAACTGAATCAACATTTTGGGGGATACGATCATAGAATTTGAGTTTAATGAGAAGATCCATAGGAGTCTCTTATGTTTGGAGCTACTGCTTGCTTAGTTTAGTATAAAGACTGGAAATACAGCTAAACAAATTTAGATCCGATTTGTATAATCTGTATGGGGAAAAAGTCAATGTGTGAACTAATAGCGTTAAACATTACTAAATCGGTCTTTGCATCTAACTCAAAGCAAAACGCAAAGAATTGTGTCTCCTAAAACACCAACTTTTTTTCTACTAGGTTGTCATTGTTTGCTTGTTGCTGTTACAAAGTTCACTCATTAGAATCACAACTTACTAACAACCCCTGTTAAAAAGCATTTGCCGATGAGTGTTTCAGTCATCTCTACTCCCACTTTTTCCCAACACCGTAGTGCTGCCTCCTGTTCTTGTGCCAAGACACTCAGAGATCCTGCCAGAGCTGCCACCTCTGGATGATTACACTCATTCCATACCCGAGAACACAAACTTCCCTGCAGGAATCGAACCTCCAAACAACTATATACCAGGTAAGATCGTTTTGTCCGTGCCGGATGGGAGAGACTCTGTTTGATTAATGTACTCAAGGTTTACACAATGTACAAAATTAAATCTGAAAATGAATAAATTGGTATTGTAGGTTTCTACAGCAAACTCTTGTTTGTTTTTTTACCTTCACGCTGGTAATGCATTGATCAAATATTATATATTGAAATGTCATATATTTCTCCCCACATTATTTGATCAGAAACACCTCCACCGGGCTACATCAGTGAGGATGGAGAGGCAAGTGATCAACAGATGAATCAAAGTATGGACACAGGTACACTAGACTAGCAATTCCTTCTCCTTTCCTCTTCAGTCTGCCTCACCTCCCAATAAAGGTCAAAGTCAGATATATATGTACGGAATATATCTGGGAAAAGATGCTTATGTAATTAACAAAAACTACTAACAACGTTCAAAGGGGAGACGTTATCCTCGACCAGATCCTCTGAGAGTTTTTCAACTGCAGATATTGCTTTTGACCTGGTGTTAATAAAAGTTACAGGGGACATATTTTTCCGAGTGAATTAGTAGTGACCAGATTTTCCCCTCTGTTAGAAGCCAATCATGGATCAAAGATCAATGACGATATCAAATGAGAGGTTGCAGCTGTGTGAATTTTGTAGTCGAAAGCGGTTATAAACATGCATTAGGGAAATGCTTGTCAGAAATCTCTGGAAATGGACTCTACTACCTCAGAGTATGTTTGTTTGCACCACCAATCGGCCATTAATGATAACCATAAGCACAGGTTTAGTTTAAATTGTATGATCTTCACAAAGCCTGATTTGCGACGTGGAGACTGTTTTGTATCAATAATAGTAAAAAGCATCCCTGCATCGCTCTCCTGCAAATTGAGCTGGTTATCTGTATCATTATGGCATTCTTTCGCATGGTAGTCATCACTTTGTAGGCCTTTGATCGGACCCACCTGGTACCCATGTTACAGTCTAATGCGAACCCAACCATACCCATCCTTTTGTCAGGTTCTCCAGCAGAGCTCTCCCCCAGCACTCTGTCTCCTGTCAATCACAGCATGGGTAAGATGCAAAAGAACACAAAGACTAAAACTTAAATAACATACACCAAATATGTCTGCCTTCTTTTCCACCACATACAAACAGCGTTGCTTTAAAAAGAGAAGATTGATCCAAACTTTACTGACACCATCCACCTACCACAGACATGCAGCCGGTGACCTACTCTGAGCCCGCCTTCTGGTGCTCTATAGCCTATTACGAGCTGAACCAGCGCGTGGGGGAGACGTTCCACGCCTCTCAGCCCTCGCTGACAGTGGACGGATTCACAGATCCATCCAACTCTGAGCGCTTCTGCCTGGGTCTGCTGTCTAACGTCAACAGGAATGCCACTGTGGAGATGACCCGGAGGCACATAGGTAGGGCTCTGCCCGGTGTGACAGAATATTCTACAGTATGTTTGTTTGTATGTATGTCAGTTTGTTACCGCTTCTGTCTGCCTGCACAGGAAGAGGAGTTCGGCTCTACTACATTGGAGGGGAGGTATTTGCGGAGTGCCTGAGTGATAGCGCCATTTTTGTCCAGAGTCCAAACTGCAACCAGCGGTATGGCTGGCATCCAGCAACAGTGTGTAAAATTCCCCCAGGTAAGATTTCACCTGTTTAGCAAATTGGGAAATGAACACGAGGTCCCAGAGGAACCAAAAGATAATCGGCTGGATGGCTTGTGGTCATATATGTGGTCACATGTATATTTAAAGACAAGATGACGCATACTAAGCACACACACAATTCTGAACCCTGAATCAAGATGGTTGAAGCTGCACACCACTTAAATCCACATTAACAGCTGGTCTGTTTGCTCCTTTTTTAGGTTGTAATCTAAAAATCTTCAACAACCAGGAGTTTGCAGCCCTGCTGGCTCAGTCAGTCAACCAGGGCTTTGAGGCGGTTTACCAGCTCACCCGGATGTGCACCATCCGCATGAGCTTCGTCAAAGGCTGGGGAGCCGAGTACAGGTGAGCACTGCCTCTGACTGTTTTTTTCGGTGTATAATTATTTATCCGTCATTACAAATTGCGGAAAGAGTTAAACTCAACTCAAGTTTGGCTTTGTTAGTCGCATTAAATGTCACGTGGCGTCAGGAGTGACGATGCTTTGCCGTCAGACACTGAAATGCACCTTTGTGGTTTGCAGGCGGCAGACTGTCACAAGCACTCCTTGCTGGATTGAGCTCCATTTGAACGGCCCCCTGCAGTGGCTGGACAAGGTTCTGACCCAGATGGGTTCCCCTTCTGCACGCTGCTCCAGTATGTCCTAAACAGCTAAAGAAACGCCCCCAAAAAATACCTGCAGCCCATTACATCATCATCAAATTCCAAACTTGTGAGTCCTTTCGTGAAAAAAAATGAAAATGAAAACCCGACAGAATGAATTTTCTGTAACATTCATTTTATTTGTGGCACAGTTCCACATCCCACACATATACAGTACACACACACACAAATACACTTACACTGTTGCACTCACACACATACAGACTTTTCAGTAAAAAGAATTGGCACTTTGTTACCCATCTATGTCATGCACCTTGTTAAATTGCTTTTCCCCAAATCCTTGATATTAGATCTATTTGTGGTACAAATAAAATGTATATTGGTTCTTAGTCCGGGAAGTAGGGGAAATACCAAAAATATCTGTGAATAGTTTCTCAGTATTGAATATTGCTTGTATAAGTAACACAAGCGCGAATGCTAAAAAGGAATTTTGTTCCAGCCCACACCGACCATTGTTCTGAACCCGAGTTTACGTTTCTCTGGGAAACGTCTCTTGTCAGGGGGAGGCGGCTTGGTGAAGAACCGATGGCCTTGATGGCCGTGTTTCCTCTGAAGGAAACGCCACGGTGTGTTTATGAAATTTTAATTGACTTTGAAAGAACGGCCCCCCCCCCTTTATATATTTTTTTGGGTCACTCTCGACGTGTGTCGTTATAAGACATACTTCTTAATGGACGAATAGGAATGTTAGTAAGCAATTCCAAAATCCCCAAACAAACTGCAAACTGATCTGGATGTAGTTAATTTCTTTGTCATTATATGGCACTCTACATCTACATCCTTGGTTTAGTTTGTTTACCTCCCTACTGAGCAGCCTGGTGTGGAAGCTGATGAGATGCACGGTGCACTGGGAAGGGACCAGAGAGGATCAGCTGTTGTCAAAAGCTTTTTTTTTTTCTTCTTCTTCTTTTTTTCTTCTATTTTTGACTCAACACTGGGAGTCCTGGGGCTCTCCGAGGTGAAGCATTAAACTTCTTACCAGGAGAATTTGAAGGTATCAATGAATTCATTTTGGTTTTTAGCCTATATCCCCATTGTTTTGCTACTTTTTTTGTATTCTCATGTATTTTTATATATAAATATACTTAAGATTTTCTGTGTTCACTTTTTATTGAAGTGATATTTTCAAGACCACAGCTGTTTCTAAAGTAACATGGAGGGCATGGGTCATTCCTTTTATTTTACCCAAAAGGTTTATTTTGAATTTACTTACAATTGCAGCTCTTTGTCTTGGTAAAAAAAAAAGAAACACTCACTGCCCCACATGATGTGTAGCCTGTTTTAATCCTTTGTTTTTCCAAAGAAATCTGGTGCATTTAAAGTACAAAAAACTACAGATTTAACCGAATCCCCAAATCTACTTCCCTGTAATGGTTTTGATGATTCCAGAGGCATGTCAAATTTTAACGACCATTCAGTCAGTCATCTCTTCACTTTTTCTTTTTAAACAACACACGTGACCTCTCGTAGCCTTTTGGTGCTTAGTGAAGCGGGTTAAAGTTAACCACATACAATTGGCTTTTAAAATGTTACAGAAACCCCAGTGGAGGGAGAGAGCGGTTTTCTTCCATGAGAAAAGAAGCGTGAATGTGCCTGCACACTAGGACATTCTGTGTTAGTGTGTGTATTGTATTTGTTCTGTCTATAAGATACAGTATGTACAACAAGACTTATTAGTGTATTAAACTCTGCCATTATTGTCATTAAGTGGCTGTTGGGAGTTCAACATGTTTCCTCCCCTCCCTTTTAATGTAAATGTGTTTACCTTATGGCACTAGTGATTGTACTTTAAGTGCACCTAGTGACGTTTGGATTTGGGGAACTGAACCATGTGTTAAGGTCCAGTGTTGCATTGTTTTTATCTTTGGCCTACAACATATGAATGTGAAAAAAATACATTTCAAAAAACTGATGTGGACCAGATGTTCATATGCATAACAGTAGTACAGTATGTGTGTATTTAACAGTAATCTTTTTGCAAAGCAGTCAGTACAGTAGATGTCGCAGTTGTTTTACCGGTAGAGGGCGGTATTGATAGAGCAGTTCCCTTTTTATTTTTTATTTTGACCATAAGCTTCTCAGGCGTGTGGCATATTATGCAGAATTCATACTTCAAAACACTAATAAAGATTTTTATTCTCATGATTATGTATGTTGTGTGCGTTTCCTCAACGTATTAAGGGTCTTTCTCACTGAAAATGCAACTGAGGACTCATTACATGGATTTGGTATACAGTGACCGGTGAATATTGGCTGCTTCTCTCAGCAGGGTGGTTTATGCTGTCTGTTTCAAGGAGTTGCAAGGACATTAATGGACAGTGTCGATGTTTCAGGCAATGTTTCCTGATTCAGAACATATTTCATTCATATGTTTCAGCACCTTTACTCTCAACGGTGCTAATTTCACTGAGCAACATTTATGTCACAACTTTTAGCGCTTTCACTTAACCATCTTTTTAAACGTGATAAATTCATAATAAATATAGATTAAACAATCCTCAATTAAATGTCATCAAATCTGAGTTCCAACACCTGGATAACGTTTTGATGTCATAACATTAAGTGGTTCACTTGTAATATATGAGTTGTATAGAGTAGCCTTACTATGACATCTCTGCTGTTTATAAGGAATCTGACTAAAGATTTATCGCCCTTTCCTATTATCTTTATGAAAGGCGCGAGCTGACTCTGTTTGACCTTCCTCGGCCACCGTATGCTACGTCAGAAGTAAATACTGCCTTCTAGTCCACATCTAGCTAGCTTCCCGTGAAGAAAACATGGCTTTTACACTGTACTCTCTCATTCAAGCAGCAATTCTGTGCGTCAATGCTGTCGCTGTATTGCACGAAGAGAGATTTCTGAGTAAAAGTAAGTGGACGTAGTAGCGTGGGTGCATTTATGTCACGATAAATATAAAGTTGACTAGCTAATGTTAGCTAGCAAGCTAGGTATACTAACGTTTACATCAAAACTAACATTTCTACCAAAACATAAAACAAGATTTACAGGGGGTAAGAATTGCGTTGTTTACAGCCGCAATCTTTAATCGATTGAAAATAGTTTCACTTTATTAACGAAGAGGCGTGTCTGTCCGATCGCTTGTAGTCGGCTGGGGAGTCGATCAAAGCGTCGGAGGCTTCGGGGACGAACCGGGCGTCAAAGTGCAGCTAATGAACCTGGTCCGCTCCGTGAGGACGGTGATGAGAGGTGGGTTCCACCGCAGATCCATTCACGTCCAGTGTGCACACGGCGAGGGACGCAGGTCTCATCTGCGGTCTGTTCTTGCTCTACAGTGCCGTTGATCGCAGTGAATGCAGTCTGCATCGTGCTGCTGCTTCTGTTCGGATGAGGAGCAGTGAGGTCGAGACGGACCGGTTTTGCCGTCGGGAGGAACATCTCCATCAGCTCAGGAAACGTTCTGCAGAAACATTGGATCGCGTCGACTCTCGAAATGTCTCCCGTCAGCCTGAATGTGAATATTATCATTTAATATTCCACATCAACACATGGGATATTTGTCAAGGCTTGTTTTGTACAGCACAGCAACTTAATAGCACAATAAAATGCCGAATACGAAACCCTTAATTTGCCTGTGATTTAAATATCGATATGAAAAATAAACGTTTCCACATATTTCTGAGTAAAATATAACTTTCACATGGCAGCCGACTGTATGCTATATGCAATGTATACGTTGAAAAAATGTAAATGTATTATTGTATACCTGCTATGAATGTTGTAATGCTTGCAAAGAAATATATTTGTGAAAACTCTGAACCAGGTCTGCACGTCTGTCTCTTTCCTGAAATAGGCAAAGCATGTGTGATGTTTGTCCCAGTTCGCACTCCGTACTTTCGACGACGTCACACACTGTTGTCCGACTGTTTACTTCTATAAATCTGAACGGTGCATAAAGTGTCTGCGGAGACGTGTGTTGTGCTAATTCATTCATCTTATTGCAGTTCTTTATCTCACCAATAATGGGTAACGTGCGGAGTTCCCTTGTGGCCTCTGTCTCTGTATCGTGCGTCTATCTCATTTACGTTCACATCTACTGCTCCCACAAGCTTTTGCAAACAAATGTGCTGAACGAGAGACTCCCGAGTTTCGTGTACCTTTACGTCAAATATGTGGCCAGAGCGGCGACCCGGAGGACCGGCCGCTTGCACGCAGCGACCGCGGGGAAGCGCGACGTCGTTTACACGCTCCTCGGCTGCAGGTGAGCGGGTGCGAGCGAGCGCGTGACCGCCGACCATCGACGCCGGGAGTCACGGCGCGTTTTGTGTGTTCCTTTTGACAAAGGCTGGAGACTCCCCTCCTCAGGAGGTTCTGCGGTGCTGCGGGTTACGGTCGGGATTATCCAGACACGGAATACAGAGACGTGCCGATGTGCTTCCCGGAGATCCTGTTCCGCAGGCTGCTGCTCGTGGTGCTGACCGATGAGAACTTCGCACTCAGCCCAGCAGGTAGCTTGTGACTCGCATGCAGCAGGTTGCTTCAAACCAGCCTCCAACGAAGCTGATCGTTTAAACTGTGTTATACACCAGAGCACGCGCGTGGAATGCGCCTGGATGATTTCCCCCACAGCGTTAATTTGGTGATGTGATTTCTTTGGCAGGTCTGTTTTGTGTGCGTCAGAGTTTGAAAACCCTGCAGCCAGTCGATGAACTGAAGAAGGGTCCGTTCGTGCTGCAGGTCCGAGTTCAGGAGTACCGGCAGGTTGATACGGGGGTGGAGGTCGACATCCGGCTGGCTGCCACTTCTCGTACCGGATCCCCAGTGTGGGAAAGCGTCCTGACACTGCTGTCCAAAAACGGGGCCCACAAACCTGTTAGATCCGTACCCAAGAATGCACACGAATGTGAGCAAAAATCTGAAGTTTTTTTGCTCAGATTTGAGCTTCTTCCGCTTTTTTTACACAAAAACCACCAGTTTTTGTAGCCTTGTTTTTATTGGCAGAGCCTGGGTATGTCTTATCTGCTTTTCTGATCATATGTCTCTGGACAGGCGAACCAGATGGGCCTGTGAAGGAGATCGAGGTCGGAGTTCCCAGGACTACTGGACTGCAGTGCGTTTGGTTCTTCTCGGACTTCTGCCCCTATCGGCTCCTCTCTCTGTCGGCCAGGCTCTTTGGCTCCAGATCGCAGACTGTGCCGAGTCTCTGGATGCTTTCTGTCTGCCTGGCTGAAATAGAAAAGCACAAAGGTAAAGGATCTCATGAGAAGACCAAACATAATGATGGGTTAGATTGGTGGAACTGTGTTAAGCCAGTTCATGAAAGATTTGCTCTTACGTTCACAGAAAAGGGAACGTGCTTTTTCCACATCACTTGTTTCACCGGTTCTTTTCTCACACTTTCTCATTGCTCTGTTGTGTCATCAGGGGTCGGAGTTATCACTGCTCCCATCAACGTCACTGCCGAATTTAAGGAGCCTCTTTTTGTACCAAGCAGAGTGAAGATAAAGTTTTGGGAGAAAAACAGGGATCACTCTCCTGCCCAGGACCTTGTCTTCTACATGCAGCAACATGGCAGCAACACATTTCACTTGGTTGGATTGATTTCTAGGTGATTGTCTAACTTCTAAGGTTAATATTTTTAGTAAATGTATGATTTTCTTTGTTATATTTTGCCTCAATTTGGATAAGACGGTGCACAGTCAATGATTTGGTACAAAAGCGGGTCCGGCAAATCAGCTAATTGACAAGTTTTTTCTCATAGGAAAAAAATGATAGATTTGATTATGAAAAAAAATGACCAACATCATCTGATTTTTTTTTTTTTTAGAACCAACATTCATTCACATCGACATTTCAGCAAATCTGTGTTTGGTTTGTTGGTGGTAGTCGGGTAGAATTTTTTTGAAGAAGCATATACATGCATAAGGGAAACATAGGCACTGGCACTGGTAATGTCACTGTGATTTACTACTCGCAATGATTTGAATCATTTCTCTTATAGGAATGTAATGTACTGTACATCTTTTACATTGTTCATTCTGTACACATGACATCCATTGCAGTCCGTCCATCCCGGCAGAGGGATCCTCCTCTGACGTTCTCCATAAGGTTTCTTCCCTTTTTCCCCCATGCAAGGGTTTTTCTGTGCCGATGTGAGGGTTTCGGGACAAAGGATGTGTACAGACTGTAAAGCCCTCTGAGGCAAATTTGTAATTTGCGATTTCGGGCTATTCATAATGAAATGAAATGAATTGAAAATTGAATGTGTGGCCACCAAGTATTGAATTGTGGTGTGTGAGGTGCTTAGCTTAGCTTGGCATAAAGTGGAAGCAGTGGGCCAGTCCAAAGTCTAAAAAATAAAACACCTACCTACACCTGTGCTTTCCTGATGCTTGTCACGAAATCGGTACCACAAAACACTTTTACATTTTGGGAGGTTTCATTCAGGAGCTTTAAATGCATTGGCAGAGACGTTTTAGGACGTTGGACCAGCTGTTTGCCCTTGCTTCTTTATAATAAACTAAGATTATGGCTTCCTGCAGGTTATTGCTCCATTTTCATCTTATCTGATAAAACGTCTCAGCAGGACGTTGTGCTGTATGCTTCACAGCTCTACTCTACATGGGCACTTTGTCCGACAGTTGAATATAGGCTAAAGCAGACATCCTCTACGGGGAATGAAGACCTCAATATTTGATCCCTCTGTTATTCCAGTTTGCAGCTTCCCTGTGTGTGAGGGTCTGTCCTGCTGTATAATTTATTGGAAACACATTGAGTGCACAGGGATGAATGTGAACGCATCCCTGCACCGCTGCAAGGTTCCATGAAGGAATCGTGGAAGGGAATCATGTTAGCGGGTTTCAGAGGTGCTGGTGCTAGACAGATTACGTCGTATCGGACAGGCTAGCGGTTCATTCTAAACACAAGAAAAAGCTACTTCTCTCTTCTCTTCAATGAGAAGAACTGTCTGAGAAGTCATTCATTGATTCCAGATGAAAACGCGCGCCGCTATTGAGCTCGTTGAACTTGGGGGAGGGGAGGAAAGAAACAGTAGTGTGTTTTAAATGTGTGTAGCATCCCGTGACTTCCTCCCTGCACACATTGGGAGCAGGTGTAGTTCATGAGACGAGGGGGGGGGGGGTGAAGAGTCCCAGTTTGAAGACGTCCTGACGGAGGAGAAATCGGTTTCTCCAGCCGAACTACCGATCGGAGGGACGCATGCTGGTTCATCCCACTTCTGCCATGTGATTTTCATTGCAGCAACTTGAGGAAGAGTTCCACCGTGGAAGGCTTACGGTAAAAGCGTTTTTTAACTAATTCAATTTCTTAATGCAATATTCTGTATTTCTGTTATATCACTGTAATTGATCTATACATACATAAATCCTACTCTTCTAGTTAGTGTATGGTAAACAAATGTCCCTCTGCAAGATGAAATTTATTAAAAACATCAACTTGTGGTTGGCAATGAAGTAGATGATTCTTGGTTAATTCATAATTCATTCATTATTGCTCCTCGACCAGTTAAATCTGTAACCAACCTTCTCATTGTCACCGTTAAAAAGAACAACCACCCACAAGGAGCAAACTAAAGCGGTAATTTGAGTGTGTTTAAATCAAATGCATTGTTCATTTATTGTTCCCACCGCATGATGGAGTGGATAGGATGACTCTTGCTTGAACGTGTACATGGTTGTTATTATTTATTCATAGGGTCCCAATTCTGTCATGCATGTGAGTCAGTTGAGTGTAAGAGGGTCAGACAGCAAAGCTCACATGAAGTGGTTACCGTTATTTGTCACGCGTTCTTCTTTAAATGATAAAGTCCCAAACCCATTTGAACATGAATTTTGGCTGACGGTAAATATCTACAGTATGAACATTTAAACCTTCTGCCATTCTGCCTGAAATATTCCTCGCTTTGTCTCTTTTGTCTCTGTGTGAACAATGGGAAGGTGTGTGTGTGTGTTTTAGAGGGATGAGATGAAACCCGCACACATGCTCCTTCCTTGGTTAAAGCACTTTGAGGAAGCCGGTCCTCCGGGAATTTGAGTTATTTTTGCTTCTTTTAAATGTACCAGCTTTATTTATTAATTCATAGAGGCCAATACTAAATGACAGCTTGTTCTCTCTTACTGTTATTCATAAAGTCCATTGCACATGCTTCAGTTTGGTGCATAAGGACTCCGATACAGCAGCACTTAGCTGGGGACTTTAATATTTCCCCCAAAAATTGTAGGTATCCAGTCCTAATCATTTACCCTCATTAACCATTTTACATTCACTTGTGACGTCTCACACACTGTATAGCACCTTTTGACTTCCTTCATACAAACAGTATCTATCTTACTTTAAGGATTGGGACAGGTCCAAGAGGTTGGATTGTGCCAAAATAATTTGTATGTATTTTATTGAATTGTATTTGTATGTAGACTACTATTTCCAAGGCCAAGTGGTCATTTGAAATGCTCTGTTCTTTCTGAGTGCAGCAAGCAAGAATACATGAAGAAGCAAAGAAAAGGCAACACTGCCGCCAGCATCGCCTTCTCTTCCCCACCGGAGAACAGCAGTGTGCAGGTCTACAATGACTACCAGAGTGTGGCTCTGGTGTCTGCCGGGAACGGTCACGCGATAGAAAATGGCTCTCAAAAGAGAGACCGGATCACCAGCCGAGATGGCACGGGCAAGACGTCCACCGTTGCCGACGTGGTTTCAAACAGCCAGGACTCGAGGTGCGGCATGAAAGACGAGAGTATTGGAAGGAACTCCACGTGGATGATGGATTCGAGCAGCCATGCCTACTTGGGACCCGAGGACAACTCCACAGACCCACATGAGACCCTGACAGAGTCCTCAACTCTGACCTTCGTGGACGTTCACACCCTGGAGGAATCGGCAGAGAACCACAGCCTCAATGGGTTGGGGATGGTTTACCTCAAGGAGTTTGTGCTGATAGACGACGACGACGATGGAGACATGTCGCTAAGAGAGAAAACGGTGACAGACATGTCCGTGATGGATGGAAAAGCTGCTGACCTGGTGTGTGGGAGGTTTTTGTCGACCTCCAGTGGCTCATTATCAGAGTGCAGGGAAGAATTTCAGGCTCCTGAAGCTCCTCCACCCGAGGACGTCGAGACTGCATGTGAAAAGAAACGCTGCTGTTTCTGCACTGTTTCGTGAACAAGCAGAACTCTGTTTGTGTGAAGTTGGTTATGATCACTCAGGCAAATAACCGCTACCTTCTGGTTTTATATATGCGTGCTTGTGGAATTGCAGAGCAAATTCAAAGGTTGTGTGATTTAATTTATTTTTATTTTACTTAATATTTACAACGCCTTTATTCAACATTAAAGAGGCATATTTGTGTGTGTTTGTCAGCCACTTTTAACGCTCCACATTCTAGTAGCCTAATTCTAAAACGTATGTATGCTTAATACTTAATACATAATACGAAAATTTGGATAATAGTTTTTGAGTCTCTCGGAACTTCATTATGCAGTTTTTATACTACAAAATGCATGTTCCTATGACATGTTATTTGAATGACAAATTTTGGGATAACTACAAAGGTCTAAAAATATCAGGTGCTTACAACAAATAAAGATGTCTCAAATGACCAAATGATGTGTCTAGTTCTGTCTCCTCGGTCACCCTTTGCTGGGGCGAGTAACACGGTAATATGCACTGACGTACCACCAGACGGCCAAACAGCTTCTTTCCAGGCTGTGACTCTCCAACTCATTCTCCGTACTCTAAATAAACATTTGGTTTCATAAAGAAACGTCTCGTTTTGCAAAAAGGGACTAAACTTTATTAGTGGAATATTCTCTTTATCGTAGAATGAAATACATGAACCTTGAACGTGCACACGCATTGTGCAACACATTGCAATTCCCTAAGTTTTTCTGACTGGACTGATGAATTTGGGCAGCGGTTAATCAGTCATGTCCACCAGGCAGTGGTGTGAGGCGGTAGCTTATTGGTTGGGGGGGGGGGGGAGAAACCCCACTGAGCACTGCCCTCGGCTGAAAGATAGCAGCTCACCACACTTATCTTCCTGTCCCACAGCGCGCCAACTGACACCCGCTCAGCATCTACTACGGACCGAATGGGCCGAAGAGGGGGGGTTGGTTTCATTGACTTCAAATGCCCAAAAACATTTGAGGATTTTTTTTTTTTTTAAAGGTTAGTTTAAAAGTTATTTTACATATAAAGGGCAAAGGGCACTGGGAAATCCATAAAATGTAATCCATATTAACTTGTGTTTAAAGAAGTTTCTAAGTAATTTAGTTAAAGACCCTTAACTAGCTGCCCTCTTTTTTTAAGACATATGGTGACGATGTGGTTAATGTGCTTTTTAAAGATAAGTAAAATGCCACTATGTTTAGTAGAAGCGCATCCAAACGGCACAGGCCAAATATAGCCGTTATCAGCCACCGCAGCGTGAGCGTGCAGTTCACCAGAAGAAGTCCTGAGCGTATCAACACGTGTGAAGTGTAACCGAACGCGTCAGGGAGTGACAGATTAACCCCCCCAAAAAAACACCAGCTGCAAGAAGACCATTGAGAAAAAGGAGCTACTTCTCAGACTGACAAAAAAGTCCTGCCAGTGCTGCTTATCAAATCCGCTCACTAACACCATCACACCACAAAACGGAATTAAAATACCAAAAAAATGAGATGGAGACGTCGAGTGTCCGGTGAAGTGAAGAGAACATCGGGGGACTCAAAGGAAGAATGGACGGGAGAAATAGAGCAATGATCGCGGCTTTTCTGCTGTGCGTCCTGGCAGGTGAGAGTACGCGTGATTGAATCATTCACATCTGGGGATTCTCTAATATAATGTATATTTTTTTAATTGTTATGTTTCACTACATAAGGAATAAAAAAATGTCTTTAATGGATGTTCTTTCTATCCTTTCAGAATTTCCAGCAAAAGGCCACATTCTGGATGTGTGTGCCACCTGCCACGCCGACGCCACGTGTGACGACAAGCCAGACGGCCCCGGAAAAGTGTGTAACTGCAAGTACGGCTTTGTAGGAAATGGGAGAACCTTCTGTCAAGGCAAGAAAAAACTTTATTCATCAAATCTTTTCGTCTCAACCTCTGTTCTCTTTCTTATAAGATAATTGATTTTCAATGAGAACTCAAGTTTAAATCAATACATTCAATATTTTTGTATATTACAGGGAATTATCTCTCACACCCTCACTGTCATGGTTCAGCATCACTGCTCACTACTGTTGAAAGTAAATTGGTCAGGCGGACACACAACCTTGCTCCATGTCCTTAGCTTATACTACAGCATGTTGCTACCATCAATTCTTACTTAATTTGCCATATAGGAAAAGTTTGACCCAATGATGGTGCTTGGTCAAAAGCCAGGAGAGTAATGACTTCAGTTGTATTCATCCTCTGGGGACCACGACTGTCTGACGAATGGCAATAAATTCTATAGACCTTCTTCACAAAATAAATCTTGACTTGTCAAAGTAAGGAAAGCAACAGAAATGAATGACATCAATGCTTTTAACTCACTCTCTCCTAAGTGCAATAAGAATGTTTTCTTCCAGATAAAGATGAGTGCCAGATAGGTGCCAGTAAGATCTGTGGGCAGCACACCACCTGCCACAACACCTATGGCAGCTACTACTGTACCTGCTTGGCCGGCTTCAGCCCATCCAACAACCTGACCGTCTTCATCCCAAATGATGGAACCCACTGCCAGGGTGAGTTCAGGCTGGACATGGAGCTTTATTTACAGGACTGTTGTAGGTGTAACTCTTCAGAGGTATAAAGGACCACAGCGTACCTGTAAAACAAGTCGTTCATTGTCGTTTTCATGTCACGTGCCAATTCGTCCTGGGTACTGCAGACGATGACGAGTGCAGGATCGCGGGCGTGTGTGGAGAAGGCGCTCGATGCAGGAACCTCGAGGGCAGTTTTGACTGCAGCTGCCAGCTGGGATATCAAGTCCACAACGGACTGGAGCCCTTCAACCCTCACAGCGACAACGCTTCCTGTCGAGGTAAGAAGGCATGGATTTGATTTGACACTTTTTGACACTTTCTCAGTGTACGTTAGAGGGCAGTGTGCTAGATGGGCCTTTAAAACATTTCAAAAGGAACATTATATTCATATTTTATTTATCTTGCTCCGTACAAATGTGCTCCAGAGCGACAAATGGCGTTAATTGAGAATTCAGTCTAAACAAACCCGTTACGTCATTGTTTGGTCCTGGCTCTCACACCTGTGGACGTACCTTTTGGATGTTTGTGGGCAAACATCTGGATATAATCTTGTCTTTGCTCTGTTCTGATCCCACTCAGTGGTCGACTGCGGCAAGCTGGCCACAGTGGAGGACACGGTGCTGCTGTCAGTCACAGGCACCACTTACAGCAGCGTGGCCACGTTTGTCTGTGAGGACGGCTTTATCTGGAGGAGCGGCGGCAACAGCTCTGTGTGCGGAGCTGATGGTGTGTGGAAAGGCCCCAACATGGTCTGTGAAGGTGACAAAAGTCAGATTTTCTCCGCAGCTTCAGTTCAGCACATTAGTTCATGTTTGTTTTCTTTGTTGTTTGGCTTTTCGTGACTTCTTAACAGTGTCAATTAAAAGTGGCAGGAATTTTTTTATTCAACAATGAGTGCTTTTAGCCAAGTTGTACTAAGACCTCCCTGCCCGCTTGCCACTAACAGCTCACCAGATTTCCTCCTGCAGATGTGTCGTTTGCAGCGTAGGAACAGTGTAAACGTGTTTAACCGCAGAGATCATATGACTGATCGGCCTGCAAGACTTCCTGGAGATTTCCAGTGATTTCTGGTTTAACGCCGCATGTCACCGCTTCGGCCCTCAGAGGTCGACTGCGGCCCTCCCCCTCCCCTCCCTCACTCCCACACCGTGTGGAGCCAGAGCTCCAGAATGGGCACCGAGGTGGTTTATCAGTGTAACTCTGGATTTCATAATGTTGGAACGGGCGATGTGTCCACCTGTACTTCTGCTGGACAGTGGGAGGGACCGTCCATGCTCTGTCAAGGTATTCACTGCTTCATCACATCATTGCAATACCACTAGAGCTTGTTGTTTATGTGACATGGTTGTGCTGCATGCTTTTTTCCTTTTAGAGATTGTGTGTGGAAGTCCTCCAATAATTGAATCCACTGAGCAGGTGTGGGACGGACATAAGTGAATATAGTGTAGCATGATAGAGATTCTTGTGTGAACTTATCCAATTCCGCCACATTGACATTACATTACATTACATGTCATTTAGCGGACGCTTTTATCCAAAGCGACGTACAATAAGTGCATTCAACCATAGGGTACAAACTCAGGAGAACAAGAAACAAGAAAGTGCAATTTCCTCAAATAAGCCAATTTACAATTTGCTATAGATGAGTGACGTTACACTCATTGATTAGATGTAAAGAATGTATGGTATATACAAACATATGTTTAAGTATTTATTATTATTGTGTATTCTTCTGTCTATAACCCACTTTGTGCATCATTTTCTGTCCCAGACATATTGTGTGGGGACCCACCTCACTTGAATTTGGCCTTTACACTGTGTGTAAGGGTGAGTTCAGGCTGGACATGGAGCTTTATTTACAGGACTGTTGCAGGTGTAACTCTTCAGAGGTATAAAGGACCACAGCGTACCTGTAAAACAAGTCGTTCATTGTCGTTTTCATGTCACGTGCCAATTCGTCCTGGGTACTGCAGACGATGACGAGTGCAGGATCGCGGGCGTGTGTGGAGAAGGCGCTCGATGCAGGAACCTCGAGGGCAGTTTTGACTGCAGCTGCCAGCTGGGATATCAAGTCCACAACGGACTGGAGCCCTTCAACCCTCACAGCGACAACGCTTCCTGTCGAGGTAAGAAGGCATGGATTTGATTTGAGTAGTAGAGTGACAGTTATGAGACTTTTAACTTGACACTTTCTCAATTTACTTAAGAGGGCAGTGTGGTGGATGGGCCTTTAAAACATTTCAAAAGGAACATTATATTTCTGTTCTTATTTTGTTTATCTTGCTCCACACAAATGTGCTCCAGAGCGACACATGGCGTTAATTGAGAATTCAGTCTAAACCAACCCATTACGTCATTGGTGTGCAAACCGCTGTGTTTTGTCCTGGCTGTCACACCTGTGGACGTACCTTTTGGGCGCTTTTGGGCAAACAGCCGGATATAATCTTGTCTTTGCTCTGTTCTGATCCCACTCAGTGGTCGACTGCGGCAAGCTGGCCACAGTGGAGGACACGGTGCTGCTGTCAGTCACAGGCACCACTTACAGCAGCGTGGCCACGTTTGTCTGTGAGGACGGCTTTATCTGGAGGAGCGGCGGCAACAGCTCTGTGTGCGGAGCTGATGGTGTGTGGAAAGGCCCCAACATGGTCTGTGAAGGTGACAAAAGTCAGATTTTCTCCGCAGCTTCAGTTCAGCACATTAGTTCATGTTTGTTTTCTTTGTTGTTTGGCTTTTCGTGACTTCTTAACAGTGTCAATTAAAAGTGGCAGGAATTTTTTTATTCAACAATGAGTGCTTTTAGCCCAGTTGTACTAAGACCTCCCTGCCCGCTTGCCACTAACAGCTCACCAGATTTCCTCCTGCAGATGTGTCGTTTGCAGCGTAGGAACAGTGTAAACGTGTTTAACCGCAGAGATCATATGACTGATCGGCCTGCAAGACTTCCTGGAGATTTCCAGTGATTTCTGGTTTAACGCCGCATGTCACCGCTTCGGCCCTCAGAGGTCGACTGCGGCCCTCCCCCTCCCCTCCCTCACTCCCACGCCGTGTGGAGCCAGAGCTCCAGAATGGGCACCGAGGTGGTTTATCAGTGTAACTCTGGATTTCATAATGTTGGAACGGGCGATGTGTCCACCTGTACTTCTGCTGGACAGTGGGAGGGACCGTCCATGCTCTGTCAAGGTATTCATTGCTTCATCACATCACTGCAATACCACTAGAGCTTGTTGTTTATGTGACATGGTTGTGGTGCATGCTTTTTTTCCTTTTAGAGATTGTGTGTGGAAGTCCTCCAATAATTGAATCCACCGAGCAGGTGTGGGACGGACACTCAACCCCTGGCAGCACTGTGCTCTATGTTTGTAAAGAGGGCTTTTATTACAAGGACGGACTTAATATATCGATGTGTAATGAAAACGGTCAGTGGACCCCGCCAACTCTGACGTGTCAAGGTAATTAAACCGATGACTGACACCCTTACGAAGTTTGTTAAACATTCAATCAGGAGTTACTACCTCCTCACCATATTGCACCTTGAATTTTGAACTTCTCATTCGTATATCTGCGCGAGGATCGTGGGTCAGAATAGACCCCAAAAAAAGTGCTCGATTGGCTGCAAGATGTGACCAGAATGAAATGCAAATCCTGGACTTCAATACTTACATTTGACATAGTAAAGCTTTCTGTGGTACTCTAGATAATGTTTCTGGGTACTGGAACACACATTGCTAGGAAGAGCTACTCAACATAAGTAAATATAGTGCAGCATGATAGAGATTCTTGTGTGAACTTATCCAATTACCCTAAATGCATTATATATAAATAATGTATAGTATATGCAAACATGTGTTTGTGTATTTATTGTTATTATTGTGTATCTGTCTATAACCCACTTTGTGCATCACTTTGTATCCCAGACATATTGTGTGGGGATCCACCTGTACTGCCTCACACTGGACACATATGGAATGGCAGCTCCAGCCCTGGAAGCGTAGTGACTTACTACTGTAAAATAGGGTTTTATCCCAGTGATGGAAATAACATGTCATTGTGCTCAATAAATGGTTACTGGACAAAAACAAACTTCTCATGCAAAGGTAAAAAAAAAAGAAATCCTCCAAAACGTTTGTCAATGCTGTGGTTGGCGGTGTTGTTCCATTGCTGTTTTAGACTAAAAAACGACACCTTTTTAAATATTGCTATTTCCATACTTATAGAAGTTGACTGCGGTGTGCCCCCACCCATCCCAAATTCAGTCCCGCTGTGGGATGACATCTCCACATTGGGCTCTCAGGTTGTTTATGAGTGTAACTCTGGATATCGCCGTGTTGGAAAAGGAAATATATCCGTTTGTACTGCCAGTGGAGATTGGGACGGAGCCTCTCTGCTCTGTCAAGGTAATAATGATCCACTCTATGGAATATTGGGCTACCCATCTCCAGTCAAAGGTAGAATGCACAGTATGAATGTTACTGCCATCATTCAACTGTCATAAAACCACGAAATGTCTAAATTCATCCGCAATGACTTGCTGTCTTCTTGTTGTAGAAATCAATTGTCGAGAGCCTCTTTTTAAACCTGGTGCTAAAACGCTATGGGACGGCACATCGCACATTGTCAGTGTGATGTATTACTAATGTGAGGAAGGATATTACACCGGCAGCTTGAGAAACTACTCAGTATGTGGAGACAATGGACTGTGGGAGGATATTGATCTATGGGGTGAAGCTGCAATGTTTGATGAAAGATATTTCACTACTGTTTTTACTTCTGAATATTTGTAACAACATGACGGAAAAAAAAAACTTTAGAGTAGTGAGTGGTTTGATATTTGAAAATGTGCTGTAACTATTTCTGGGCCTGATGCAGTGACTGGTTGCCTGGCAACCTGACAGGGACAACAAGACTCCACTGCACCTAGCCTTTGATAGCCATGCTAGCTATTTCCCCTTGTTTCCAGTCTTTATGCTAAGCTATGCTAACTGGCTGCTAGCTGTGGCTTCTTATTTACCGTAGAGACGGTAGCATTGTATTGATCTTATGACTGTGTGGAAGAAAGTAATTTCTTCTTTTCCCAAATATTCAAACTATGTATTATAGTAATAGAAGTATTGGTATATTGCTGTGCTTTGCAAACTACGCTGAACCCTGCTCATCTGTCATGGAGGAATTAACTGTGCTATTTGTGTTATTCTTTGTGATGTATTGAAAATTCATGTCTGTGTGCAGAAATAAGCTGTGGCCCGCCACTAACCCTCCCCCATACTAACCTTCGTTGGGACGGCACCAGTAGGCCGGGAGGTGTGGTGCTGTATGAGTGCAGGGATGGATTTTACCAGATGAGTGGAAACAATATTTCAACATGTTTACTATCGGGACAGTGGGAGGAAGTATCTGTAAAGTGCAAAGGTACGGTGATAATCTCTCTACGTGCATCTATTCAACCGCGGACAAATCACTCCTTTGCCACATTCCTTTGTTATTGACATGTTACTGTCATATATTTTAGTTGATGCTTTTGATATATCTGAATGCTCTGCATGACGGCTGACTTGAATGTGGCCTTTACGCTGTGTGCTGTTGGGTTTTTCTAACTTTTACATTGTCAAAGTAATGCGACTGATTGTTGAGGAAACAACGCGTTGCGTGTGTTACGCAACAACAGCATTTACCACCCGGGCAAAAGTGTACAATAATGCTTATTGAGGCCAGAAAATACTGTCAGTCCAATGGGTCAACCAGCGTCATTCTTTCCCTCCAGCTAAATGTGGCCCGGCTCCCTTCCCTCCCAAATCAGAGGTGATGTGGCATAACAGAAGCATTGTGATCCACCGCTGTGTGGACGGGTACCACAGCTGGAGGGGCAGCCACATCTCTGTGTGCGGCAGCTCTGGGGTGTGGCAGACAGCTACGCTGAGATGCAGAGGTGAGTAACAACACAAAACCACACTCGGGACATCTTTGAGTTCCACTGTTCACAACACGAAACAAAAGCATCCGGGGAAGGCAGGACGCGGGTGTGATGCTACTGCAAGATTTGTCATACTTACAATAAAAAGGGGAGGATTTAAGGGCTACCATCACTCTTTTTACATATCTTACAGAAATAAAGCCACCTGTCAATCACCTATCTGTCCTCAATGAAAAATGTCTGCGTTGGAGAGCAGCGAAGTATGAGGAGGACAAAGAAGTGTACCAGGTAACAGGGGATTTTTAGCATCATTCTTTCATTATCGCTGCTGTTTATCGTAACTTATTGCCGACATTTGAAATATGCGCTTTCCATATTTTTGAACCACGTCCTCTGCGTGTATGTTAGCGTGTATAGACCTGACGCCACGTCCCATATAACCGCTGCAGGTGACATACGAAGGATCCAGAGAGTACCAGAGGTCCTTTCATGACAGAGGGAAGCAGCGTCTGAGCTCTACGGCCGACCAGCTGGAGCTCTGTCTGAACCTGCTCCCAGTCACAAACTACAGCATCTCCATCACTGCGCTGTCCTCCAGATTCACTGCCACCATCTCCACTAACACCAGTTTAACAGGTACACCTGCACCACCGCCTCGCTGACTAATGCCTCCCGGCATCACAGTGGAAACAGGAGTCTTCAGCTTTACTGGAGAAACCTGGAACCTGTTGTGAGTAGTGAACGGTACGAATCCTTAATACCGAGCATGATAACTTTTGGCAGTGCCTCCAGCACCAGTGGTCTACTACAGTGAGTTTGAGACCCCCGTACCGACTTTGAGGCTACGCAGATCACCCGACACACTGGATCCAATCAGGTAAGAATAAGCTTTACCATTCTGCACGGTTACAGGATGAATAAAGACCCCATGAATAAAACGCAGCAGCACAAAGTTTGTTCATTAGAGGCAACCGACAACTCAATTTTGATTCTGCATCAACAGTTAAGTAAAGTTTTTGACCATTTTCACAATAAAAAAATCTTTTAAAAAGGATCGTTGCAACAAAATAAAAGAAATATTTGGCAAAACAATTCCCTCAACTGTTTTGATGATTATGTTTATTTTACCTGTTCTTAATTCAATACTGAAATCAGAAAACGGATCCCTGGAAACCTTTTTGTCACCTGCTCCTCTGGTTATAAAAGGTTATAAAATGTGCTGAATCCAATCCGTGCGCGCATCATATTACCTTTGTGTTAAGTTCAGGTGTTACAAATCTTTTGTGCAAAGCATTCAACACGTTAACATTTGTTTATTGATGTTCGCACGGTCGGCATTTCTTTGTTCTTCATTTTGCAGTCTGTACCAGGTGTTTGTGCTTCCTGTGGAGGGGATTGTGATGTTCGACTGTTCCTCTCCTGCGAGCTCAGACATCTCGAGAAAAATAAAGTCCTCAGCAGAGTACATCACGGCCCAGATTGATGTGGGACATCTCGGGAGAGAGATGAACTTTACCGTAGGAGACGGACTCTACTATGGAGGCTTCTTTAATGCACCACTGCAAAATGGCAGAAACTATTATGTCATCGTCCGGGCTGTCAGTCAATGGAAATCGGTGGGTCCAAATAGTATATAAAGAAATATCAGTGAAAAAGACATGACTTATAAATGACAAACTTTGTAGTTTACTAATTTGAATTTCCTCAATGTTTTCTATTCTAGGCTTTAAAAAGTGTGTGTGTCCTGTGGGCCAAAGTAAGAGGTAATTTACCGGCCAAAGACTTAAATCCTATAGTGTCATGTTTTAAATCTGTGACAAAGTGCAGGCAGCTGGTACGTCATAGGGTTAAGAGAAGCAAGGAGAGGGAGGAGAAGGTGGTTTAGGCTGGTCTGGTTGGGTGTTTGGACTTCACCGGTGTGATTTATTGCATTTGTTTGCACCCATGTACACCCATGTTCATATGTACCCACAGGTAGATGTAGATGGTGCTCGTCACTCACACACAGTATTTGCTCGTTCCAGGTACATCATACGTTCTGAGGGTCTCATCTCTATCTGCTGCTGCATCAGTAGGACTGGTTGCCGTGGTCATTTTGGGTGGATACTGTTTCACATGGTGTGAAAGATGGTACAATAGAGTTTATAAGCGACACTGTTATATCCTTTCATGTGTGAAGTGATTCTAGTGTTTCTGGAATTTTCAGATAAAACACAGGAATGTTCAGAGGATAATTCGGTTTTAATATTATTTTTAAATTTAATGGAACATTCGTTCAAAACTAGTAGATATGAATTTTAATCAGAGTCTGCAAATATTTTTTTTTCTTGTAACTAAAATGTTTGGTTTGATCTTCTTAGGTACAAGACAAAATTTTAAATTGTAATTTAATGGTTGGTTTTCCTTCCTTCTGCTTTTCCAGGTTTTTCAAGAGGACGCGACACTCATAAACTCAACCGTCAGTGTGACGAATAAATGGGGTCTTAACTTCCCATCTGTGCATTTTATTTTGTAGATTTTGCAAATAATGATAATACTATAACTTTTCTTTTCATTTCATGAATGGTTCAATGGTTATTTGGTTGCCAATATTTATTTGAAAGCAGGCGATCCACTTTGTAGAGCAGAACCTTTGTGACTTTACTGTTCGACAAACCTTCTGACACAGTCACAAGATCAGAGTCTACAATATGTCACATCTTGACCGAGTACAGAAGAAAATAATACATTTTGATACAAACACATACTTATATCTATATAAGAGTCCAACGTTTCCTACTCCACTATCATCTACAAATATGTAAAGGAATAAAAATGACAATAGCTATGCATCTCCTGTTGTGCTCACATCTTTTTTCAGTGAGAGGCTTTACAATGTACGTTGTCTCCTGTCTCCTCTGCTCTTCTCGCTATGCAAAATAAATTCTAGATTAAGGTTAGCAGAGAGAGAAGCCCTGGTGGAGTCCTTCACCTCTCTGGCCTCTGTCTCTTTTTCGACTCCGGCTTCTTCTATTGGCCTTTTGTCGACCTGCCCGTCTTTGGTGGATCAGTAGTGCCGTTGGCTCGGACTCCTTCCAAACTGATTCTTAATTCCATCTGAAGTCTCGAACTTCTGATGTCACTCATGAGTCTGGTTCAACGGTGATTTCAAAAGATCCATTTGAACTGCTGGCAATGTTTAAGGTGTCGGTCCCAACGCGCATTGGGAATTCTGGCCAAAGGGGAATTTGTGAGTTCCCCATTCCTGCTGTGTGAAAAAAAGGTTTGGAAAGTGCAATGAGACAGACTATTTACAGATGTGCAATAATGGCTACCGCAGTGGCCATTTGTCCAATAAATGAAACATAAATCACGGTGGCCAATGATGCACTGTAGCAGCCAAAGTTAATTTTCCAAGCAGTAATTCAGTTTTCTCGTCATAAAAAGTAAACAAACAAAAGACAAAGAAATAAAAAGGAAAACTCCAGTGGCTGCCTCTCCTTTGCTGATATAAAAACGTGGCCTTTAGGGGGAGAATTTGGGATAAGGCCAAAATGTGTACTGTCCCTTTAAATGGGCTTCTGCATCCGGGTCATCTCTGTCATTTCCTCTGACAGTCCGACAGGCTGCTGCCGATGACAACACCCCCCGACGGGCTTGTTCACGAAGGGTTAACGGGTACCAAACACGATTTTCCGTCTCTGTTAAAGTAAAACGCCGTTATTACAGAGCAGGTTAGTTAGCGGTGTTGCACGTTAACACGCGGAATGAGGTGTCAGCATAAGTGTGGGCCAGCAGGCCAAAGAGAAACATGGAGGGCGGTTTGTGATTGATTGTTTACATACAAGCGCTAGTTGGCTATTAGCTAACGTTAATGTCACTTGACACAAGCCCGATTATGTTTTAGTCTATGTGTGTCGTAGAGTATCGTTGAAACCAAGGCTGTTGTCACCTATCGTCCATAAGACATTATCTAACGGTTAGCTACTTCATCGTTGGCGCCTTCGTTCACACACTTACGTCTTGGGTACAAAACGAAACCGTTAGCAACCCAAAAAACTGATGTTAGAGCACTTTAAACGTTTTTCGTTTTTACGTTACTAACGTTAGGTGACGTCAATGTACTTCAACCCTTTTTGCACTATTCAACACTTTCGTGTTTTCGTTCTCGGACTCGTCGCCAACGATGCTAGCAGGAAACCTAACGTTAGCTAACGTTAAACAGGTTAGCTTAGCTTACCGATGTGCTAAGGGTCCTTTCTGAGAGGACGAACTGCCCGGCGAGCCACACCGAGTATACTGAAACCCGATGGTGTCCCTAACGTCAGCTAGCTTACGAAACGAAATGTATGCACCTGTTAATAATGATATGTACAGATAAGACTGTCTGCCATCTGAATAGACTGAATATAAAACTTGTATGCTGTGTATTTGTCCTTAACAGGTGTGCTGCTGCTGGCCCTCGGTTCATGATGGCCCAGAATCAAGTGATCCTGCAGTTCCACTTCCCCACTTTTGGGGACTCCATGCTGCAGAAGATGAACCTCTTGCGACACCAGAAACGCTTCTGTGATGTCAACGTGCGCGTCAACCAGCTGGAGGTCTCTGGTCACAAGGTAGTGTTTGCGGCCGGCTCCTCTTTCTTGAGGGACCAGTTCATCCTCCAGCAGGACTCCAGGGAGGTCCAGATCTCCATGATCCAGGAGGCGGAGGTCGGCCGGCAGCTGCTGCTCTCCTGCTACACGGGTCAGCTGGAGTTTCCCGAGCTGGAGCTTGTGAATTACCTGACGGTGGCCAGCTTCCTCCAAATGGGCCACATTGTGGAGCAGTGCACTCAAGCTCTCAACAAGTTCATCAAGCCTCTGTCTACGCGCCAGCTGGACGTGGACGTGGGTATGAAAGAGGAGGGTTCAACCTCCCAGGTTCAGAGAGAGAAAGAGCGCTCCGAGGTTCGGACTGCTCCTCGGGATGAGGAGGAGGTGATGCAGAATGGGAACGACGACAATAACGACGACCACGGCAGCAGCGATGTGGACGACGGCAGCGAAGACGACGACGGTGACGACGACGTGATCATACAGCCTACGTCCCCCATCCAGACCGCAGGCAAACGCAGGAAGCAGGGTGTGGTGGAGAGCGACATCACCATAGTAAAAGTGGAGTCTGTGTCCGACGTTGCCGAAAACTCCATCACCGGTAGCCTGCTGACCAGTCCCGCTGTCCCCCCTGCTCTCCACTCTCCCGCGCCCCAGCACTCTCTCATTAACTCCACCGTGGACAGTCGCGGCAGTGAGATGGCGGTTCCGCCCGGCGCGGCCGGATACCCGCTCAGCCCCCTTCCTGCTGAGAAACACGGCGTGCACCAGAGGAACTACGACAAACCGCTGCAGTGGTACCACCAGTGCCCCAAGTGCGCCCGGGTCTTCCGCCAGCTGGAAAACTACGCCAACCACCTCAAGATGCACAAGCTGTTCATGTGCCTGCTGTGCGGCAAGACGTTCACGCAGAAGGGCAACCTGCACCGGCACATGCGCGTCCACGCCGGCATTAAGCCCTTCCAGTGTAAAATCTGTGGCAAGACCTTCACCCAAAAGTGTTCTCTGCTGGATCACCTGAACCTGCACAGCGGGGACAAGCCGCACCGCTGCAACTACTGCGACATGGTTTTCGCTCACAAGCCGGTTCTCCGCAAGCACCTCAAACAGATCCACGGGAAGAACAGCTTCGACAACGCCAACGAAGGCAACCTGCACGAAGGCGGGCTCGACTTCGATTTTGGATAGATTACATCTGTGGACCTTTTTTAGCAGCCATGTTGATTGGCAATAGTCATTTGTTTGCTTTCCTTTGGGTGGAACTTTTGTTATTTTAAATCAGTTCAAGAAGGCGACGCAGTGTGTACTCTACGAGTGTCGGATGAGCCAACATGATGGCCGGTTTCCAATAATTTCAGCCTCGTCCCGATGGGTTTAACTGGAGAATGTACACATGAAGCAAGATGTTTTCCTTGTCTACATGTCACTGTTGCTTAATTTCATTTCTAGATTTTGTTCTCGTAGAGGCCTTCATATCGTACTTGAAAATTCAACACTGAAACACAAAACCTAATGACTGTATTTCATTAGTTTAATTGATGAATTAACATGTCTGTGTCCATGTTTAACACTGAAAAATATCCATATGTGTATATATACAGTCTACTGTAGCCTTTCATTCTTGCCTGTGGGAATATGACACTATGGACTTCATAACTTATTTGCTTGATGGAAGGTGGGGTTGAAAAAATATTTAATTGAAGGCGAGCTACATCCGTGATAAATGGGATGCCAAAGTATCTATAGGACCTGAAAGGGTTCTTTTATACAGACTTTATATCCACGGTACTTTTGGACCAAAGTGGCAATGTATCTTGTCATGTTTCATGGAAGCCAATGTGTATCAAGACATTAAAAAACGATTCTTAATCAATGTTGGTTTCAACCGTTCTTATTGTGACACTCTAGACCCCAATCATGCAAATGATAAAAGATCAAGGTTTGGGATTATATGTCGCCTCCAAAATGTTAAAGCTGTGTTCACGATGTGAAGAAGACCAAGCACAAATGTATCAGCTGTGTTCATGCTCGGTTTTACGAGCTGCTTATCCGTTGGTGTGAGGTGTGATTATCTTGAAGTGGAATGTAAATGTGTGATAGGTTTTAAACAAAGTTCCATTGTGTTTGAATGTGTTGCAAAATTACATTTCAATTTGACGGCAGCCTTATTACATGTTATCTACTAAAGGAATGCACAACAGTAACTCCTTTGGCTCCACGCGTGTCCCTCTGTGGTATATATGTGCGCGTGTATATATTATATATATATTTTGCAAAAATATAGAAAATGCTTTTGTCCGGCCTTTACTCTACGTGGTTTGCTTAAACCGACTACATGTCCATTACATGTAAAACAGGCCGATGGCAAAAGATCGATTTGAATACAACCATTTGAATAAGCCGTGTCCGCTCATCGTTGTCGCCCAGTAGTCCATCAGTGGCACGCGGTGCAGCCACAATGGGCAAGAATGCAGGCTGCTTCCAGGGCTGTCTGCACTACGTGTTTGATTATAAAACATCCAAAACCCTGGTTATTCCAAATCTAGGGGTAGGATGCTTTTTCAGGTTTTCCCAGCTTCTGATAGTCCTGTACGTTGTGGGGTAAGTAACACGCGATAGGAGGGGGGGCGGGTGGAAGGGATGTGGACTAAAAGCCGATGCAGTGGTGAAATACTGTTGTTAACGAGCAGCCGGGTGTTGCTCCACGTCGCAGGTACGTGTGCATGGTGCAGAAGGCCTACCAGGAGACGGACTCGGCCATCAGCAGCGTCGCCACCAAGGTCAAAGGCTTCGCCTTCACCAACACGTCTGACACGGACCCCCGGTTTTGGGATGTGGCCGATTATGTCATCCCGTCTCAGGTATTCAAGCCGACGCTTCATCTGCGCTAAACTGACCTACGCAGGTGGACTGTGAGTCAAAACTGTTAATTTCCCGTGTGATGTTTGTGCTTCTCTTCTGTCTCACAGGGTGATAATTCATTCTTTGTTTTAACCAATATGGTTATTACCCCCCTTCAAACTCAGTCACGCTGTCCAGAGGTGAGTCACCAACACATTATTAATGAATACGTCAAACTAATTGATTTAGCCTAATCTGCTAAATAATTGGATGGGGAAAATAAAACTATCGGCAATGGTAAAGCATTCATTGTGTTATATGAAAGCCAGGAGTAATTTACATGCACTGTCGTTCTTCAAATCACATAAACCACGACCTGTCTAATAACTTCATGTTCATCTTGCCTCAAACTAGCAGGGTCCAAAAATCTATAAAAATAGATAAAAAATCTACTCCAATATGCACAATGCAATAACAAGTATATGGTTTGAAGAAATAATGCTGACTCCATTGCAAAATAGAACACAAGAGGAATAAGTTATATTAATTATTCTACATAAAAATATATAAATTGAACTTAGATACTAACGGCCAAATGAAAACAAAAATGGAAAAATAGTATTGAGCATCATTGAGAGAGAAATTGTCAATTATTTTGAAAAAACGATACCTAACATAGATTAATGAACTTAATTAAGATTAATTGCACATGATGTGGTTATTATCGTTGAAAGTGTCCTCCCTGCAGGGGGGGAGGCGGGGGGGGGGTATAAAAGGCTCCCTGTGGCGTTTTGTGGTGCACCATCAGCAGACAGGTTAACCGTGGTGATTACTCCTCCAGATCCCCAACCCATCCACCACTTGTGTGGATGACTGTGACTGTATCGAGGGATACAACGACCCCCGAGGCAATGGTACGCCCGTCCTCTCTGGACATCAAACTGATATCTCTGTTAATACATCAGCTATTAATAATGTGATCCCGCAAACATCTCCTGACATTGATTTTCCCCTCAGGCATACGGACAGGACTGTGTGAGAACTATTCCACCACGGCACAGACCTGTCAAGTGCACTCGTGGTGCCCTCTTGAGATAGACACGAAGCTTCCAGAGTAAGAAAACATGCAATGATGTATTTAGTAGTAGTATTTATAAGTCATGAGTGTAATGCAGATATGAGGTGACACGTTGTGTCCCGCAGACACGCACTGCTGGCTGCAGCGGAGAACTTCACTGTGTTGATCAAAAACACCATAACTTACCCAAAGTTCAAGTTCCACCGGTCAGTGTTTCTGAGTGTGAGGCTCTGATCAGCGTAGTACATGCAAACGTGCAGTTATACCAGATGTATACGTATTCCTTCCTCCCTCAGAAGAAACATACGGCCACATATTAACTCCTCATACCTGAGGGCGTGTGAATTCAATCGTGCAACAGACCCCGACTGCCCCATATTCCGCCTCAAACACATCGTTTCAGAGGCCGGAGAGGATTTTCAAGACATGGCTGTTAAGGTGAGTTCTAAAGCGGATTAAAGTGTCGTATTTGTCTACAGTTAAACTGAATGAATGAGTTTTATTTTGCGTTCATAAAGGGCGGGATCCTCGGTATCATTATTGACTGGAGCTGTGACCTGGACTGGTGGGCAGGGAAATGTTTGCCCAAGTACAGCTTCCGCAGGCTGGACAGCAAACATCCTGTTAACAATGTGGCACCCGGATACAACTTCAGGTGAAAAACGTTTTAAAACAAAAGCTCCTGGATAAATGAAATAATAAATAAAACACTGGTTTTAGGTTTGCAAAATACTACAAGAACCGAGATGGAAGGGAGACAAGAAGCTTGATCAAAGCATACGGGATCCGGTTCGACGTCATTGTCTTTGGAACTGTGAGGCCGGATTAAATCTTGTAATTTCCATGACATCATGATGTGTGTGTGTTTTCTTTTTTTCTTTAGTAACACCAGAGATGTTCTTTTATTGTTAATCTTGTAGGCAGGGAAATTTGGAATCGTACCAACCATAGTGAACATGGGTGCGGCATTGTCATTCCTCAGTTTGGTGAGTAGACACGTTTCAGTCCTGCACTTGATGTGACGCGTTACACTTATATGCACTTTTCCATTTAAAAAAAAAAGCAGCGATGCACATGATGATGTGAGTGTTTTCCTGCAGCTTCCTACAGTTTCTGACTGGTTTATGTTGACATTCATGAGAAAAAGAGATCTTTACAGCAAATGGAAAGTCACATATCTAGACGAGGACGCAGTTACCGAAGCTGTAAGTGACCGATACTTCATTCTGACATGTTTTATCTTTTTAGTGCCGGTTGTAATATCAAACTTTTTATTCATCTTTTTAAAACACAGGTGTCGATGGGAACGAGCTACGGAACCCAATAGCATGCTCATATTTACTTTTTATTTTGGGGGGAATTGTTCCTCTTCCAGTGTGATGGCCAGATGACAGATGACGTCAGTGTAAAACCCTCTGCAGGCTTAATTGTAACTTGAAATTTACAGAGATTATTTCAACTCTTCAAATAAAACTGGTTAAATATCTAAATCGTAAGCGTGGGTATGTACGCGTTATGTTTTAAAGACGACTCCTCCGCACCGACAGGGGGCAGCATCACTTTAAACGATCGCTATCGAACACAAGCAGCTTCTCAGCATGTTAGCAAACAACAGACAAGTGAAGAAGAAGCGCCTTTTAGATAGCGGCACCGAACAAACAAATATATACTTTCTCTTACTTGAACTTATGTATTCGTGCGTTTAATGACTACCTGTACGCGCCGCGGTGGCGTGACGAGGAGCTAGTCTCGGTGTATAGATGCAGCGGACCGGCCGCCTGACCAGTTAGGACTGTTGGCCCGACAGCTAACTGTTAGCTTGGAAGCTAACGCTACAACCCGCAGCTGGTCGCCGCTAGCTAGCTAGCATCCATGAAGAAACCCGACCCCGGATAAAATGTTGTGAAAAGGACCGACCAGCCGGTCTCGGGTTAGCTAGTTGGCCGCTCGTCCTCGAGAGAACACCGCAGAATGACAGGTGAGTGACGCCGTCCTACATTTAACAACTTCACACGAACGCCCCGAGCTAGCATCACGTTGCGTTCCCTGTAGCAGCGTCAAAGTGTCGGAAGTTAATAACCACCGCGGGTTTCCTCAGAGGATGCCGTGCTGCTGGACGTGCCCGTCATTCGGCAGCTCTACCACTGGGACTGTGGGTTAGCCTGCTCCAGGATGGTCCTGAAGTAAGTAACTGGCTGTAATGTAATGTTACGGTTTTGACGACATGTGGCCTTCGCAGTCTCTCAACGGCCCGATCTTGCAGGTACCTCCATCCTGTCAGCGACGAGGAGTTCCAGAGAGCATGCTGGGAACTCAAGCTGACCGAGAGCGTGTGGACCATTGACCTGGCCTACCTCATGAGCCATCTAGGAATCAAACACTGCTTCAGCACGCAGACTCTGGGTGTTGATAAGGGCTTTAGGAATCAGGTACTTTGCTGCATCCAAGCTGTCGGTACCGTTTAAACCAGATCTGAAATTCTGTTTGTGTGACGTGACCTTCTTGTCTTTTCAGTCCTTCTATAAGAAACACTTTGATACAGAGGAAGACCGAGTGAATGAGCTTTTCCTTAAAGCCGACAGCAACGGTGTAGTGGTAAATAAATGGTGGGTTTCTCTCTTTTTCCACAGAGTCCAGCAAAGTCCAGCTTTTGCCTTAGACAAGGCCAACCTAACAGCCGCCATGCGTTTGTCTTCTCACAGCTCGGTGACGGTGCAGGAAATCCATTCCCATCTGGAGCAGGGCCACGTTGCCATAGTGCTGGTTAATGCCGTGGTCTTGACGTGTGAACTCTGCTCCTCGCCGGTAAAATACTGCTGCTTCTTGCCTGTGGGCCAGAAGTGTTTCTGCAGGAAGCCGGAGTACCAGGGTCACTTTGTCGTAGTGTGCGGCTTCAACAGGACCACCGGCTGCGTTTTCTACAACAACCCGGCTTATTCTGACCGTGAGCATTCTCAAATGTTTTCCTTTCGCCCCCACTAAAATTGAGTTTTCTTATTTTGATAAATGTGGTGGATTGACTATCGGGAAAAAATCAAATGGAAAAAAGTGTTTGGGCCTTTTGAGTAAGACAAAAGCTTCATGTTAATGGTTGTCCGCAATGTTAACTCAAAAGGTATCACTTAATTTCATCAATCACAAAAATCTCAAGCTTTGCGGTATTGACAACATTCATGACGATGACAATCTGATGGAGTGAAATGTGATGGAGTTGATTACAATTGAAAAAAATAATGGCAATAAATAATGGTGTGACTTTCACATCATTTCCTAAAATATGACCCTCACAGATTGAATGGCACTAAGACTAAGAGGGACAATTGGCTGATTAATTACATACTAGAATCACTCCCACAACAAGTTTGGAACTGACGTGCGTTTGTTTTTCAGGAGTCTGCTGCACCAGCGTCGGCAACTTTGAGGAGGCTCGGCGGAGCTACGGGACAGACGAGGACATCCTTTTGATCTTTAAGGACAGTTGATGGACGTTGATGATGGGTTTGAATTTCACTCATCGTCTTAGTGACCCAAAGCTGCAGGCCCAGTCCTGAGCTAGCGGCTCCCCCTGGTGCCGCTGATCCTCTCCGGTGCTAAGAAGCCCAATTGCTCACGCCTGCTGCAGATTCACTGCTTTTATTCCCTCTTAGAAGTCACTACTGCTCCACCACTGAAGGACTAACCGTCGGGAGTTTCAAAAAAATATATATCTTAGTTTCCGTTTTTTTTAATTTCTCTTTGAGATTAGCAGATAGACCAAATGGATTTTATTGAGTGTTTGTTGGATTTTAATGAGCTATTAATCTCAAACTATGAGCCCAGTGTTTCAGTGGATGAAATGGGGGGAATCATGAGAAAAAGACTTTCCTGGAAATTGTGTGCACGTTATTCAGGGCTGAAAATAACATTTGAGTGTAAACAATTAATTTGTGTTGACGTCCTGAAGAGGCTCATCAGCAGCCTCGCCCTCCACTTGCCTTTAAAAGAAAAGAAAACTCACCTTTTCGTCCCTTTTTTTTCTGCTGTTTCTATCAACACGGAATACAGGAAGGAGTTGTGCTTTCAGAGTCTCAGGTAATTAATGCCCTAAAGTGTGACATCATCCATAGATAGCTAGGTCACTGCAATACGCCATATTCCGTCTATGGAACTCATTCTGACGGCAGGAGAACATCAATATCCTGAAACATGTACTCGGATCCATTCATACATTTCAATGCAAACAGACCATCTTGTGTTTGGCTGTCATGGCAACATGCTGCAACATGTGTTGGAATTGGTTCAGGCATTTATCTCATTGTCACGTTTTATTTTTTTCATTTGGGTATTAATGTTTTTGCACTACACTTTTCAAACCAGGCATAATTGTGTTATTTAAAATAAAACATGGAATTGTTCAGTCAATTAAGTTATTTCTTCCTCGTTGTGCTTTTGGGTAAGAATAAACGCCACGTTTTAAACCTCAAACTTTAATCAGAGCTGCATTTATTATGTTGTAAATAAAGAAGGATTTGAACATGTGCTCAGTTTGTTATTAAACCTGCTGTAATTTGAGTTCAAGTAGACACAGAATTGTTCCTCAATTATAAGTTTTGTCAACATTTTGTCATGTTTGCAGTTTGACATGTCCCAGGTTGTAAAAATGAATTATGAAACTATGAACTAATTGATTTTCTTAATATATAATAACTTTATGGCAGTTCTGTTTGACACAGCCACTTCTCTTTAAAAAGGAAGGCACAACGGTTAGCTCCATTTTAAATGGAAAATCATCTACTCTTTTACAATGTTGGGTTTGAAATCATGTTGCACAGTCTTGGCGAGTTCCTTTGCGTACTCGGAATACCGCCCGGTCATCTGCAAAGAAAGGTCAAATAAACTGGATGATCTGGAGCGGCAATAGTAACCACAATGTCGCTCCCATCACTAAAAAGCATCCAAAAACGTGGGCCTCTTCAAGTACAGCCCCTCGGTCACTGCAGGAACAAGTGCACACGCATCCTTTTTAAAAGTAGATCAAAACCATGTTCACCTTAAAACTCCATTTGTCACTGATCTGTCTGTTCAGGTTGAGATCCATCTCAACAACCAGCAGCCCGTCGCGGGTCCTGGAGAGACCCGGGCTGCGACTCCCATCAGGAGCCGCCACGTAACTGGATCCATAGAAGTGTCCGAAATCATGGTGAGCTGCAGAAGTCAGAAGATGCACAAGTTGAAGAAGCTCACAAGTTTTGCAGTTCCAGGAAATAAAATCGCTCACCTTCTTTTCCGTCACCCGATGTGAATTCGCTTTTGAAATGTTCCTGTGTGAGATACAAGGAAAGTCAAACAAGCGGTCAGCAGTGACCGCTGAGGGGACGCAACCACCACTGAAGGCATCACCACCTCCTGCTTTGTAGCCTCACCAATAACATGGTTTCAGTCAGTCACTTAACAAAAATAAGCTTGCAATATATTTCCTCATCCAGATTCCATTAGAATTCTGTAGCCTTTACACCCAAACAGTGATCGTGTGCATATCTGCATCTAATGCAGGAGTAGAGACGAACTCACCGTCCCAACGCGGTTGATTGCACAAGTGAAGCAGTGGTTGGCGATCGCTGCGTTCCTGGCCTCGATGGACCACATGGGCTCACTGTAGGCAAGAAATTATTCTTAAATGGACATAAAACAATTCAATCAAATCATATTCCGTGTGGGATTTATTGTTACCGCCACATGGAGGAAATATAATTAAAGCACAATATTTATTCCATGTTGCATATTCCACTGACACACATGTTAGCAGGAGTCAAGCAGCTCATTCATACGAAGTCCACTTTGTGGGTCACCTGAGAGCTCCCACAGTCGCTGAGGGGTTGAAGATGATCTCCGCTCCATTCATACTATACATGAACCAGTTGAGAGGGTGATGGCGCCCGTAGCAGATATTCACAGCGATGTTCCCAAACTGCGTCTGGAAGACTGCGTGGCCGGTGTCGCCCTCCATATAATACGTGGACTGGCCGTGAAAAAAGAAAACACAGCCGGGCGTTTGCGGTCGTTCCTCATTCCACACCGGTGCACCCGCGGGAACTCTCCCACTGACCTCGTTAAAGTCTCCGATCCTGGGAATGTGGTTCTTCCGGCTCTTTCCCAGCACGCTTCCCGAGTTGGAGATCACCACGGCGGTGTTCCACAGAGTGCCGCGCAGCCCCTCTCGCTCCAGAATCGGAGAGACCACGACCACGTTGTACTTCTTGGCCAGCTGATGACAGGGCGACGGCGTTACTAGGCCGCGGAGGCGGAGGCGGAGGCGGAGGCGGCATCACCACATCTGGCAGTCTCACCTCTTGGCAGAAGCGCGTGGTGCCTCCTTCTTCGGCAGACTCGGCGAACTCCGTCCACGGCTCTTTCTCTCGGGTGCAGAAGGCGAAGGGCATGGCTGTGGGCAGCAAAAGACAGGTTGGTGTCCTTTGGGACTGGCTCGTGTCACAATGTGAAGTTCCTGACCACGGAGAGCGCTCACTCCAGGTCTCCTGAAAGCAGACGACGTTCACGCCGCACATGGCGGCCACCTCGACCATCTCACCCACGCGGCTGTGCATGGCGTCGATCTGTGGAGGAGACAACCAGGGAGGGTGGGGTGGGGGCGGGGGGTTTAAACGTTACAGCATCCCGCGTGTCTCTCAGGTCTGTCCAAGGAGTCCTGACCTGGTCCCGGATGGGGGCGTCGGTGGGCAGGACGATGCGGTTCTGAATGAGCCCGACGCGGACCCTTCTGGGCGGCCTCAGCTGTTCCGGGGCGGCTTCGAACCTGTAACCCTTCAGCTCGAAGTCCCGCTCGGTGGCGGCGTTCACGGCACATGTCGGGAGGTCCAACTTCCTGCAGAGAGGACTTGGTGTTCACAGGTGATCTCACAGGGATTCCTTGGAGGAACTGAACAGTGTTAACCATGTTTTTTTCCCCAGGTGTTTTTCTTGGGCCCATAAAGTAGTGAAAAGTGAGCAAAAATCCACGAAGGAATGAATAAAAATCTGGCCCCCAAGTTTATTTCTGTGTGCTTTTCACCAAAATGCCATTATTTAAGTGGAAAGAATACGGATTTGATGCAGGCTACTTCTACACAGAACATACATGCTTAAAAGGGGTTCAAACAAGTTATTGTGTAATCTTGTTTTTGCACAGTTTAAAGGTCGTCTTCTGACCACTGCGACCACAGGCAAAAGGGACCAAAGTCCACCCAAAGTGAATAGAAAAAGCAGGCTAATAAGATCCAAGTTGGTGCCTGTTTAGTCTTTTTTTAGGTAAAGTCCCGTCGCGACAAACTCACTGCGTCTCCTTCCCGAACAGGATGCGCTTCACCTCCGACAGCTCGGTCTCTGGAAGGTGGGACTCCAGAGTCCTCTCCAGCGATTCAAACTCACACGCGGACATTTCTGCGGTGTCTTTGGGGTTTGCGGTGTCTCACTTGCACGAGCGCGTCCCTGCAGCGGCTATCAGCGGGGGGGGGGGGGGGGGGGGGGGTTATTGATTAACCGCGCGCGTGTGTGTGTGTGTGTGCACACTCACGCCCATACACGCGCGCACGCCATTTCAAAATAAAACCTGTCTTCCGGTAAACGTAATTTCGTTGTCTTCATATATAAATTAAAACACATAAATAATTCATTTTACTTATGTGTCTTGCTGTCCACATTACCGCTGTTTTCTCAAAATGTACCACGATTGCTTGTAATTGATTTACTTTGTACCTGGGATGGATTTCCAGGAAATACACGGTTTACCATTTGTTTTACTAGTTCCAGTTTAGTAAAAAACAACAACTGTCCTCTAGTGGCTGGAGTCAGGATCCCATATTCTAACACATGTTCAATCCCACTTAGTTGATACATGTGGTATTATCAGTATACACTTACTTGCATTCATATTAAGAATGTACAATTTAACAGTTATCTTCAAACCATAAAAGAATGAAAGAGTTAAAACAGTCTAAATGACCTAATAAGTAATTTATAATTTCCACTGAACTACATTGCACATCCCATAATTAACTAATCAGTGCCTCCTAGTGGAGAATCAGAAAGAAAGAAGGGGTTGGTCCTTTCAGGTCCTTTCAGGTCCTTCCCTGTTTGTTGATGCCAGTCGTACTTTGACAGGACATCACTTGGAGGCCGTGCATTGTGAACGTGTGGTGTGGTGGTGAGTGCAGGAGCTTCTCCTCCTCACTGCATCCATTCCTAATTGTTCCTGGCGAGGAGAACACAAACACATGATGCCTTCTTACGGAACTACAGGTGCACAAAGCTTACGAGCACACACTCACACACACGCAGCCCAACACACAAAGATAACAATACATCTAACGATTGAATGCCGTTTTTCTTATGAGGACTTTTACTTTGTTTTGAATTACTTTTTTTCATCTGCACCATAAAGTTCAAAAAAATAATTTTAATTATTTTACTGCCAGTTCTTTTTTTGACTGTCAGAACACAACACACTGCAATTTTCATACCATCGTATATTTTGTCCGCAGCTGGATACAAATGTTTCGAAGTAACTACAAAATGTTTTTTCCCAGGAAATTCCCAGATTTCGCAAACGTTTAAGTGGCTGTTTCAAAACCTTTGTGGTTGAAACTGTTTGTAAACTATGTCCTTTGTGCAACATTGAAGCTATCAATAGAATACACTAAATGAGTTATGACATCCTCCATATCCTCATAAACAACATGTAACATACTAATGCATTGTAAATATGGATGTATCTATATAGTGAAAATAATGTGACACTTTAACTTCTCAGACATGAGAACGATTGTGCTTTCATCCGGAAAACATGTGCCACCATTGAAATGTTAAAAAGCACAATCATTTCTTTGTTCCGTAAATGTGTTTGACCAGTCAATCGAGGTGCACTCACGGGACACCAGCAGCAGGACGTAGCGTTGCCTCTCGACCAGCACGCTGCTACCCCTTAATGGAGGATTTTAAAAATGATAAAAGGATGATACAAGTCCAACCCACTAATGTTGTGGGAATCTGTTCAGTGCCTTTGAAGTCCAGACCGCATCTCTCCTTTAGATGATGGATAAAGTTTATCAATTTGCAGTTGAGATTGAAGATTTCCATCCTGCTGTCGGTCAAGAAAAACACATTAAGCTTTGATTATTTGATAGTAAGAACAACAATTATACTCAACATCAACAGTGTTAACGGTTACATTTTACATTACAACAATAAAAGCAACAAGAACATAATCCAGAAACTCTACTAACCACCGAGCAGCACCGTGACAAACATGTTCTGCTCCTGACTCCACCGGTCCTGCAACTACCAGAACACGTCCCGTCCCAGTAACTGTGACCTTCACTTTGTGACAGAGACTGGCGCTGTATGGACATAACGTAGAGATCATAAACACACGTACACACAAACCTCTTCAGCCTCCTCATCCTCCTCTTCTTCTCCTTTGAAAGCCGATGCCTCTTAAATGAGGGAGACAAGGGAGGCTGCTGCTGCTCGTTTCCATGGAGTCACAACACACAACACTTCAGATTCAACTTGTTGGACAGTGACGACAAACAGCGAGACAACAATAATCTGTAATGTCTCCTCACAAAACATGACAGGGATAAATCAACAGCTCTATTATTTTTCTTAAACAGCTATAATCAATATTTATTATGCTGTATGATATGATGATGTAATAACGTCAAATGTTGATTTTACTGATTTTACTTTTTTACCTTCTCAGCCGGCTCTCCTTTAGTCAAAGTGAGTGTTAAGAGGAGAGAGTGAACACGTTATCATGTCTGCACTTGTGATGCAGAGCTACTCAGCCTTCATGTGAGGCTTTCTAACTCCTTGTTAATGCTCCTGGGGGCCGACATTTCTTATTAATAAAACCGCCAGATCTTTCACCCGGCCTCCTGAGTCGTTGTTCAACTCAACATATTTGTTTTTCTTTCCACTCCCCTCCAGACGGAAACCACCAGCGAAGGAAGGTGTCGTACCTCGTGGATCTGCAGCTCCTCTCGGCTCGCCGCGTTGTTTGACCTTTCAGCCCACGACTTCGCTGCTGTTGTGGTTCACGCTCGCTGCTCTCGCAGTGACGCTTTTGGTTACAACTTGTTTCCAAGGGGGATAATACGTCACTGTTTTGTCTACAACTGTTAAACATCCGCCTCATTGTCTGCTAAATGCTCCGATGTTCCCCCAAAGAAGTGGGCCCGCTCCCAGTCACCTGAGCTTGAGGGGGCCTTACCCTAAAAGCTGGGAAAATAAAGAAATCTCAGACTCAGTTCAGTAGATCTCTGGATATGGAACTTGAGCCAATGTGAAGCTACTCTGACTGGGCCATTGTGTGCTGGATGCAAATAGATCACTTAAGAATCGTAATGGGGTTTATTACTGTGGTTTAACTGGTTATGAATCTCAACGTAAAACAAACGCCTCTATATGACCCTGCATAAGTGAAGGAGGCCATCGGGGAGAAGATTGATTGATTCCATGTTATTCTTCTTGATACTTTGTTGTTGGTTTCACCGGGTCAAATTTTGAGCAAAAATGAGAGACGCGAGAGCTTTTCTAAAAGAACTCTGGTGCTCGTTCTCGTCCACAGGAACCAATGCAAAGTAAAGTTGCTTGTAGAACCTTGAAGTAGCTTTCAATACTTTGCCTGCTTGTGTCAACACAGAATCCTCTTAAAAGTTATTCCCAGACATTCATCAACTCACAGACGTCAACATTTATATGAATATAATTTAAACAAGTCACACCGAACAAAAGACACAAGTTTACATTTCAGCATTGCATTATCAACGTTGGGGAGGGACATCCGTCTCCGGTCAATCCGTCACTGGTGAAAGTACTTGTCTTTTTTTGTTAGATATTGTTCCTTTTATGCCATGAAGCTGGATGAAAGTGTGAGAGGAGCGAATGGGCCGAATGTGAGAACGTTCCCACTTTAAACGAATGAGAGGGAACTCCGCTGAGCGGGCCGGTGACCCAGTTTGGGCTCCTCGGGGTGGACTCGTGCAGCACTGCATGAGAAACGACCCTGTGCTCACGGTGACGGATGACGTAGGGGCGGAATACATCAGAGGGGGTTTGTTTACACACTACACTTCACTGAAAAATAAAAAAATATACCAATAATTTATTAAATAAGTCTTTCATCTTCAGCCAAAAGGCCATTCGGACCACATATGGAGGGACGATATTTACATGGATATTATGGTGTATGACTGGAACCTGGGTTTAAAGAGATTGAGGGTAAATGGTGTCCCATCAAAAGCCAAAGCACTTTCCTAATCTTGTCTGTTGAAAGCCCTTCCGTGCCGTGCGAAAAAGTGTCACTCAGTCGACTCGTGGTCATGTGGGGTGAAACGAAGCAAAACAACGTCAGACTTTTAGTCTGCTGTGAATCAACAAGCCACTGTGATGAAATATCGGAGTTTTTTTTTATTTTTTCGTGGCGAGGAGATCTCAGTCAGGCCGGTGACCCTCGCCGTCCATCAACCGTTTTCAGCGCTCCCACCTGCATCGCGGAATCAGGAGCCCGCGCTGGCGCGTTCAATCTACGTCACAACACCTTGGCCAGCTCGCCGAAGCAGCTCGTCCTCGAGCCGAGGCTCCGTTTGTCCCCGTCCTCCGCGGCCTCCGGTCCGGCGGGGTCGCCTCGCCGCTCGGGGTCCCGCGCGTGCCGGCCCGCGGGGATCTGATAACGGTCTGAGGGCTCGCAGTCGACAATGGCCTATTTTAGAACAGTGGGAGATGATGACTGACAGAGGGGGGCGGGATACCGCCGCCGCCGCGCTCCCTACGGGAGACGCCCCAGTCGGGCAGCGTTGGGAGCTTTCGCAGCTGCTGCCGCTGCTGCTGCCGCCGCTGTGCTCGGTCAAAAGGTCAACGCTCAAGCGGCTGGGCTTCAGTCGGATGGAGCCGCGCTTGCTGCTGCCGCCGCAGCAGCATCCTCCTCTCCCCATCGGCTCCCGCCTGCGCAGGACGTGTCGCCGGATGATCTTGCGGAAGGTTTGTCGGAACTCCCGTATGCGGTAGGCGTAGATGAAGGGGTTGACCACAGAGTTGGCGTGGGAGAGGATGATGGCCACGTACATGATCCAGGACGGAGCCCGCTCGCACTCGGGACAGAAGAGGGTGAAGCAGTTGATGATGTGCAGGGGCAGCCAGCAGACCGCAAACAGCCCCACGATGATGGCCAGAGACTTGGCGGCCTGGACCTCCTTCTGCAGCGTGGAGCGCGACTTCTCCCCGTGAACCGCCTTCACCTCCATCAGCTTGAGCTGGTGGCGAGCGGCCATGAAGATGCACAAGTAGATGGCCAACATCAGCAGCAGGGGGATCAGCACACAGGCAAGGAAGTTGAAGTAGACCATATACTCCATGGCCACCACCTCCTCGAACAGGCACTCCATCAGGCCGGGCAGGCAGGTGATGTTGGCGCTCCGGGGCAGCTTGTGCCAGCCCATCATGGGGGTCAGGCCGATGCCGATGGATAAAACCCAGCAGATGGCAATGATGCCTTGAGCGCGCTGACCAGTCACCAAGCCGTTGTACCTGAGGCGAGAGGGAGACGACGCAAACGTCAAGGGGCGTCTCGAAAACCGTCCGAGGGGGCCAAAGAAAACAGCGTCGTCTAAAAGCTGCAGAGGAAGTTTCCCCTTTGATTTAGAATTTGATTAGCTGATTGCTACTTGGAAGCACTTCTCCTCCCCGCAAACAAAAAAGAGAGCGGGTAAACAAACAGTGCTTCATATAAAGAGTCTATTTTGGGTGAGCCTGTGTGGGAGAACAGCTGAGATATTTGTCTTGTTTCTATCACATTCTTGAGATGTTAAAGTGCAAAGGTTAAGCCCCAACCCCCCCATCATCACAGATGTAAAAAAAAAAAAAACAAGACAGATAACGCTCACGGATGATTTAGCGGGAGGCAAAAGCGGACGGCTGAGCTCCGTGTGGCTCTGAGGCTCAGCGTCTTCATCGCAATGACTCGCCGTGCCACTGTGGTTGTCTGGAGACATCTCGCCCTCACATCATTTCAACGCTAAATCACAGCAGACGTCTGGTTTTACTGGGAGATCTTAAAGTAAGATTACATGGGGGTTACAGAAGGGGAGGGAGGGAGGGGGTCACACGGTCTGTATAAGCAATTAAAGCACAATTCATTTGACTGCTCCGGGGAGACAAGGCCTCGTGGGAGGCACCATTTCTGGAATAAACTTATTCAGCCAAGGTTTTCGGGTTCAAATGTCACGTTTTTACTAACATCTAGAAAAACTGTTCTTCAAATGCGTCCTTTCTCTTTAGGAACATGAACATGTTTTCAACATGTTTATTCTGTATAATAGATTATAATTCAGGATAAATTGTCCTCCTCCGGAAGGGTCACTGACCTCAGCGGTATCTTGATGGCGATGTAGCGGTCGATAGCGATGGCCAGCAGGCTGAAGATGGAGCTCTGTGTGAGCACCAGCACGAAGCAGGCGATGAACAGGCAGCCATAGAAGTTGGAGCAGAAGCCGGTGCTGATGGCGATGGAGAAGGGAATGGCGAGGACGCCGACGGCGATGTCAGCCACGGCCAGCGACACCACGAAGAAGTTGGTGATGCTCTGCAGGTTGCTGTTGAGGCACACGGCCCAGCAGACCAGCACGTTGCCCAGCACGGAGAACAGGGCGATCAGCAGCTCCAGGACGATGTAGAGGGAGTCGTTCATGGTGAGACGAAGGGCGAGGTCACTGATGAGGAGGGAGGACACCTCGCCGCAACGACCATAGCTGCGGCCCCGGCGGCCACCGACCTCAGCTTCCTCACCTTCCAGACGCACTCCCCCCCCCCCCCTCACCCCGCCTGTTTCCCACAGTCCTCTCGAGGGGCCCAGATGACCGCCGGCGACGCAGCGATGGACGGGGCTCTGTGTCGCCGGGAGGGAGCAGAAGTGAAAAAGAGGAAATTGTTTTACAACACAGGAAGTGGATTTCAACAGTTAAGATTTGACAAACCCGAGGCGCTTTGTTGTTACTAAGAAAGACGTCTTTGTTTATTTTTCCTTTAAAGCAAAACAGTTAAGCAGAATTCCATCTACAGTCCACTAAACCTGCCTGAAAGAGATTTGAATCCAAACACCTTCACAGAGGCTTGAACAAGGGCAGAAGTCTGGAGGTAATACAACATTTTGAAGGTTTTGCCATGAAGGCACTTTCATTGTACACAGATCGGCCCATGTTTGCATAATACTTTTTGGGAGTATCTGGAGTTGAATCATAAACCCTTGTGAGCATCGGTCATGCCTGAGTGGGATAGATGTCAGAGGGTTTGAAGTAGGCCGGGCTCATGTTGCAGGAAGGTGATGCTGGTGATGCCTCATAGCCGAACAACCAATAACAATATTGAATCAGAATGTTCTGACAGCTGTTTGTTTCGATGGCAACGCTTGATGTCAATCTGATCGAGCCACACCATATTAAAAGGGGCTATTTCCATACTTTAGCTTTGATTCTAGCTTATTTCAGTCATTAGATACAAACGTTTAAAGATTAAACTATGTGTGAAAGTTCATCCCTGGTCATTCTCAAAACTTCTTCTCGATAAGGCTCTACTGACGCTTATGCTAATGTTGGTCTTTGAGGCATTCTTAAGTATAGTTCTTCTGAGCAATATGTCGCACACGATATACATTCCCAATTTGTGGATCCCAAGATTGTCTGATATGTGTGAGCCTTTGTCCATAAAAGGCTTAACAAACAGAAACCTGCTGGGTTTTTTTGGGAACTGAATTCTCTCAGGGGAATGTTTCTTGAGGTTACGATGAGGTTTTTGGAGATTACAGCTGTGGTGGAACAAAGCGGTCTTTGCTCTTTGAGTTAGAGTTTTCCCTTTGGGTTGGATAAGATGTTTTTATCAATACCAAAGACTTTGTTATTTCAAAGATGATACTTCTCAAGAGTTTTTTTTCTGTTCACTCTATTTGACTTACAATAAAGTTTTTGTTGGTCCCTTAACTCTGAGCCCTGGGACTTCGTTTGTGTCGAGGTCACAGACGTACCATAATGTTTAATGCATTTGTCCAAAATGACAAATCCCGGAGGACCGGGGTGGAAAAATAAATTTCGGAAAGATACGGCAGTGTCTTCCATGGAGTAAATGCATAAAAACAACTGGTTGATTATTTATATTTATTGTGAAACAAGGGACAGTGAAGATTCGTTTTTAAAGATCTTTAGCACAGGATTGATTTAATTTAAAATAATATTTGCATTCAGATGGCCAAATTAATATCAAAAATGGCATTTATTTAATTTGTCCATCAGCGTCACCATGAAAGCAACAAATCCCCTCATCGCGCTGGTCCTGCCACGCAGTGGAAGCACAGGAGGAACAAACGCCAGAGCGCTCGGCCTCCCGGGGGACAAAGCGGCCGCTGACGGACACTCTGAGGGGCAACTTGGCTGCCGGCAGAGCGAGTAGGACGGCTCCCCTCTCAGAGCAGCGCTGTGCCAGACAAGCCAGACGTTATTGAGCACAAACACTGCAAATGGTTTTATCTTTTCTGACTCTTAAGAGCCGTCTCTAATGTTCCCTGCGTGCATTTTACCTCCGACGTGAGCCGCTCCGGTGGGTGTGGTTGGAACACGGTGTCGGTTCCCTTTGATTTCTTTCTCTTTCACTTTCTCAGGTGCAACCATATGATGGAGGGTCATTATCTTTACAACATGTTTGCATTCACTACCATTTTATATGTGTTTTATGTGTGTGTGCACCGTCCCCCCCAGGGCCCCGCACCACCACTTTGGGAACCACGACTTGTGGAACTAATTGACTTTATTTAGACAGTTTGTTCAAACTTAACCTGACTTTGCACTTGACTCGAGATGAATATCCACTGTAGCATTAAACATGACAACAGCTGATTTTCAGACTCATCGGCCTGGCGTCTTACGTGTCAATCTATTCTTTAACAAATCAGAAATGAATGAGGAACTTACTGCAAGTGAAACATTAGTAAATCAGTCTTAATTTTAGTAGCTAATCAGGAGTTATTTAGTTAATGATTAGTTAAAAAGAAACAAGTAAAGAATGAATCAGTAAATTCTTGTTGGCACATTTCTGTCACGGAGGAGAAGGACTGCATAATAATCACGAAATACCTGAGAATAGATTGGGAGACCTTTTAATAATGACTCATTTAAGGCACTACATTCAAAAGTATTGAATCAAACACGCGACGTCACCCACCGGTTTGAATCCTTGAGGTGTTTTCCAAAGAAGAATGACACGAGGGCGTGACGCTAAGTAGACCAAATGCTAAATAAGACATGCGTAAGCAACCAAAGTGTCACAATCAACTTTGATGACTGTAAAATGCTAAAAGGGTTAAAGCTGTTAACCCTAAAATACGGAGCACACCCAGCGGCATGGCAGCAAGCTGGCAATCACACGGTAACCACGCCCGAAAGCACACACTGCTTTATCGTTTCATTTACTCTAAATAGGGCCATGAACGAACAATGTTTACTAAGCTAATCATTTAAAATGAGAAGTGTAGGGTAATTATCCTCGCATGCTTTTGTACAGTCGTACTTCTTCTTGCAACCAGAGATGCCACGCATGCTATCTATTCATACATCTATTCGTTTGTGTCTAAATACAGCTTTGTTGTGCCACCTCTTGATTACACGTTTATGCTTCGGACATACTCATTTGTAAATGCATTTCATACTTTTAATTTGCTCTTTTTATACATCCCCTGAGACATTTTGCAGTGGTATTGATCCCATAATTAGTTTTTATTACTAGCTGATCGGTCAGCAGTGCACCCTGACCCCATGGTGCAGTAGCACCCTCGGGTCCCCCCTTAGGTAAACATGGTCGGCCCTGTTGTTTGTACCTTTAGCCGCGTTAGCGTTTAGCCCCCGGATGAGGTTATAAAGGGAGTTTTTTAGGGGCCCAACGTCATACCTGGGGCCCCACACAGCTTCATCCGCCCAGTGGAGGTCACAGGGCGAGGTCACATTGACCCCCCACTGCAATGACTTCCTGCCTGGTTTAGTTCCCACAGGTGGGGAAAACTAACACTGATTTGTCTTTAATTCAACGTGCTGCTCCTGATGCTCTGCATGCTGCCTTTATTCTTTATATATCATGTCACGGTTAGGATCGCGTGCATAAACTCACTTCAAACCTCATTTCATGCATGATAAATGTAAACACTAAATTGTGGCGTGCGTTTGATTTTTTTGATTTTTTATGTAGAATTAAACTTTTTACTTAAAATTATGTTTTTCTTACCGTTTTTCTTGATGCTCAGGATTTCCGGCAATGACGAGAGATGATAAATAACCCACACGCGCTCGCAAAAAAGGCTTATAAATAAAAGTAAATGACTGTTTTCCTTCCCACTGAACGAGGAGTTGTGAGCGTATAAACAGGTTATCTCCGCCCGCTCAATGCAGATTGGGGCAATTTCTCTGCTCGCAATAGAACAAATAAACCTGCTTCTTCTGTGAATTTCTCCGGGCGGATGAAGTCGTTTCCTCTCTCTCTCTCTCTCTCTCTCTCTCTCTCTCTCTCTACCCCGCGCGCGCACGCACGCACGCACACACCTCCCCCGTACAACGTTTTCAGCCCGATGTGATCACGGTTTCCTCTCAGTTAAAAGACGTCGTGTGTTCAGATGAGTCCGTTGATGAGCCGCGAAAACGTCTAAATACTGTTAAATTAAGTGCACCGTTTAATACGGGACAGTTGTAAAAAGAAAAAAAAGCGTTTTCCTTGAAATACACAATTCATCTCTTGATATAAGAAACGTTTATGGGCAACAAATACATGTTTTTAGCAACTAATTATAATCTTTAAATCATTTCATGAAGTTTGTTCGCTTTATATGAACCCATTTTACCTAAAAAAAAAAGCAAATTCATTGTTTTAAAGTACTCACAATATTTACATTTTAAATTAAGGCAACTGTGTCAAGAGACAAACAAGTCCATTTGTAAACAATAACCTAGAGATTAAATTAAAAATAATCCAAATTTAAAACCTCCGCTGAGGTGAAATTTTTCTCTTGAGCACGTGCAGCAGAGTCGTCACTTTCTGATCGGAGGAATTAAGTGTTTATAGTCAACTAGAAAAGTTACATCTCAGCCATTCTCACCCTAAACTACTTGCTGAGACAAAGACGATAAATGAGTTTCAATGGTCCTAGAAAAAAAAAATGAAGATACAAAGGCCAGAATTTGTTGTTTTCGTTTATTTCTTACTGATTATCATCGTAGTGTGCACTTAATACTGTAGCTTAGTCCCTTTACACACTCACAAATACACCCACATTTATTCATTCAGCTTTACCCTTTCAAAGGGCCCATTTCACTGCATGTAATGATGAGGGGAAAAAAAAAAATGTGGAATGGATTGTAAAAAATAAAAAAAGGCAACATGGAATAAAAAAAGTAAAGCAGGTTCAGTGGACTACTCAGAGCATTTTCAAGTAAACAAAGAAATAAATGTAGGTTGACTTTTCACATTTGCTTTGCTCGTTATGGTAAAGCTACACATTTCTCCGGTCCTAAATAGTGTAACGTGTCCCTCGCGAATGCATCACGTGGAGGTGGAATGTGCTTCCTGGCTTTCACGAGCCGCCTGATCTCCTCTCGTGTTCATCCATCACTCTGTACATCAACACACGCAGGACCTCGTAAAGTCGCGGGACCGCCAAAGCGTGATCAAAAACACATTCCCCTTCCAGGATCGAGAGGCTTCGAATCATCCTGGAGCTCTCGGGACGTTCCTGACGGGAGCAATAAAACACACGTGGGCCCGCGCTGGAACCAGGCGGGACACCGTAAAACCGTTGGCCGACAATCCTCAGCAACAAAACCGCGATCAATAGAGAGACGGTGCTTTCAGAACTCATTAAATATTCACCTCGCACTCTTCTGCGCGCACACACACACATAAAAAAAAGGTCATTGTTGCAGAATCTTGTGCTATCGTTAAATCACTGAATGTCTCCTGCAGCTGCACACACTGGGTGGATGTTGCTTGGCAGGATGCGCTTCTAAAAATACAAGACAAAAACGTTGTATCCGATGTTGCTGTGGAGAGAAGCCTCATCTGATCAGAGTCAAAGCAGAGTGTGTGTGTGTGTGCGTGTGTGGTCACCTTCACCAGACAGTTAGTGACCATCACGCACCATTAGCGTTCCTCAAGGGGCTCAAACAAGAACGGCCTTGGGTTTAGTAACCGGTTCCACACTGCGACAAGCGCTAAGATAACCACGGTCTGAAATGTCACAGTTCGGATGAACTGTTTAAGGCAGGAAGTTGCGGAATACGGACAGCTTATCTCAGTGCAGCTACTTACTGTAATAAATTCACTTCAGACACACACGCATAAAGCAATGACCTCATTACAAGGGTTGGTAACCATGCAAAATAAATACAGTGAACTTGGTATGTTGAGGCAAGATAAACACGGCAGTCAGACCGCATAACATGGTGTCACTTTACTTTAAATCCCCTTATTTAGAATTTTGAAGGAGCATGTATACATTTAAATGACTTATTATTTAGTTAAAAGCCGCCTGTAAACATATTTTAGTGTTTATTAATGTATTTTTCCGCAACTGTAATTCTTCCTGTGGACACCCATAAGTGGAGGCTGCTTTATTAACAGATAAATAATGAAACTATATAGTGAATCAAAGTTGTAATTATATAAATAAATCTTGTTAGAAGTTATTACTGTTGAAAAAGTATACATCATTAAACATTCAAACTGTCCTTAAAGCTCTTACAACTACATTACACAGCGCGATAAACCATTAATGACATGTTTCTTTATTGCTTCTAAATACAAAATAAGGGGACCTAAAGTTGAATGCACACTAATGGTACTGACTGAAATCCCACAAAATATATGACATTGTGTGCTACAAAGTATCTCTACAATAACAAAGTCATCCTAGGAATTTCAAAAGGGTAGTTTCCCAAACTACTTGTCTAACACCACATCAGTATTCACACACTAAATATGGCAATGGTGCAATGAATTGTCCAATTACTTGTGCATATTTTGAGCTGAAAATGAATGATGACACATGTGAAAGGAATTATTCGGGGTTTCAGGAAAAACGATTTCTTGCCGTCCTGCCGGTTGAAGGAGGAGAGGATTGGAGCCCCTGATATCTGTGCATTGAATGTGAAACTAGAGCCAGCAGGATTCAAAGATTCAAAAGTTTAAGACTCTCTGATCTCAACACGACTTAAGAGTCAAACACACATTTCATCAAAAACGACTAACTACTACTCGCTCATATTTTGGTAACGATGAAACGACGCCGTGTGCATGAATGTGCCGGATGAAAGAATGTCCAAGTGCAAGGCCGGGAAACGCATGTCTACCAAATGCAAACCCTCATCGTCTCCGTACGCACGTCCGCGCTGCTGCAACACGGCATATTTCTGTCAGTCGTGAGCCGATGCTCACGATGTAGTGGCTGTCTGCAGCATCGCTCCGTCCTCGTTACCAATTATGTCAGAAAGGGACAATCGGAAGGCCGCAAAGCATATTTTGGCAACGGCTCCTGAAAATCTTCAGCTTCACAAAGTGTAGTGGGAGGGAAAAAAACAACAACTGCCGACTTCTGTGGAGGTTTGGCACGTAGGGAGAGCGCATTTCCTGCTCTCCTCACAGGCACTTTATCCATCAGAAGAGAGAGAGGCACCTTTATCTTTCTGTGACGTCTGGAAGACTTGGAGCAATAAGGCTGCGTCTTGTCTCGTAATAATGAGGCTCGTTTCTGTAGAATCTTCCCGCAAATTATTCACAACTAGGAACAAAACATGAGGTCTATTGATGAGAATAAATCCTCTGACTAAGCTGAATTGCAGGAACCCCCTCCTCCCCCCCGGAAACTAGTTTTCACGGTAAAGGAACATCATTCGCCGGGTAGAAGGCACTGAGACTCGGTTGGCTAAGTAGTGTTGCAGTGGACACGCAGACGAGCCCCTCGGACTCTCCACACGGCATCGGAAGGATTCAGGAACTGTGTACCTGTGGTCTATCTCAGTGTTATATATTATTGGTGCGGAGGGGGGGGGGGGCAGATTGTGCCGCAGCAGCAGGGTGGGGGGAGATGGCGGCGGAGTCAGGTCTCAAAGTACTTGTATATGGCCGTGACATAAGTCATGACACTTTGCCAGTCCGGCCGCTCCGTGTGCACCATCTCATTTATGTCCTGGAACACAGAGAAAAGACGGTTAAGGAGGAAAAACCCGCTTAGAAACTCCAGCCGCCTGTTAACAATCAATGTACTGACCACGCGTGTTATTTAACCCCTTTGCAAACACCTTGCTTCTGTATCTCCCCTTAAAAAGAACGGTAGGTTCACATTTGGGGAAAGGTTCCGTCTTCCTGAGAGTTGGATGAGACTAACGGAGCAATCTTCATTTTCTCCACAGCAAACAAAATCAACCTACATCTAATTAACACGTTGCATCGCATTTACTTTATCTTTGCTGAGCCAAATCCTCGGCCCCTTTTTTCGACAGAATTTCCCAAAACAATGAGTTATTAAAAGTGTTTGGGATATACACAAGGGTTTAAAATAAAGCTGTGTATATAAACAATGTCTATCTGCACAGCTCGGGTTCTGGGTACTGTAGTTCAACTCTGTCGTATGATAAGAATATTTATATTATGAGTAAGAGGGACTTATCATTTAGAGTAAGAACTAAAATTGGGCAAAGAGAAAAAGACGTACGTGTTTCTGTCCACATTCCTGTGAGTATACATAATATCTATATCAAGGCATTTCATCTGAGCCAAAGGTGTGTCTGGATTTCTTCCCCTCCTTTACACTTGGGGTACAATTTTGCAATCATTTTAGTTCTATTCCCCAGAATAAAGTCGTCTCATGTATCAAGCTTACCAGAGTGCATTTGATGCCCACACTCTCTGCAGCCTGGAACGCTAAGGTGAAGTTTCTCCTCTGAGAAAAGAAGAGAGTCAAAGTCACACTTTGCACCGCCAGGTCTCACGCGCCGGTGATGACAAGAGGCGTGGCGGCTTTAAAAAAAAAAAAAGAAAATAAAAGGTTGGGGGCTCTTCCGGGGGCCCTACTTGCCTTCTCCTGGCTGGTGAGCTCCTGGTAGGGGATGTGTGCGGGCAGGTAGGTGTGCAGCACAGCGCAGAAGGCCAGGCCGTCGTTCCAGCTGCTGCTGAAGTTCGTGATGTCAATGTTCTGGTGAACAAAACAATAACAATACGGTCACAATAAACTCAGCGCTCACGGAAGTCTTTAAAATGATTTAACCACAGAGCCCTGCAGCTCGATCTCTGGTCAGACCTGGGGTTTTATATGATGTGTCAACAGTATTCATATACCTTTTTTCGCCCACCCCCGCCTTTGACCTTTAAAAGGAGTCGTTAAATGTAATGTAAATCGGTGATTCTAAACCCCCACTGAGGTTATAAGCAACGAGACACGCGAGTCTCCTCAACTATTATCTGGATATAGTCGCAATGATTCAGAGATAGCCTGGTGTTTTTCTCAGGTAAGTCACTCGCAGGATGTGTGAAATGTTGCACACTTCCTGAGGAGGAACCCGGCTGCCATGGTAACCACAAGACCTATTTAAAAAAAGAAAAAGTGGTAAACACAGCTAAGAATGATCACCACCAGGTGATCATTCTTAGCATTCATTATCCCTGCAGAAGTTTAGAAAAGGTGAATTTTTATTTCAAATCAGTCTCTTCAGCAACAACGCCATCACCACACCGGACAAAACCCGGAAACCCACATTTTATACTGAAAAGTGGCAAACGCATCAAAAAGAGATAAATGACCTCACAGAATAGTTTGTAGTCATGTTCGGAATTTCTTCTGAAAAAAATATTTATATTTTGGTTTAAATAGTGGCGCCAAGTAAGTAAGTTCTAGGGATTCACAGGAAACGATGCAGCATGTCCCCTTCGCATTCAGATGACTCATAGGCAACCTTCTTTTTTACTCCCTTAATACCGTAAAACAGGCCCGTGACGTGTAAAACCTTTGAACTTCATTTGTTACTTAAATCGGCTCGTATGAGCTGGTTCCCTGCAGAGTTCCTACCTGATAACCCTCAGTCTTCTTCTGGCACCACTTCAGCAAGGCGTTTCTCTTGGAGCCTCCATACTCTCGGGCCAGTGCCGACAGCGGGTCCTTTCTCTCTTCTCTGCACAGGCGACACGTGTGAGCCAACAGTCACAGTTTTTAGAAGATTTTGCATGTCAGCGAGGCATACAGATTACAGAGTAAGCATGTCTTCCATGCAGAGTGAGCTAGGACGTCAAAAACGCAACCCGGCTGTCGCATCAGAGCAACACGCGGGTGAGTCAGGGGCCCGGCAGGTGGTACCTTAGGCGGCTGCGTGCTGTGGGGGTGATGGAGGCGGTGGGGGAGGAGGAAGACAGGGAGAGCGGCGAGGAAGCGGCACTCATAGCCATCAGGGAGCTCGAGGAGGAATCCGGAGCGGACATGTCCCTCTTTATCTCCTCACTGCTCCGACGGGACACTGCTCGGGATGCGGGACACGGTTAAATAAATAAACCACGGACGGAGTTGGTTTAAAATGAGCTCATATAACTTAGCCAGGATCTCTGACCCGATATCGTCTTGGTGGAGTCCATGTTGGAGCCCCTCTGGTGGACAGACGGCGGTCGGCTAGCCGAGGTTCCCCTGAGAAGGTGCTCGGCTGTGGATACATCAAAGTATTTACATCACATACAGTGCTTCTATAGCGGGACTTCTCCTGAAATGAAATAACGGGGTCAGTGAAGAATCACATTCCAGCTCCTCTGAGCTCAGGAAATCCCGAAGAACAGCAAGAAAACAACTCAGAAAAAAACAAATGGAACATTGGAGACCGTAGCCAAGTCTGCACGTTCACAGAAGAACACTTGAACTCATCACTGGAGAGAGCAAACCGTGGGAAATACGACATTACGTGGCAGTTCATCTTTTCCTCTCTTATCGTCCACTCCAGTGTTTTGATTCACTCGAACATGAAGTCAACATACAGTAAACCTGCTCCCTGCCAACTCCAGGCGCCGGAGAGGAAACCGCTTCATTTCTCATGAGAGTGGTCCGCTGCCGTTAGCTGCTTGTTCACTGTGACCCAAGTGCAGCAGAGGGCAAAGGGCTGGAGCATTTCCTGTGTGTGACCCGGCTCCGACCTCATCTTGCTCTGTGTTTGAACAATGGCGGCGGCGGCGGTCGTCTCACCTGGCATGGTGAGGTCAGTGTAGCTGGGCCTCTTGTCACTCAGGGACGAGAGCGGCTTGGCTGCTGACATGGAGCCGGGTACGGAGTGTCTCTGAAACAGCGAAAACAATGACAGCCCCCTGCATCACAAATCCTGTAGAGGGGTCTTAACGGAGAATAAAACCATCTAAAGCGTTTAACTTTCTAAATAGCCAAACAAGTGTCTCTACATTTGGTGATTTTGGCAGTCTAAACTAATACTACTACAGACAGGAACACACTGGTAATTATGGGTTTTGATTTATTATGGTTAGATCACCTACAAGTGATACAACTGTATGGACCAATTTATGACTAATGATTTTTTTGCCATCGTATTAAATACTAATTCACATCTGATAGAGTAAACTGTGAAGTTCTCCTGAAGAACTCACCCGATAAAAAACAAACCAATATAAAAATGACAGGATGTGTGTCGCATATTTTACAGTGTTTGATCCAGCAAACTTTCAGGTACGAACTGTTAATAACAGGTTTTCCGTGTCCTGTAGTTTCCAATGCCGTCTGGTGAAGCCACTGCATAAGGTAACACTGCAGAAAGGTATTCTCCTCCTGTACCTGTATGGGTGAGACAGCCGCCGCTGGGGGCGTCTTCATGGGACTCGGGCTGAGGGGGGTGCGCGGGAGCGGAGCGGCAGCGGCTGTCGGCGTCGTGCAGGGACTCCCGTTAGAAGGAGGGCCTGAGCGAAAGGTGAAAAGGAAGAAAATAAAAACTGGAGTCCGTTCAACACGAGTGACCGAGCTCCCCTGACGCAACAGAGGCTGCTTCCTCCCCCGATCCAAGTGAGGAGGGCGGCAGTGCGCTACCTTGCGAGGCGCTGTCGAAGCTCTTGATGAGGGTCTTGACGGTGGGCGAGGGCTCTGAGGAGGTGGAGGATCGCCGGCTGAGACCCATCCCCTGCCTGAGAGCCGCCAGGTCCCTCTCCACTGCGTTCATGTAGTTATACACTCTGCCTCTCTCCTCGTCCTGCCTGGGAAACACACAGTGCTCGGCTCGGTTCGCACTCTCACAACTCCTACTGGGCCCCTAATTCAGGGGTTAGAAATATGCTGCAGGGAGAATTATGGTGAACTTGGAAGGGAAATCGCATTAGTTTATGGTGTGAAAGTCAATTTTTAAATGGGTTAAACCTGTGAGTGAGCAAAGTTAGATCTCCCCTTATTTGTTTTACAAACATCAGATGGACGAGGTCAGCGTGACCGGTGGTACTCGTCCAAACGTCTCTCCGCGGGTCTTACTTGCGGCTCTTGACCTCGTCCAGCTCCTTGCACAGCTTCTCGTTCTTCTCCTGGTTTTCCTGCAGCCGGCGCCGCAGGTCTCCGATCTCCTCCTGCGCCTCGGACTTGATGTCGTTAGCGATGACGACGGCCGTCTGCAGATCCGCCTGGAACTGACGCCACTCCATAGACTCCTCCTGTGCGCGCGAAGACAAACACACACACACACACACACACACACACACACAAATCACTAAATTGGTATTTGTCATTTTTTGGCCATGCAATTAAGCTGCAACATCTGACATAATGCAAACTTACAAAGTTGACGTGCTGAACGTTTTAGCAGACAACACATATTTATACAAAACAATGGCTTTCTATAACATCAGAACATCAGTCAATTCTGTCATTACGTTATTTACAGAGAGAGCCGAGGGGTTATTGTGTCTTTCTAGCAGTAAAGCATCTAGGTGGCTCATTAAAAAGGCATGGCCGTGCTCGCATTTGGGAGGCAGGGGTTGTACAGGCGGGACCTTGATACTGTGGCTCCACCCCCTGATCACTTCTACGCAGACTTTGGCTCCTAAAAATTCGATGTGCGATGAGCAATGTTTTGGAGGAAGTGAGGATACGTCGGCCATCTTTACATAAAGTCAACAGTTTAAACTAGTGTCTAAAATTGCAGCAGTCTCGCATGCCGTCTTCCTTCCTTCTAGTGAAGGAATCTAAAGTCAAAGAGCTCCATGCTAATCAGAATGTGACCCCAGTCTGCCTTCAAATGCCCACCCTGCTGCAGCATGGCTTACCCTGCTTACCCTGAGTTTGCGGTGAAGAATCTTAATCTCTCGCTCCATGTCGTGCTTCTGGTCCTGCAGCTTCTTCATCGAGTCTGAAACGGGTAGAGAGGTATACTGCAGTGAGCAGAGTCGGACCACGACAACAAGCTCCAACCGCTCTGTGTGCGCTCAACCCGCTTACTCTCGAGGTCCGTGATGATGAGGTTGTCGTGGAGTTTAAGAGCGCGGTGCTGCTCCACCTCGTCCTCCAGCTCAAATATGGTTTCCTTCATGTCGGCAATCTCGGTCTCCTTCTCCTGCAGCTCCGCTCGCTGCTTCTCCAGGACGCGCTCCTGCTCGGCCATCTGCTGCTGCACCTGCTCCTGGAAGTGTCTGTAGTCCCGGTCCAGCTGCACGCACAGGAAGAGTGGTCCTTCATTTCATTACACGAGCCAAGAAGCAATCAGCGGACTATTGTTCAACAAAGCCGTTACCGTTAAGTGACAGGTATCGTATTGTGCACAGTGTGTGTGTGTTAAATACGTCCTCTCAGTGGTGTCATGTTACTGAGGTACTGTCAGGAAGGCGGACTCTGGAGAAACGGATGTGACATTTTACAAAGCCAAATCTGACTCCGCTCCATAGGCAATTAAACTCTCTGTCCAATCTAGGCCGAACACTTAAATTTAGCAGCTTACGGCTTCAGGAAATTGATGCCCTGCACTCCGTTTTGTTAATAGAGGCCGACTAATCCCTCCAACTTGTTCCACTAACCTTACTGAAAGCCTCCTGCAGCCGAGCGAGTTCACTGTGGGCCTGCGCCAGCTCCTCCTGCAGCTTGGCCGCCTTGGCCTCCGCCTCTTCTTTCCCCTGGCGTACCCCTTCCAGCAGTTGGCAGATGTCATTTTTGTCCCCGGCCGTGTGCAGCGAGTACAACTCGGCCACCCTCTGCCTCTCCTGGTCCAGCTGGTTCCTGCAGCGGCTCAGTTCCGCCTGGTCGCTGCTCACCGCCGCCTTGTACTCTTCCAGAGCGGCGCCCATGGCGGCTCGACCCTGCCTCTCCGACTCCATGATGCGCTCCATCTGGTGGTTCCGCTCCTTCAGCGCTCCGATCATCTCTTGGGCCTCGGCGTTGTCCTGCTCGGCCATCTTCAGAGTGTTGGACAGGTGCTGCTGAACCCCGAGCAGCTGCTCCCTGTCAAAGTGGGCGTTGTCCGACAGGTCCGAGTAGCGCTGCTCCAGCTCCATGTAGCGGCCGCTCTTGATGTCCTCCTCCAGCCCGTAGGAGATGTGATGGTCGTCCAGCAGCGCGCGCAGGTACTCGATCTGACGGCCGTACAGCTCCAGCTTGTCGCTCTGCTGGCACAGCGAGTCCATGAGGATGGCCTTCTCCTCGCCCAGGCGCTCGTTCTCCCCGTTCAGCTCCTGGGTGATCTGCTGCAGGTCGGCCAGCTCCTGCAGCGTGGCCTGGAGCTCCTCGGCCGTGCTGTGCTGGTTCTCCTCCATCTGGTGGATGCGCTCCGTCAGGCAGGCCACCGACACCTCGCTGGCGTTGTCGCTGCTGCCCCTGCGGGAGCGCTCCCGGCTCGGCGCGCTCTCCGACTCCGACGAGGAGGAGGGCGCGTCCAGGGCGTCGTCGCTGGAGGTGACCGCCTGGTAGACCTCGCTGGATTCGCTGTCGAGGTTGTCTGCCGAGCCTCCGTGCTGGTGCCCCGCCAGCAGATCCTCCAGGGAGCCGGGGGTCGAGCCTTCCACCGAGGAGGTCAGGGTACCCGTGCCTCCGCCGTCACTCTGCCCGCTGCCGGCGGCCAGGTCCGGGCTCAGGCAGGCGTAGTTGAACAGCTTGTCGGAGGCGTCCAGCCTCTGCTCCAGGGAGAAGCCCAGCGCATTGAGCCGGTCCTTCAGCATCCGGTTCTCACTCTTCAGGAGGTTGAGCTCCACTCTGATGGACTGGTTCTGCTCCTGCAAGAGGATCAGGGTCGACTCCACGTCAGCCGCCGTGATGGCTGAAACCTGGGGCTTCTCCACCTCCTCCACCTGCTGCTGCTGCTGCTGCTGCTCCTCCTCCTCCTCCTCCTCCTCCTCTTCCTGCTGCTGCTGTTCCTCCCTGGCTTCTTCCTGCTGCGCTGCCTCCTTCCCTCCCAAGCCAAGCTGGGCCCTCATGTCCCTGAGCTCGCCCCGCAGGTGAAGGATCTCCACATCTTTGCTTTTAGCCAGACCCAACAAGTCTTTGACTTTGGTCTCCAGAGCCACCTTGTCGCTGATCTGGCCGTCCGATTTAGACTTGCTCATGCGGCCCTCGGACTCTGCCGGAGGCTGGCCTCGAGAGCGCTTCCCCGATGCCGCGGCATCCCCCGCCGCGGGCCCGGACACCGCCTGCTTCTTATTGGCCGACGCCCTGGATGTGCGGAGACGCTCTCGCGATGAATTTGGCTCCTTGGCAATCGAAGAGGTTGTCCGCTTGGATGAAGCACCTGGTGAGAGAAAGAGGGGAAAAAGTCCTCTTTGCATTTTCAGTGAAACAACTTAATGAAGATAAATGTCACGCGGAGGAATAGACCATATTACCCGCTGTCATCTTTGGCTTGCTGTCTAGGTTACTAGCATTAGTCCCAACGGAGGCGGTCCTCTTGGTCTTATTCACAGGGTTACTTGACGCCGGATTGCCTCCGGTCATCGCTGCTAAAAGGTCATCATTGCTTTTCACCTGAAAGCAAACACACACACGCACAAAAACAAAATACATCAAACTCACTCACAAACCAGCAAATCATTCACACACGCATCTGGCTTGTCACGTGACGAGTACTACCTTGGGCAGAGGTGCCGTGGCGCTCGTCTTGGCGGCTGGCTTTGCGGTCCCAGAGGTCGCCGTGCTCTCAGCCTTCCCTCGGTCCCCGCTGCCTTTGCTCACCGCGGGCCGGACCGACTTCTTCATACTGAGCTCTCTGATGCCGATGCATCTACGGCTCAATCTGTGCACAGAGGGGGGCGGGGAAAGGTAATGTATGTCAGCGGCGCAGAGTGATGGCTCTAATTTTCCATGGAAGAGGAATTCTTTCCACAGAGGCAATTCCCTTAACGCTAGAAAGCAGCGAGACCACACCGAAGAGCTGAGCCCCCGTAGAAGAAACCGTTTGTCGCTTCTGAGCTTTATTCTACTTTTTGGGATTTTAATTTGCTTATTCTTCTGACCCCTATAATGTTAATGTAGATCTTATCTGTTTAAAAGAAGGCGGACATTGGAATGGAGACTGAAAAAAGGTTGACCGATATCTCCACTAGATGGCTCTTGCGTATGCGTCACCGCTCTGACTTTGGCTTGCCTGTCAGCTGTAACAAATATTGCACCAGATAAAAAGAGTTTAAATCTGAGTGGGAGGTTGGCTGCTGTCTTCACTCTGCTCCTCATTTAGCGTGGACAAAGATGAAGAGGCAGTACAGAGTTTCTCCATCGCTTACTTCTGCCTGACAAGCATCAGCAGAGGCCACCAAAAAAGGAAGAAAAAAAAAAAAGAAATAGACTCCTCCACACATCAAAGTGAAAGCTCGAACCAACACAACTGCAGTCATATTTCGCGAGCTAGTTACGCGAATCGGTAAAGGCGGTTACCGGGCAACCGTTCTGAATAATCATCTCGCACTGCCAAGAAATCTGTTGTGCTCGTTCCAGTTCATAATCACTGTTGCTCTATTGAAAAACAACTCGACGACCTCCCCAGAAAAAAATATCCTCACAACTATTTAATGGGAGCACATTCTTGCAGCGTAGGTTGGTGTGCTGCCTCGCGCATCGTCGCGAAAATAGGGCGCGAATTATTGACAAAAATACTCACACCATTTCCACTGAAGCAATGTTGGATTTATCTGTTGTTGTGTTGTTGTTTTTTTTTGTGGGCCAATAATCGATCATCATTAGGCAGTGAAACTGTCTGTAACCAAATAACAAAAGCCAGGAGGCGTCCTACAGAGTTGTGTGCGCGTGTTGCCTCCAGGTCTGAGCAGAATCTGACTTGATGCCACGATAGCAAGAAGAGAGATTTGGGACCCGGCTGGAGACCAAGAGCAAGTACTTTAGCAAAGATTTGGAGCTCTCTTGCTTTGAGGCTCTTGAGAAGAAGAGAAAAAAAAAGAGGTTATTTATTGTACGCCGGAAACGCAGCAATAATCCATCTCCGGGTCTGTTGTCCCCCACCATGCAGGAGTTTATTATCTCGATATGAAAATACATATAATCAAAGATCCGCAGTAAATCAGACTCTATAAACAAAACGCTGTGAGAAGTTGACCAGCGCATTGTAGCGAGAGCGCGGATGTTTAGACGGTGCACACACTGAAACGTTTCCATGAACCTTAACTAAATAAACACACACTGCAAAAACAAATCAATATTTCGGATCCGATTCAGGCGGAGCAGCAGGGGAGGGTCAGTACACAACGGCTCCCATCCGAGGTTCACAATCCACGATCGACCTTTCTCTCTCTCTCATTCCTGATGCTTCCAGATAATTAAAAAATGACCTGCTACTAAGCTGCACTTCATCAGAAACATACTACTCCAATGGATCATCGCCGTGTCTCCTCGGTACAGACGTCACTTTAAATCTTCCATTTCCAGCGTACTCGCTTGATTCCTTTCTTTCTCCCAGGGACGATATTTATTAGGCTTATTGTTTCTGTCTGGATAGCTTCCAGTGACGTAGACGCTAAGAAGTCTTTATCTCCACCTCGCTCATTCGACCGGACACACAATCCTTTAGAAAGACTTGGGCGGAGTTTGATTGGACTTCAAGATAAAAAGGAGAGATTTCCAAGTAGCAGCAATAACACGTGTGCTGTTCTTATAGGCCACAGAAAAACAGGCCACATGCCAGCAGACCACAGACGGTTGTGTACAGAAAGCGCTGCGAGCAAACAAAAGAAAACAATCTTCCCGGCCTCACGGGAGGAAACGGCCAATAATGTGTCTCAGCTGGTAGATTTCAGTCCCTGAAACCAAGCTCGGGTCATGACGAACCCAACTCTCAGAGTGCTTTCATCCGCAGCCTCTCTGATCAGGAATATAACGTCCACGACGAAACCTGCATCTTTCCCCCCGTCACCATCCTCCGTATAAACGTGTTTACGTTGCGGCCGTTCTTGGAGAGCGTGCGTTTGGTCTGGTCCCGCTGCGCGTCCCCCACAGCTGCAGCGCATGCGTGCAGGTGGTTTTAAAATACAGGCAGCTACGGATCCATGTCTGGGAAACGTCTTCCCTGCACTTCTACCGTCTTGTGAACGTCTTCTCACTTATTTGATGCGTCCGCACCAACGCAGCTGCTGAAGTCACCCACGCCACCGAGTGGCCGAGGACCCGGCTCACGTTGGGACTATATTCTGACACTTTTATGGAATACCTCTCTGGCTCATCTTCACACCTAACTCTGTACTAATTGCGGGTGCTTTTATTCCCCCAAAAACGTGTTTCAAAGGGCGTTTTCCCAGAGTACCGAAAAACTGAATGTGTGTGTCAAAGCAGATGTCTGAAACGGAGAGCAGCTGAAAAGCAGATCTCTTTTCATTGGACCGGAATAGACGTGGGAGCAGAGGCCACTTGCTTTTTGTTTCACTCTCCAACTCTGCAAATCTACAGGAAAAACCTTTGTGTGTGTGTGTGTGTGTGTGTGTGTGTGTCCCCCACTTTAAACACTTTTAAGACCATAACTAAAAAGACACATACCAAGCCTTTATATACACACTATAGCCTTTTACTGGCTTCATTTGTAAAATGTACTTTTTGTTTTCCTGACACCCCCATCCAACATCTGTGATGAATCACAACAAATCGAAAACGACCCGGTTACCGGGATGATGGAAAAATAAATATTTTTTCATGGTGACTCCACAGGACATGTTCATGAGATAATGATTATTTTATAGCTAAAAATATTTAACAAACCACACAGAAACGAAAAGAATTCTTGCCTCTAGCAGGTAAATGTCTGTCAGCTAATAAATAATTAGCAAAGAAAACACCTTGACTCAATCTAGCCATGTACCCCCCTCTATGCTGCAGAACACAAGCTGCTCCTCCATAAGCCAGAAGCCAATAACACTGATCCTTATCCAAATTAAACAGAGCTGCAGCATTCAAATTCAGTTTAAAGGAAAGCGACGGATCTCATCCGAGGCTGGACACGGCAATAAGTGTGTGTGTGTGTGTGCGCGCAGTCTTCCTTGACAGACAGCTGCACGAAGCCTGAGATGGAAGACGCGGTTGAAACAGTCGAGTCGAGTGTGAACAGAGGAGGAGAGTTTGGGGGGGTAGCAGGGGTCCAGTAACTCATCAATAGTTCCCTGCTCTCCTTCCTCATTCATGCTTTAACTGCGGGGAGGCACCTCCTTGCCAAAACATCAGCTTCCTGTGGTGAAAAGGTCTCCAGTGTGTGCGTGTGTGTGTGTGTGTGTGTGTGCGGACAAGCAGGCACCAGTCTGCCTGAGACAGAGCAGAAACTGTCAAGCAAAGAATTTCATTATATAATAATATGCCTCTTTATTCATAAAAAATGGCTTGTTTAATTGCATTCCAGGCTCGTTTATGATGTCGCCTTTCAATCATTTAATTGTAACGGTAAATAACGGATTGCGCTATGACATGTTTTGGAGTTACTATGTATACACTTTCACTTCGTTAGCATTAACAGTCGTGCCTAGGACAAATAATTGAATGATCTTTAATAAATGTCAAAAAAAAAGAGTTTGGTCCTGACCGGTCAAGTTGTCTTGGAAACAGATGTACTTATCTACCCTCACTTGGGGGACAAAGTTCCCGAGACTGGAGAGATTTCCCCTCCAAAATATAATCTAAAAGCAAAGCAATGACGAGGCAAAGCCAAGGAGGGTCTCCAGGACATTGATTTAAAGAGTGGGCTGTGAAATATTGCTCTTCCTGGGGCTTTTCCAGGAAAGTTGGGAAACATCTGTGGTCAAAAGGGGAGATGATTTAGATGAAGGGAGTTTGAGAGAGCGAGAGAGAGGAGGATTTAGTGAGATACTCGGAGCCCAATGCTCTGCAATAGTTTGCTGCTGTGGCTAAACAAAAGGACACCGACCTGCTGCAGCATCAGTTCCCTGTTGACTCCTCTCGGGGCGCGCGTTTACGTTTACATTGTTTGGGGTTACACCTACATTAGCAGCCGCACGGCTAACAGTAGCACAAGCAGTGTGTCATTCAACCACACGAGCAAGCAGACCCTTCTACCGAACCGAAACAGTGGGGTAAAGACAACTTTCAATCATGTTATAGAAAAAAATACCGACTTTGAAGCAAGGAGATGACACGACTAGCTGGTTATCCATTAGGTCAGACATGCAGGGAATGTCAGTAATTGTACTTCCGGTTTGGCTGTTGGCCTTCAAAACAAAAGGCCCAAAGTGAGACGCGTAAACTGACGACCGACAACTATTCAAGACATTGTTGTTATTATTTTAAAACAGCGATAGAGCATCATTATAGACCGAGAGTGAAAGAAGATGTTTAATAGATCATATAAAATGGTAAAGTGTATGTAATGTGGTTTTTTAAGCAGAGAGTACGAGTCAAGATACTTATAATTGACTAGAGTCAAACGGTCTACCGACTTTACATAAGCAGAATTATTTAAAGACAATACGGTGTAGTTCGGTCAAGATGTGCAAAGTAATAAAGTAGACAAATTAGAAATCGATTAGAGTTGATTTAAGATCACTGAACATAAAAACAAAAGTTATGTGATAAATGTAGTAAAAAAAACGACTGTTGCAGTTCAAGTTAAATTGCCTTAAATCTGAAATAAAGCTTCCAACTGTTACATTGACGCGCGTTTAGTAATAAAGACACTACGGACTACACGAAAAAACGACTTATTTTGAAAGACTTTCTAGTAAATGTCCATAGGATTTCACCTAGCTTGACAGCTAACCAAAAATCTGGTTTGGTGGTCTTTAAAACAAGTATTATTATGCCATGTGAAACCGACGAACACACAAGAGGGGTCTTCGTGATCAACGTCACTTTGGAGAAGGTTTGTATGTTCATTTAACAGCTATTTAATCTCCCACGGCAGTCAGTAAGCAATGGCAAGGCTAAGGCTGCTAATGCTATCGATAGGCTAACAATGTTAGCATAGCCGGTGAAGAGACAGCGCTCCGCGAGTAAGAAGACACAACATTCATACCTGCGGTACTTCTCATTTTTGTCTTTGACGCGTTGATAAACGTCCAACGGCGGCTCATTTGGCGGCGCAAACAGTTCACTTATTCACAACTTCGGACTGCGGGCAACATCGGCTTCGGACGTCAGTTTCTTTCTGTCTGGCAGCAGCCGGATGATCCTCTCTCCCCCTCCTCTGGTTGCATCATTTCAGCATCGCCCTCCGGACCTGAGAGGGGGGGGCAACACTTTACTGCCTTCACGGGGGGCTTGAAATCCAGTGGGTCGATTATTAGTGTTACACCGGGCGATAGGCCAAAAGACAATCAGCTTGTCCCATATTGTCCCTGCTTACTCAACCAGTGGTACCTGCAGATTGTCCCTCCTAAAGTTTACATACATACATACCAATATCAACAGCATATAGAACATTTGTTGTTGTGGTTGTTGTTGTTTTGGTGGTTGCTTAATCATAACACATTGAAATAATGCTTGCATATCATTTACCATTACATTTTTTCAAATGTCTGAATTAATTAATCAACACATGTCCAGTGATCCTGGACCACCAAAATCCAAACATGGTAAAAGTTTTACTTTTTAATTTACAGGCTCATCCGTCCTCTCCAGTGTAGAAATGCATGACATTTGAGCTAGGAGTTAGAACTTGTCAGAGGCCATTCTTTTTACAAGTATGTTTTGTCACATGTTATGAAAGACGCTGCAAGAATAGTATTGTCAAGTTTTTATTTACATAAATCACACATACAAGATCCACCAGTCTTGTCCGAAGAATCGCTAACAGTTATGCTTGCTTTTACTTACATCACAAGCCTTTAAAGTTATACTTTGTGCTACCAAGTGTTTCAATACTTTCAGTGATTTGGAGAAAAAAAATGAAAGTACACCGTGTACTTTTAGAGAGTAATACCAGGTATGTGGATGATTGACCTTTTAGTAAGCCAGGAGACGTGGATATGAGTGAGTCGCTGTGCTTCAAGAGTCCACCTAGGGGACTTTTGGTATTTGAGCTCATTTCTACAGTGGTTTTTTCCAATATAGGTAACAGTATGGGTGAGGAATGCAGGAAGCACACACAAACATAAACTGAAGAATCAAATGAGAAAAAAAACACAAATTATATGAAATATGGACAAAAAACTGAAATTAAAATGATACACAGCTCAGTGTACATTTCACAGATCAGGCCTCGCCTTTTCCTGCATTAACTTTCCTTTAACTCATCTGTACCACTTTCTAAATAAAAAGTATCACTTATATCCACACAAAAGTTGGTTTGGGAACCACAGGGAGAGAAATGATCTGAAAAAAAGACAATACAAATAGCATAGCACAGATACCACCGACTTTAATTGCTTTGGTCAACATGCCTGCATGTTGCTGTTTTCAGTCCCAAAACTAAATGCTGTGAAAAAAAAAAAAAATGAAGAGCGCGTATGTGTGTGTAAACATTTGGTTAACTGAAATGTTGTATTGGCCATCAGCAGGGAAACATTGGCGGAGGTGAGGCTTTAAACATGTCGAACATTTCTAGCAAAAACGCATGTGTAGACATGAAAAATAATCGGCCTTTTTCATCCGCCCCATTCCTCTACAGAAATAAATCTTACAATATGCAACTACAGCAGAAATCTCCTTCTGTGTATATGCAGCTAATGTGCATGTTGACAGGACAGTGGAAACAACACCGTAGTACAGTAAAGAATGCCTCTTGAAACTTGAATTAAATAGAAAAAAAGGAATGACATATTTTGTGCATACATCATGTAGGCTTGTAAGTAAACAGAACCCCCGGGCTCCGTCACCACTACCCCAAAAATCATGGCTTTGGTCACTGTGGCGGTTTCTAGCTCGCAATGCGTGGATGGTTCCACCTAGTGGCTACAATAATAAGCACCCTCAGAGTAAACCGGCCAGCCGCGTCTGCTCGGCAGCCTCCGGCTCATCGAGCGGCAAAGAGCTCCGTTACGGACGAGTGGCCGATGTCCCGGTTATACTTCTGAAGAGAAGAGAAGGCTTTGACGTTTGCTGTCGGGGGCCGGGATGCCCTCCAGCTGGAGGAAGTAGAGAAGGACTTGCACCTAACAAACGCAGGAAAAAGGCGATCAGACCTGCGGCCCCAATGTCATCAGTCTGAATTGCCAATACCCCGACGGGCGGTTTTACCTGAGCCATGACCTCCAGGGACCAGCTGTCGTTCATGGAGATCGGCTGCGGGCTGTTTGAGATCTTGCTGTCCTTTTCGGAGGGACGCAGCAGAGTGGGGCCGAAGACTGTGGCCAGATTGTGCAAAGACATCTTGTTGACGCTCTCATTTTCAGTCACCCTGTAGGAGCAAAGAGGCGAAATATTGTGACCCGACTCCGTGGTAGGGTTTCCACTCTTAAAACACGGAATCGGCCCGTATTTGAGAATAAAACAGCGCGTCCCGTTTTGAACCAACACGGGAAGGGGGTTTGTTTCCGTATTTTCCGTCTTCAATGCAGCATCCCGTCCTATTCTGCCCCTGATTGGGTAATACTTGGTTACTTGGATCGTTGGTTTGCTTTTCTAAACATTTGTGAGCTCGTACCTTTTAAGGTGGTCCAACAGGAAGAGGAAGGTCACCAGGTTGGGCTCTGGTAGAGACAGCAGCAGGTTGAGCATGCAGCTCTCCTTGGCCACGCAGTCGGAGAGAGCTGCAAGCCGAAAGCGCGCACACAATAAATACGCCTGTTCCACAGCTCGCAAAAAGCCATTCACGCCTTCCTCTGCGTTTTAAAAAAAAACATTTTTCTGCCAAAATAAAGAAGTGGCGACTGACCGATGCCTCCTGCAAAGTTGGGGTACAAGTCGTCCGTGAAAAGAGGCTCCGGGAGCTCGCGGAAATACAGCTTCAGTGTTCCGGCGATGGCGTTCACGTCCATCTCCCTCATTATGACGGACACGTCTCGGTTGTCTGCGGAGGGGGGGGCAGACGACGACAGTCAGTAACGGGCAAAGATTACAGAAGACAAACGAATAATCACGCTGAACTCACTTGAATCGAAGGCGGCCTTCAGGGCCAGGATGTCGGTGGCGACTCCGGAGACTCTGTAGATCCCCACCTCGTCCATCCCTCTGCGCTCAATCTCCTCCACGCACTGCCTCACGATGAGGGGAACCTTGGAGCGCTCGCGCCTGGTGGGGACCAAGTCACACAGACACAAGCAGTCAACAGACGCGTGAGGGGGAGGTAATACGTACGGGGAGTAAAGGGAGTGCAAGCGCTTCTTAAAAGAAAATATTTCCCTTTACGCTGGAATGTTGCAGTCTAAGTAGACTTGGTTCTTACTTTAATTCATTGACAAATCCAAAACGCACAGACGTATCATCGACTCACTTGGTTACTACGTTGATCTTGATTCCAAAAACTCCGGAGTGTTTGCGTGAAGGCGTTCGCTTTAAGCTGAACTCTCTGCTGGTGAACTTCATTGAAAGTTTCACCTCGATCTGAAACAAGTGAGGAAGCCGGGTGTCGTTTTGGAAGGACCACGGCAGCAAGTTGCAAAGTGGAAAGATGTGCAAAAACGGAGGAGCCGTCATAAGGAAACGTACCCCATTCATATTGATGACTGTCCGCTGCCAGTCTTTATTTTGCAAAGTCTGAGGATCCAGCTGAAAGAAAAAAAACAAAAAAAAAGGGTTATTTCAATTTCACATTTCAGTAGAGTGTCTGCCAGGTGGTCAGAGATCTACCTGCTCAATGACTTCACTCACATAAACACAAACTCCATGTGACCAGGTGGTGTCATCGATCTATTTCAGTCATCTGACTAATAACAATCCCACAGGATGTATTTGTGCGGCAGATCTTCAATCAACCAAGAAACCACTTCAGTTTAGTAAAAAAAGAAGACATTACATAATGAAGCTAAAAAACATTATCCATAAACATTGGTTCCTGGAGCTTCCTCACAACAACATCCCACGATGATTTGTCAGCTCACTTTGCTGATCGTTACCTTTGGTCTGACCAGGCTGCTGCGGACTCGCCCCCACAGACGGGCCCCCGTACTCGGGGATTTCATTTGAGCCGCGTCTCCCTCTTCCTGGAGACCGCCGACCCGATCCACGATTCCCTCCTCTTTGGGATTACGGTCACTCATTCTTTTTGGTATGAATCTTCCCCCCCGAGTGAAGGACAACAAACCAAAAAGTGTTGATTCCACAGACAGCAACCAACCCGCGTCACGCGCGAGATCAGCGGGTCCTCGTTCCCTCGACTGCCAGCACCTAATTTTGTTAATAATCCTGGTGATCTTCTTTGACGCAGACCAGCCGAATCTCCACGTGACTTCCTGTCATCCCCCCGTCTTGGTATCGTTATGATCGAAATCCTTTCATTCCACAGGGAGTCAGACAGGAACAAAGGCACCTCCCCTCCCCTCCCCTCTTGTGTGTTGTTGCACTTCCCTGATGGATTTGGGGGATTAACCTCGGAGAATCTCCTCCTACCCTCATTACCAACATGCTCACGCCTGCCGCTGTGAGGACTGTGGGCCGGTACTGTCGCGTCCAGGGAGCCTGAACAGGATCCTCAACCACTCAACAGATCGAATTCATCTCGCCCGATATCATAACCCGTTAGTTTAATTTGTGAAGTAATTTGACGTAGTCCCCCACAAAGCCAGGAGAAAGGCCAACATGACCCAACGGGTCATCTATGTGATTCAAATACCTGACATGTGTCCTGTTGGCTCGTGAAAAACATGTCAATTATCTGGATGATTTTGGGTCAACCTGTCTGGCGGGGAAATGCCTTCCCCGACTGATCAAAGAGCGCTCTCTGTCTCTCACTGTCTCTCCGTCATAGTCTGGAGCCGTGCAAACGCGAGACTAATCCGCCCTCCGTCATAACACCCTCACAGGGGTCAACCTGGAGGGACTTTGTGGGAAAACCTAATGGCTCACTTCTTTTTCATCAGGAAATGTCTCTCTGGGGCAGGATTAGCCGTGGTGGGCAGCCGTGCAGATAAACTGCCACCGCGGAGGTACCAGAATCAATAGAGGGAACAAGCGCACGCCACACAGGCAACAATTGTTTCTCCTATTCATGCGGGCGGAACTGTATAGATTTGGGTTCACGCCACGAGTCTGTAAATATTGACTTTTAGTTCACTTTCCACTGTGGCCTCGTATCGCGTTTTAGAGGCAAACATTTTGTGCATCGTGCCAGAATGCCAGACAGCGATTAGAAGTTAAAGTGCCTCACTTTTCTGTGACTGGCAACACAATAAATAACAGTCCCAGTTTTCGGTTTATGATTGAATTTAACGCCACTGAAAAACTGAAAAAACACCTTTAGAAAAAAATGTAAACGCTTATAGCACTTTTTGTTATTGATATTCAGTTTGGACCTTCAGAACTAGTCACCCCCAAAAAACACAAGCGGTTATTAACCATCTGACCCAGGTCTACCCTAATTGGCCCGTACCTTTATTTGGCCTTTGGCCATGATCTTGTCTGCAATCTCTCCATCTTCTTTGCTCTGCTTGGTTTTGTGGCAGCACTTCTCATAGCAGAGCAACCTCAACGTCTGAGAGCCCTCCAGTTCAATCTCAAACTCCTTGGAAAGACACAGAGCAAAAACACACACTCCAGGTTTCAGCCCACAGCACAACAATGTACTTTTAGTCCATCCACCAACGGATCTCAAAACAAAGATGGAGAGACGTGGTCTTAAATACACACACATATTAGTGGATAGTAAAAGGTGGATCTCACTCACTAACTTTCTCCACTCCGATATGCACGCTCACCTCGTTCCAGTTGGGCTCTGTAGAGTCTCTGTACACGCGTGTTTTGGCTTTGTTGACAAAGTAGCCGAAGGAATCCACCTCCAGGGAGCAGTAAAGGTCTAATGGGGACGAGCAGAAGTAGTTTCAACGTGTTGAATCAAAGACAAAAACTAAAAACTTCGATGACACACACAGAGGACAATGAGAACGCTCCCTTGAGCATATTCGGAGAGGTGACTCCTCCTCGTCAAAGAATAACCGACTTACTTAAACTGTGTTTCAGCCCTGACGCCGAGTGGACGATGACATTTAGGAAGCCGTACAAACCAGAAGATTCATCATCTGGGGAGGGCAACGTTCAGATCGTGTCAGGTTAACAGAGAGATCCAATACAAAATTGTAGGTTGATTAAAATGCACAATGCACTGGGAACCCTACCTTCCTTATTCATGGTCATTGGAACCGTGTGAACCGTCTGCAGTTTCACGCACGAGTTCGTAAGCATCTGCAGCTCCAGAGAAGTCAGAGAGGAGCTTTTAAAGCCTGCGGGACAGTCGAGGTGAATGCGGGTCACACCAACACGGCATCACAAATGTCGCGATCAAACCCCATGGTCTCCCGTAGAAAGTTTTAACTCACACTTCTTCTGCTGCTCGCGAACGATCTCCCTCCACTCGGCACGTTCGTAGTCAGAAGAGATCAGGAACGTGAAACCCTGAAATGGATAAAAGGTAGGAAATACATCGGATTTTATCGCGCTCTCGCAGTGTAACGGCACACTACTGAACAGCAGGGGGCAGCAGAAGCCATGTTAAGAAGTTTGACCCTACTAGATATTCACGGCGATATTTAGCATGCATTTTTACTAGGAACCTTCCGTGGGACTCACCTTGCCGTTTCGGTTGGCCACCCTGAAGGCCATGTTGGGGGACATGAGAAGCAGCAGAGACTCCTGTTCCAGCAGCTTCTTCCTCAGTCGCTCAACCCCCTTGGGTCCTTTTGTGGTTCTCTACAGATTAACAGCACCGGGTGTTATGTGATGCATGACGTGCTGTCTTAACATTTCCTTGTATTTCAGAATCAGAAGCCATTCATGGCCACACATGTTCCACATAGAAGAATTTGTCTTGATGAAGTAACATTTTGAGGTGTGCGTTTCTGTGGGTGCATTTAATATCTTCACCTTCTCTTTTTGGATCTCGTTCTTGATCAGGGAGATTTTGATCTTTATGGCGTCGATCTCCTCATCCTGGACCAGCGGGATGGGGCTGGACTCACAGTCCTCAATGGCCTGGAAAGTCAGGTCAGCCAGTGGGATGTACCACTTACAGTCATACTGTTGCCCTTTTCTGTTGGAGCACAAAGCGTTTGTATAACAACGTCACGTTTTCTTTCCTTCGCCCAGTGATTATCCTGCTGCCCTGCACGTTCACCAGGATGTTTTTTTAAGCAGCATGAAGCCAACTGCACAAATAGCCACAAGCTTGAAAACTGCTGGTGGAATTATTACGTTCATCTCAACCGCCGGTCGGTCACGACGAAGCTGTTCCGTTCCCAGCAAAGCAGAATTTACTTTAACATGTCTAATGTCTGTCTGGGTAGAGTGACTCTCATTCCCCAACAGCGACTTTGAACCAGCGAACCTTCCGGGTCGCCTGACTAGGACTCACCCGGCAGCCTGTTTCTTCAGCTTGGTGCAGAGCAGCAGGTCGGTGAAGAGGAAGACGTGGCGGAGTTTCCTGGAACCTTCGACGAGCTCCACCATGAAGCAGTCCCTCAACAGCTGGCGGTTCTGCCGACAGGAGGAGAGAAATCACTTCATTAAAATTCATTTGTCTCAAATGCATCCCCCAACAATCTGAATAATTCAGTATTTGTAACTCATGAAACTGTGACCGAGAATCAAACCGCTTTCAACAAAAGCTGCAATATTAACAACAGCTGGAAATGAAGCATCTATTTACAGGTTGATTTTGATGTCAGTTTATATTGCTTTAATTTGGGGTTCAAATAAAATCATTTTGTGCAGACGTTTGTACGTGTTGACGATTACTGTTCACACCGCGCTTTGGTGATGAACGCAACGTCAGCCTCGTGGCGGAAGTAAACACCAACAGAAACAATAGATTTTGTGACGTGTCCAAAACAAGGCAGAAAGTGTCTCCTCAACCAGCAGCAGCCTCCTCGGTGAGCCGTCCAGCCCGCGTTAGAAACACACGGCCACACGAGCTCTCCCCGCAGCAGCCTCGGCCTTTTGACCTCTGAGGCTCCGAGGCTGTTTGCAATGACATCACTCATTGCCGAGCAAGCCACGGTGCGACAAAAACAAGGAAATCGATGCACTGTGGCTTTCCTGTTTTTTTTTTGTTTTTTTTTTAAAAAGGACACGCCAGTTCAGTGCAGGCTGGTCACACGCCTTTTTGGGAAGCCCCTCAAATATGTTAAGCACTGTCCTGGTTTCAAAGAGAAGAGGACATCCGCTCATTATGTTGTAACACAAACACAAGCCGAAATTGTCAATAATCCAATGGAAACACGAGGGCTGTAGCTGCCCTCCTGGCACTGCAGTCCGCTTTGGTTTGTGCCGTGGACCATAATGAGACGTTGGGCAGCGAGACGTGTGCAACCGGTGGCGCTAAACAAAGTTTGTTGACAGCTAAACCTCCCAAAAAACGTGGCGCTGGAGTGTTGTGTGCCGGCTTGTTATCTGTCAATCTCTTGGCGGGATTTCCGCCTTCCTCGAAAATATGTAGAAGACCCGTTCCCAAGAACTTTCTTTGACTTAACATCCCACCCAGGTGGGCCGGGCCAGTTCCCGGAGAACGGCAGAGGAAGTTCTCATTTGGTTCATCTGGATCAGAGCCCTGAGATGCGTGCTGCGGGGAGGGGGCGCATCAGGAAGCGCTGCTACACACCCAGCAGATTAGTAAAGGGGGGTGGGGGGGTCCCCGAGGTCATTTCTGGGAAGCAGAGTCGAGACTGCGGCAGGGAAGGATGGGAGGAATCGACTGGTTTTCCTGATTTGAGACACGGAGACCCTTTGCCTCCAGGGTTTGCAGGGCTTTGTCGCAAGCATCCTCCATTGTGTGGACTTCCTTCAAAAGCCAAACCAGACATGCTGAGATGAGTCAGCGACTCAAGCTGACTCACGATCCGGACACCTTGTGCTCAGGGCCCTTTAACGTCAAGACAGAAATTGCGGGGGCATCTTAATCTTCATTAAATTACACAATACTCGTGTTTCAGGGAGTAAAATCAAGTAATTGAAAGTGTTACTGTTGTATATCCATTTTCAAGCAATGTGAGAAAGTGTTTAGCAACACATTATCTCACAACATATAGCACGATTACTGTTGTAAACTGCAGCCACACTAGCGTCATAACGATTACCTTTTCCTCGGCCTCAGCTGTACTTTGTCTTTAGCTCTAATTGCCAATTGTTAGCGTTCTCACGCGGCAAGCAAATACTGTGATCATAGCAAGCATTTTAGCTGCCAAACATCAGCTTGTTACCGTCGTCACAGCGAGCGTCGTGAAGCATAAAGACGTCAGCATTCAGCTCAAAGGACCAAAGCCTCACAGAGCCACGAGCCTGGTCTCGGTTTAATGAATAACAGTTTTGCGCCTGAAAGTTGGAAAACCTCCAAAAGAATGTGTGTAAGTTAGTGAATCATAAACTGGACAGGTTTAAAACCATGTAGAGTAAAAGCAGCAGCGGTTAACTGTGTTGCCACCACAACACTCACCACAAACCCCTGATTTTGTCCTCAAGTTAATATTAACTTCAACAACCTGGGAGACGTCCAATGAAAGACAAAGCTGGACACAGAATGGCTAACGTAGTCCTCTCCGCACTGACCTCTCCCTTCTTGACGGTCATGGACTGCCTACGCGGGGTGATCTCTTCGTTTATACTGGACAGGAAGTTGTGAGAGATGCGCAGGGCGTCCTGCAGCAGCGGGTGGTCCGGGTGGCTGGAGGGTGTGTGCTTCAGGAGGTCCTAGCAATGAGAAGCAAACAATCACAAATTAAATTTTAAAAAATGTAAAAAAAAAAAAACAATAGCTCTGACGCGTGTTTCGGCAGACGGGACCTACGTGCAGAACGAGGGTGCTGCGCGTCACCCTGTCCACGGGTTTGTAGAGAAGAGCTGTGGGGGGAGGCAGAGTCAGCTCGACAGGCCGAGTCACGGCTACTTGGACCAATGTGGCGACGGTCATTTCAAATCACTACTCACTTTCCAGCGAAATTTTAGCCAACTGGTCCTTGCAGTCCTTTGTGCTTTTGACCTTGAGATCCTGACAGGAAGACACCACCGGAGGGGACGGAGAGAAAGAAATACCCTCATTAAATCACTGCCCCCCCACCGCGTGATCAAAACAATCACTGCGGGGACCGCGGAAAGCTGCGCCGTCATCGCTTGTCTCGGGGGGCAGCTGTGCAACATCAAGCGCTGGCCTGCCGCGCGTAGCGTGCTTACATACCTCAGATATCTCTGCAAAGCCAGCGTTCGCCTGGCAGCATTTGTCCGCCGTCCCCACAGCAACCTTGTAGTTATCCACAAAGGCCCTGTACACGCCAAGCTGGCTCGCCTACAGGGCACAAGCAGAGATTTTAAGCGTGTGACGGTTGCTTAGCGGTGTCACTGTGTGCCGTAGTCGGGCACGAGGACATGGTTACAGGCGGAATTGAACGCCAAAGAGTGCGATTTAATGTTTTCTCACGCGTCCATATACGAACGCAAGTAGGAATGTTTTTCATCTTTTCTTATCCGACAGTAAACACACAGCAATCTCGTATTCAGCAACCTCCTATGCAACGTTGTGTTCTCCTTTACTGCCTATGATGTGGTGAGGCAGAGGCTTTTATCTGGCCGGGGGTCGACTCCAGTCAGTCTGCTCACATGTGCACTGCAAGAGCCACGGGGCATTTACCAGCAGCCAAAGACTCCCACCATTCCCCCCCCCCGAAGGGCTCCCCTCTTCATTAATGATCAAGGCTTGAAATTTAAAGCGCGCTATAATTAGTTTCTGAAAGTCACTGACTTGACAAACGGTGGTCTGTTTGATCAGAGTCCAACGTTCAGTCTGATGCTGTGAGGTTTCATGTTATTCGATCTAAAGGAGGGTTTAAATCAGCTGAGGCGATTGCCAGGCTGTAATTAATACGTATTGCAGTTAAACAACTATTCAAAACAACTGTCGCAGCATTTCACTCATATCAGCTCACCAGATCCGCTTTATTTCATTGCTTGCAGACTTTCATATTTACTCTATTTCTAACAATTCCCTCAAGTTGGGTCAAAAGAAGCAGGTTGCTGTTGCTGTATCACTTTTCCTTCAACTACAATGGATCTTAAAAGATATTTGCCATTTTCAAGAGGCATCATTAGATTTTGTGTTCATATAAATATTATATATAAATGTATTTCCACCATCAATGATCGCTTTGTGCGCTTGTGGTTGACATCGTACCAGCTTCTGGAAGAGGTCGCCCACACACTGCTGGGGACCCCAGTCCTTGACTCGGGGCAGCAGAGCATCGTAGAAGTCCTTGTGGATCTCGTGGAGCTCCGGCACTTTGAAGAAGATGGTGTCTATCTGCTGGATGCTGAGCATGGGCTGCGACGTTGTGGCTGCAGCCCTCAGGGGTTTCATGGGCTGGATAAATAATCACAGTTACTGTATGAAACAATCACCAGTCATTCAGGCTTATCTTCGACAGAACAACAAGGGAGAAGTAATAGCGTAATTCATTTATTTAGAATTACACTGTCTTTGTAGAATGAAAACTTAAAACCAGTTCAGATACATTTTGGAATTGAAATGTAACGTTATCTGGTGAAACAAGCCTTATCGTATCATGAAAAATAAATAAAAACAGACAGAGGCTTCAGCTGCAAAGCCGTAGTTTATCAAACTAGAGCAAATGTTTTTTTTATTACATATAAATTCAACTTTATATTTGTAAGAGGACGTATGTTTTATTTCTTCTCTCTTCAAACGTTAGCTAATCCCCTCACAGTGACAATGTCGGTTTTATACTGTACCGATAAAAGGTTTTATAATTTCAGATAACGTTAGCTGGAGTATAAAGTATTTCTTTCAAAAGTTAGATAGTTCACTAACTGAGGTGTGCAGACAATCGTTAGCTAACATAAGTTGTTGTTAATTAACTCAAGCATTGGTGTGTTTTTACTGGTTATATATGTAATTTCTTATTTTAAAAGTTAGGTGCTTCACAAACTTACTCAGTTAGTCAACAATGGCACTTCATTTTCTTCTAAAAAGTTAGCCACATTAGCAAACATTGGCAGAACCAACATTGCGTTGAATTGAGTAACGCAGGTACCGTTTTTATCACCTATGACTTCATCTGTGTGCAAGAGGAAGAACATGTTTTTCGTTCTTTCAAAAGTGAAGATAACTTTGTGAACTGACTCCGTAATGTCAGATAAGCTTTGCTATTAACGTTAGCTAACAAGCTACATCTAACAGCAGCAGCGAATAGCCAGTTCTGTTCAATGCTGTGATTCTAATAATACATTTTAATCTCCTTGCTTGTGGAACAAGTTGCACATACAATGAGCAGGGCCTCCAGGTGGCTGAGATAGATCTCCTCACTGGCCAGGATTCCTGACAGGACCAACTTTCTCATCTCCATCCCCTTGTCCTGATCCAACTCCACCTGACATGAGAACATGGTGGAAAGAGAAAACTATTTTCCAACATGAAGAGAAGACGGATGATGTAAAACGTTATAACGTAAATGGGTTGGACATCTTAATAAACTACCCACACACCTCTGCGGACCCCCGGGCTGCAGATACTGTTGTTGTGGGATTACGCACAGACCAGATTTGATTAAACTCTGTAGGAGTTTTACATTCCAAGAGGCCGGCGCCGGAGACGCGTAGCGTTTTAAAGAAGACAAATGGGTTCTCGAGTCCAGGAGTTGTTACTCCTAACAGGTCAAAGCCATCAGTCATCCGGGCTATCGTGTCAGTACGAGGCTCACTCAAGCACTGAGAGAGGCTGCGTCCACTCCAACCATCACACTAGTTTAAAGAACAAAAAAAAAACACTGCGTGTTCGCCAAGCTCCATTACCCTCATAATTTAGGCTTTGAAGATCCCCACGAGCACAAACACACCAAAGGATAAGAACACCACGGACAGGACAGGAACCGAGCAGAGGGGGAGGGGAGCTCTGTCTCTTTCAAACATCCGTTGGCCCACATCATTCTTGCAGAGCGTGTGTGTGTGTGGCGTTTATCGGCATCGCCCTTCAATACGGCAAGGCACGTCTGGGATCTACACTGTCAACCGTGAATTTCATTTTTGCAAGTCCTCAACGGACTTAACGCTGAAGGGGGAATTCTTCCTCGGGTTTATGACGCCGACGAAGTTCGGTTTAACTTGTTTAACGGTACATGACTCGGCCTGCGAAAAAGGTTGCATAATGCCCACAACGGCTCTGCAGGAGACTTCCAAAGTCACCTTGCATTTGCTGTGGGCACGATTCACCTGGTCAGGAAACGCCCATTCACTTATCAGCCTCTTAAAAAGGTTAAAGGTTATTCGTTTTGTTAACTACTAACAGCGGGACTTTACTTATTGAGTGAGCATTTCCAGCACATGCAGCAAAACTAAACAGGAGCAGAAAAAGTGGGAACAATATCCTCTTCACAACGGAAAGAATGAGGTCTGTAGGAAACACTTTAAGACAGATAATTACATTACGAAGGAAAAACAAAACAAAACCTTGGAGCGATGGAGGACGGTGCAGGAGGAGGGGGGGACAGAAAGAGGAAGAAGCAGGACAAACATTACCGATTGCGTGGACTCCAGAGAGCCGGACGACTGCGTGTCCCGGCTGCTCTGGCTCTTGGAGCGGAGTCGCGGCGAGGAGGACGGGGACCCGCTGAGGGACGGCGGGTGGCGGTGAGTCTGGAGCTCCTCCGAGCGCTCCAGCTCATAGCCATATGACGCAGGGGTCTCACTGTATGAAGCCTCTGTGAGAGACAAAGGACAGTAGTCACATGCGGAGAAAACATCACGGGAAACGCAGCAAACTGAAACATAGTTTTCCGCTGGTGTTTTGATAAAACGCCAATTAAAAAAGGAGACGATGGCTATTAAAGACATTTAGGAACAAATGAAGGAAATATACCGACATTCCGTGTCAACGTACGAGCCACTGCGAAAGGAACGAGGAGGCAACGGATCGGTTTGTTAATCCGCCCATAACTAATATGCATATACTTGCGTTTGTTGTTCTTTTGTTCAGTCCGTGTATATAAAAGCATAAAAAAAGGAGAGTTGTCTCATGAAAACAATCACCGAGCCGCGTGCTTCCTTCCGACGGCCGTTGGGCTTCATATATCGAATCCTCTCTGAACCTTTGCAAACCTGTGACCTACACAAATCTACCGCACGGCCCGTGCCGGCCGCCGAGGGCTCGCGCCTGGATAAGCCTGGAATGGGCACAAGAACGTCTTCGTTCCGGAAATTGAGACAGGAAAAAAAGCCGTGTCTGGCAATGCGGACTACGCCGTGTTAAGGTTCCTTTGGGCTAGAAAACAGGAAGGAGGATTCCGGAAACCAGGAGGTGGGGGGGATGGAGCCCAGTCGCCCCGGAGAGGCCTGAAAAGACGGGCCGGCTGACTGGGTGACGTCCGTGACAAAGGACTCAAACAAAACGCGCTGGGAGAGCACAGAGGCAGACGGCTCTATTGACCGCACGGGGGGGGAGAGACAACTGCAGGACGGACGGGGGACGTCCATGTTAAAAGGCCACTCTGTGCTCCGGTGAAATTATACATCAGGCACCGGCAACACATCCTCTCCCAGGCAGGAGCCGCGGACGCCCGGACCGTCTCATTTGCGGGGGGAAAAAGCTTGGAAAAGACACGGCCGTGAAACGCGAAGTCTTTAAACGCGGTGGCATTTGTGTCTTCCGTGGGAACATTTCCTTTTAAACTGCACGCGGCCCGTCCGGCAGAGCCGAGGGAGACACGAGAGGCGCCACGGTGAGCCACGATGTTCCTTCGCCAGCACAAGGGCCGCGACTGAGGAAGCGTGCGGGGCGGGTCTGCCCGGAAAAGTCGGCAATTCATCTGCTTCAGGTCCGGAAACAGGCTTTCTGCACAAGGTCGTCTCCCGCACAAACAGCTCCCTCTCTCTCTCTCTCTCTCTCTCCCCCCGGTCCACGCTCGATCGGATCCTGGTCTCAGCGATCATATTTACGTTTACAGCCGGCTTTGATGCCTCTTACTGTCAGAACACTGCGCACTTTCAGACACGAAAGGAGAAAAAACGAATGTCCAATGACTCAAAGTGAGACTCAAAATGTGAGTCTGTTTTGCGTCAGACCCGGTGCTCGTCTGTTACTCAGGTTCTGTGTTTGCCCTGATTGTGAAAGAGTTTGTGACCCTTTCAACTGAACAAATAACCCAGAGGGGAGACGGCTTTAAAACATGAAGCAAGTCTAGGAGACCCAATCACATGGTACTGATGTGGAATGGCTTATAAATAACATAAAAACTAGGCCTAAGTTGATGCATGAAAGATACTACTCAAACATAAAACTACGAGCTACTATGAGGAACCATCGTTCCCCGTTAATTGTGTCGGATTTTGCCAGCATTAAGAATAACTTTATTTAGGATATGGATATGTATCATCTTTAGTAGCTACAACCTCAAAACAGATTTAAACGAAAATGCCTTTTCAAACAATACAATGTCGGATTATTTATCGACCTACACATGCGCTCATACAGAAATATCCTTCATTGACTGTAATCGTCAGCTGATGGCTGAGGCTTTGTTTTACACTCAGTCCTGGACCAGCTCACTTATGCCGTCGGTCTGTGAGTGGAAACAATGCCCAGTGGCACCGCGTCGACACTAGAACGCTCAGCCGCCGCTTATGGGTAATCATTTACACGCACATGTGCAGTCCAGTCGTACAGCACGTCCTCGCTTTCGCTCACTCGCACACAAACACACAACGCGGTGCAGCTTAAAATGGGTTCAACTGTGCAATAAAGCTGTAATAAATATACTGTAATGACATTACATAAGACCGCTGAGCCCAACAGCTGCGGTTGGTTGAGAGCCGAGTGGAGCCGTGGATCAGATAGAAGCCGGGTTTGGTTTTGGGCGGCTCCGAACTCGCTAATTCTGGGTTTCTCAAGACATACAATAGAACCCAACAAGAGATTATATATATGTATACACACACACACACACAAAACACAGGGGTTTAATACTGGGGACAGGTTGGATGTCCTATTGGTGACAAAGGAAAGACGCATTCTAAGGCCTAATCCTAATCCATAGAGATGACCTGCGATACCAGGGGGAGGCAGATGTGCAGGTTAGACAGAGTCGCAGCATCAGAGGAATAAATCCTGCGGTCTCATTTCACCACACCAGACAAACGGAGAGTTTCAAACCAAGAGGGAACTTTCCCGTGGGACGCATGACTGTTGTTATGTCCAGACTGAGCGCTTTTGTCCGTTTTCAAAATGACCAACATCGTCACGCGGCATGGACACGAAAGCGCTGCCTTTTCACTGCACAGCAGGAGGGGAAAAACGGCTTGTTATTAGTTCTACAAAACAACCCAAAGCGGCAAACAGGCTGTTGGATCCAATCCAGACATTCATTTAACTTTTCCACTAAACTTAACAACGGATAAAATATCAACTCGACTGATGGGAATGAATTCTGACAGCGATTCCCCCAGAGAACAGAAATCAAAGAGCTAAGAGTGTCTTATCGATTTGTCTCAGAGAGCTGCAACAAGAATAGCAGCATCCATAAATCCCCATTTCACCAATTGGGAATTCACCCGGTGCTGCCCGGCCGGCACTTTGACTGATCAGTGTGTTTAAATAGCTCAAGGGGGAGAGAGTGCTTGTATTGCAGAGAGAGAGAGACACACAGCGAGCTTATTGTTCCCCACTGTGAACATATTGACCGTCCACATAAAGATCGGTCAGCTGATGGACAGAATTCTGATCGCGAGCTTCTAGAAACAAACACCCAGTGCGTTTAACGATCCTGCTCAGAAAGGCCTGGAAATGAGATTTCAACTTCCATTATCCACCGCAGAGCCAAAAAAAACAACAACAAAAAAAAAACAGTCACCATCAAGGACGGTGTTTCTGTCGCCTCGCCAAAGGTTTGCATGGATCCCGAGAGAAAGGTTTGCACCTTTGACGAGAAAAAAGGAGAAAAATACAGCCCAGGATGCCAATGTGAGATGTTGTTAAAAGCTTAGCACCACTTTATGGTTCCAGAAAATGGATTCTCCTGCAGACTATGCGGTCACTGGGGAAACGCCGGTGCCATGGAAGAGGCGTGAGGGGGGGGGTGAAAGGGTGGTGGCTCTTCAGACTGGAGACTGGACAAAGTGACCGCGGCCTGTTGCTCCTGTGAGTTTAAACTAGTGATATTTCCCATGTCGTCGTTTGGAGATGGAGCTTTCCTTCCAACAGAAGAGCCTACAGCTCCGGCACACACATGCGAACACACTCAACGACGGCAATGCCAACATCCTGCCGTTCAACCCGAATCCCCGATAACTCACGCGATGTCACTCCGGTCCTTTTGCGAAGACCTGACAAAGCTCCGCCAGAGCCCCAGAGCCCCATGAAACAGGGGCTGAGTGGTTAATTGACTTTGACATGTACCGTTGGCAGGGCATCCCTCTAACCTCTCGGGCGTCTGTTGTGGCAAATGCAGCCCCCGACTGTGTCTTTCGGCAAACTCTAAAAAAAAAAAAAAAAATTTAAAAAAATGTTTTAAATGTATTATCGTCACATCCCGAGCCGTTTGAAGTGTCTGCTGCCTCGGGAGGCCCTTTGAACCAGCAGGGCTGGTGGAGGCGAACGGGGGGCCCACCAGCACTCGTCGGTTGTGGGGCAGCCTAAAATTAGTGGCAGTCATTGAGCAGAGTGGGTCAGAACTGGGCCGCCCCAGTGCAGCACACCTACTAATCAGCGCGTGTTGGAATAGCTCAGGGTGGTCAGGCTGCTGCTCGCGATGTGCCGCACAACGGGGGGGGGGAAATCAAAGCCCGGTAATAGCTCCAGTCTTCGGAAATAGAACGGACAATGGAGCACGTTGACGCAGAAGGGAAATCCAGCATTATCAACATGTTACAGCAGATGGTAGTTGGTTTTTAAAAATGGGGAATTTGTCCGATCTTACTCGTTTTATAAAAAAAAAAAAACGAGTGCTTTTTCATCCCATGAAATAATTCACCCTGGGGGAGTTGCTTTTTTTACTCTAAACAAAACTGCTGACATTGCTCATTATGAGCAGAGATGAACACACTTAATAAATTCAATCAGACGCATGGGATGAAAAGGCACAGTGACCTCCAGGTGTGATGAAATATTCATGTGCATGTCTGAATAGGATTAAATATTAGTGATAGGACCTCACCTGATGTGCTTCGGCTCAGTCATTTTCTGCCTGGCAACACTCGTTTGCGTTTAACTAGTTTGTTCAACTCAACAGTCTGCGGGATCAGCTTTGAATGAATCAAATCCTCACAGACTTATGTTATGTCACAAGCTGTGGGTTACAAAATGCGTCCTAGTTCAATCCTAAAAAATTCAAATTAATTTTGCCAGACACACACACACAGATGATGTCCTCAGAATTTTTTTTTCAACTTAAAGAAAAGCTTGCGCGTCGTTCACAGACACAGAACGTCTAAATAAGAAATACTACAAAGCTGCATTATGGGAAATGTAGTTGGGTTTTTTAGTTTGACCCATGCTGAGCGCTAAATGTCAGAATATCTCAGCCAGGGCTGCTTCAATTTTCACAACTCTTTTTTTAATCCAGTTTACTTCAAAGAAGTGCAATAATAATTCATTGGGCCGCTTCTTTAAACACTTGCAAATATTAACGACAAAATTACACAAGCGTTTACTTTCCTCATCCAGCCGCAACGCCCAGGCTCTCTTTGTCCAAAACAAACCCGGTGACACAACGAGCGCCGCGGGTCAGGCTGCAGTGAGAGAGGTGAACTCATACAACACTTAACATTTCATTAACTGTTTCTCCCCCTCTGCCCCCCCACGCCCAAAAAACAGCTGAGACATTCCGTAAACACTCGGCCTGCCAGCCAGCAGCACAGAGGGCCCTTTGAGTGGGACCAGGGAGGGGAGCTGAGACTGCAGGACCGGGTGTGTGGGGGTGGGGGGGGGGGGTCTGAGGCCGAGCACGAGGGTGAGGGTGCGGAGGGGAGTGGGGGAGGCGGGGAAGAGGGGGTTTGGGATGCCCGCAGGCTCCTAAACATGCCAGGGATTCCTCTTTTATTAAGTTTTTTTTGGGGGGGGTGGGGGGGGACGTGTGGGAAAAGAGGAGCCGCTAGTCGGGTGTGATCGGGCCTCACGTAGCTCCTTAACAAGTGTTTTTGTTCGGCTCCCCGATAGGAAGGAACAAAAAAAACTATTCATGGCGTTTGGCGCGACAGCAGCTGGCGATGGCCTGCTGTACTCCGCTATTGACCATTTTAACCAGTACACTGGACAGAAGAACAGGTGTCTCTCACACACACACACACACACACGCAGAGAGGCAAAGCTTTCTGGCCCCCGAGTGACGCCGGCACTTCTTGTGGGCCTACGTTTACTCTAGGAAAGGGAGAGGCTGGATTCTTTAGCTTCCTTGACCACCAGAGCTCAGATGTTGACATCCAGGTACAATGATAGGCCTGTCCGGGCTTCCTTGAGGAACCTGAAATATTCACGAGTCTGCAATTAGCCGCTGCCGTAGACCAGCATCGGCGCGACTCTCGCTGAGGCAGCAAGCGGTGTCGATCTCTGGCCCGACGCCGAGCCACTCAGACGGCTTTCATCCCCTTTTCAGACGGACTCCTCCAGTCACCGGAACTGTGCCAAATCCTCATACGTGCATCCCAAAAGACAAAGCGCTAGTGTTTGGGGGGGGGGTATATATCATCTCTTCCCATGTGCCTCTCACCGCGATGCATTAACCATGACACAGCCGACACGCGGCAGACCGCAGTCACGTCAGTGTCCTGATGGTAATTAATTATGGCAAAATAGACCCATCAGAGAGTTGGCCTCCTTAGAAGGCCCACAGCTAATCAGCAGCTCTATTCACAGCTTGGCTTGACAATTGGCCTAGATAACCAGAAACAAGGAGGCAACACTTATTCTTCTATTCATAGAAAAAAAAAAAAAGGTCCCCTGAGATGAGTCACTTTTAGACGGGCCGTTTTACTTAGATTTCACGCTGCCATCCAGCGGAGTAGCTGCAGGACAACTACGGGGTTTGTTTGTGTCAGTTCTAAGGTGTTTCTGATGGTAAGCAAGTCATTTTTCCCAGGCGGAGACAGACCGCCCCCAGGCAAGGCACTAACACACACACACACACGCACACAGGTTCCACGCCAGGGTGCGGAACATAAACATCCACACACACGAATCCTTCCGTCCAGGGAGCCTCCTTTAGGGCGGACCGCTGGCTGGATTGGTCAGTTTATGCAGCTTTAATAGTTACACAACACAAAGCGCCTTTACAACACCGAGGTTAAGTTGGCTTTCCGAGGCCCATTTAATAGATTTGAGTGAATGCCACAAGAAAATTAAATAAATTAAAGGAAGGCAAAACAAAAGAATTGGGACTGCTCTCCCGAAGTCACCAACCACAACAAAGAGCAGATTATTGCAGAAACTCGCCTCAAAAGCTTCTCCCTCCCCGAGGCCCAACGCACCAACTGGATGAATAAATCCACACTTCTGGTAATCCACAAAGAGAGGTGCACATGAGGCAGCTGTGGCATTAGATCAGCAACAACAGCTCGGGCTCTGCAGCGCGCTGCCCTGAAAACAGAGAGAGAGTCAAACGGGACAGCGTGCACAACGAGGGGAACTCCGACCCGTTTACTGGTCACACGGACGCACCGCTGTGAATACAGCTGCGTGACGAGCACGAAACTTTGATCTCGAGCGTGGAATCGGTAGTATGACTTTAAAAAACTCAGGGTCCACTTAGAGTGGCTGTACTGACTGTGTACGTCAATAGCATTTTTGTTGGGATTAAATCCAAAGTGCCGTAAAACTACAAACACAAGGTCGATATTATAAGACAGGACTTGTTAGCGCGCTTTGACGTCAGGTTCACACAGCAACTTGTCCGCATGCTGTGAACTGAGATTCTTGCCAAATCTGCACAGATTGCACCCTTAATCACATCTCTGGTCTTCTTCTTCGTGATGAAAGAGTTGGAGGCTGTTCTTTTCTGTGTTAGTGGCTCTGGTGGTCATCGGGCTTATCGGCATGGGCTTGGTTACTTTTTAGATTTTTAGACAGATTTATCAGGACGCCGCTAAACAACCTGGGGACACAGAGCTTGCGGGCATTCACCAGACAGAAGGTGCCACAGAAATATGACGATATATAATATTAATATTATATATCGTTCCATCCAACAACCTCATTGGAGAGCAGCATTAATATCATTGAAGTAAAAACATTCTCATTCTCTGCTTTTTTATTTCCCTGAGAAAAAAAAAACACCTTCTGTTCTTGATTCTTTCCCTGCAAATTACATTTACAAAAAGGAGCTACAAGTGTGAATACTTCCTGTATGCATGCATGTACACCGAGGAATGGATTTAGAGGTTTTTCCGTCATCCGAGCAGCATGCTAGCTTACGCTTCCCGCTGATTATACCGTCACATGCTTTGTGTCAAAGAGCTTTGGACCGGGTCACCTTATGTAACAACGCACTATTCTGCTCATCGGTTTAATCCGAGCCACAGTGGATAACACTGTTTTCTGGGGTGGGTTGGTGGGTAGAGGCAAACTCGTTTTTTTTCCAGCACCAATCCTAAAAGGCCCTCCGCGTCCCCGATCCCTCGTTGGCCTCAACCTGCAACAACGTCCGCGTGCGTCGTTCTCGCAGAGCGACGCGAAAGCTGCCGCCTCTCCTTCCGTCCCTGGCATCACCAAGTCGACCGCTCTGCTTATCCCACTTAACGTTGTCATATTGTTACCATGTCAATACTCAATGAGGGATTCTCCTATTGTGCTCGCACATAACAACAGGAAACCCTGATGGCCGTCGTTTTGATCGGAAGCCGCATGACACACTTTAAGCCCCTCCATCCTCTTTTTTGATTTATTTTTTGGGGGGAGTTAGTCGTTAGTCGGCTTTTTCCTGTGCGCAACAAAGAGCCTCCCCAAATTCATCACGCTAGACGAACCCCTTTAAGTTAATTACTCTGCACTGAGGACCAAAACACTGATGTGCGCTGACACAAAAACACTCAGGGGTGGACAGGGGCCGAGCGACCAGGGGGGGGTGGGGGGGGGGGGTGCCTGGGGGCAGCCGCTGCCTCAGCTCGAGCATCTCTTGTGAGAGGGCTGCAGCACTCAGGGGGCAAAGAGCATGAGGGGCGCGGGGGGAGAGAGAGAGAGAGAGAGAGAGAGAGAGAGAGAGAGAGAGAGAGGGCGGGGGTTATGAAAACACTCCTGAAAGAGCTGCATAACCACTGGAGTCCATTGTGTGGAGCATTCGTGGCGGGTTGAGGTTCTGCAGGCTGCGACCTGGTGAGAATTGGCCTCGCCGGGATGGGTCGGCTTGAATTGGGTCACATGGGACCTCTTTAACCTGCTGATACCATCCCTACCTCCCCTTTGTGTTAAACAAATAATTGAGTGCATGATAATCCTGGCTACAGAATTTATTTTGTAGGTTGCATTGAGTGGTGACGTTAAAATTATGGGGCGCATTTCACACATCAGTGGCTGAAGACCAGACATCTTTCAGGAGGTGATTGGAGGGCCTTTAAAGTGCTCTTTAGTACTTTTCTGCTTTTAATCTTCAAAACAAAAGCCTCAAGGAACCGTCTGTGCTGTGCAGTGTGTCTTGCAGACCTACCCAGATCTCCTTGAACGCTGTTGTCCCGAGAGGTCCTGCTGGACGTGGTGGACTCCCCGTCGCTGGGCCGCGTCTGCCGCGTTCTACAGACTCCTGCGACGGTGGCCTCGGACGCCGTCCCCTGCTGCTTCAGCCGTTTCTGGGACAGGGGCGGGCTGCTGCTGCCAAAAGACTGCTGGGAGGGCGAGCGGCTCTTCTCGCTGTACGCCTGGGAGGCGGCGGTGGGGCTGGGCGACACCTGGCTGGACGGGCCTGAGGAGAAGTCTTCCTCGCTGGAAGTTAGGTTCTCGTTGGAGCTGCAGTCAGGCGTGTAGCCTCCTCCCGCGTCCTCAAAGCTGCCGTTGGAGTAGGAGCGCCTCGGCCAGGTCAGGTGCGCGTCGTCCTCCGTGCCGTGGTCCCGGATGTGGATGACTCGGGTGTCCCCCTCAGCCATCATGCCCCCTACGTACACGCTGGTGTAGGGCCGGCACTCCGCTGGCTGCGGCTCACGCTTCCCCCCGGCGGGCCGGCTCACGCCGTCCTTCAGGACGTTCGGGTTGACCTCGGCGATGTCGTCGTACGACCCGTTGTGGCCGCAGTTCCCCCCGGTGGACCCGCCCCTCTGGAGGCCTCTGCCGATGTCCCCCGTGGCGGCCGACAGGTTCACCGGCAGGGAGTGCAGGGACCTCTTGCGCTCCATCTGCATGGCCTGACCGCCCAGGGTGCGGATCTTCTCCGAAACCTCCCTGTCGTTGACCTTCACCAAGCCTTGCTCCGAATGGTACTCCACGTTCACGTAGAAAGGCTTCTCCTGGGCGCCCGTGACCGACGACCCTCGGCCGTCCCCGGCCGCGTGGGAGTTGGCCCGCCTGATGCGCTCGAAGTTGGACCTCAGAGCTGCCACGGAGCCGGTGCCCAGCTGGAACTCCGGGATCTCCGGGTCCTGGTGCACCGGCGACACCCGGCCCACATCTCCTTCTGGATGTGGCTTACACCGGGATGTCTTGCAAGGCCCTCTCTGCTGCTGCTCCTCCTCCTCCACCTGAGCCTCTTCTGAGTGGGGCCTCTGGCTCTCCGGCCCACCGGGCGGGTCTCCATCATTAATTCGGGAAGTGCTTTTGAATCCCCACCGCTGCCCGTCGTAGGACTTCCTCTCTTTGGCGAGCAGAGTCTGCAGGTAGATCATCCGAAAGCGCTCCTTGTTTACTTCCTTCTCCAAGTGCCTGATGGAAGACTTGCATTTGTCCAGCTCCTGTTCAATGTTCCCCAGTGAGTTCAGCTCCATGCAGGGGGGGTTAGACTCGGGGAACTGGGCTTTCCATGCTGCTACAAACCCCACCTGTTCAACCATTGTTATTAAGTCTTACATTAACTATTCAAGCCATTCACAACACAGCGCCATGCATTCCTAAAGCCTGAATGGACTTTGACTATTTGCACTTTACAGCTTTCATGGCACACTGGCAGGCTACATAAAAAGGGAAAGTGCTCTGCTCTACTTTACAGGGAAGAAAACCTGTTTCTTTTACAGTCTCTTTACTCACAAACGCGAGGAGAAAATCCTAAAAGAGGCGAGATCACCAGTCCAATCCCTTCGCTCCTTGCGTGCACAATCCAGGGAAATGTGAGTTTATCCTCTTATTCTCGCCTATCCTCTGGAGACCTTCTGTCCTCCTCCGCGCGCGGTGTCAGACTGACTCGCGGCTCGCTGGTGTTGCGGTGCGCAGCAGAAAGGGGAGGGGCCACGTGGACGCGATTTAGGTTTATGCTACGCTCCAAATCCACGAAGAAGAAAAAAAACAAACTAAACAAAAATAATGACGAGTGGTCAAAATGTTCGCTTCTAGTCAAACAACCGTGTTTTCAGGTAAAGCTGATAACGAAAAGAGTGAACTTCAACGGACAAACACGTGCTGACGAGGAAGCGCGCCGCGACAGTTATTCGACCAAAGCTCTGGAAAGAGGACAAAACGTGACATTTTGAAGGCGGCGTGGTGGACAGGAGGGTGTTGACTTCAGGTTGTTACCCCTCAGGGAGAGGAAGACGAACGAGGTCCCCGGCTCTCCAAAAAATGTCTGCTTTAAAACGTTTGATTTTTTTTAAACCCACAATAAGCACACAAAGGACTCGCGTGGAGCCGCAGATCTGGTGTTTCTCTCCAACACTGCGCACTTGTCGTTGTGCTCTGAGAACTCGGATTAGTGCAACCAAAGTTCATTGTGGGGCAACCCGACGCCTTACGTTGCCTTACGGTAAATATCGCCCCCCCGGCGGTTTCGGGACATTGCTGTTTGTAGCCTGCAGTCTTTTGCAATTGTTTTCTAAAAACTTGCGTTAAAGGTGAAGAGAAGAGCCATGCATATCACAATATTCAATACATTTTCACAGCTACATGTATGGACATTTAGACACTATCAAATGAGCTGCGAGTAGTTTTTATTTTATTTTTAATAATAATAAAAGTGATAATTACTTTTTTTATTAATATGTTTTTGTTGTTTTCATTTATAGTTGTTGGTAAACAATCTTTACATGGCAACAAATAAAAAAGAATTTATTCAGTTAAATGACTACACATTCGAATGCTATCTGACTGTGTAATATCTATAACATGGTTCAAATTGCCTTTTTTCCAACCATAAAGCACATACGGCAGAATTTCCATCAACCTTTGTAATGTGCTCTCAGCGAAAAGCTGTATGCGCACATGTAGCGCAGCCCTAACTCCCTTGATCAGGATGTCAAAACTACTTCCTGCTAGCAACCAATCCGCGACGCCTTCTTGGTTTCCATGGTGCTGTTGACATCAACCGTTACTTTTCTGTCCGTTGAACTAGCAAATTGACGAGTTAAAAACACGAACTAACTTATCTATCGGAAACCTGACTTTACTATTTGTACATATTTCTGTGCCAGCAGGTTGAGTGGATTTATTCGCTGAGGTTTCTCTGGGGCTTGGATTGCTCTACGCCAGAGAGCTACGCTAGTTAGCTAAAGTTAGCCTCGGCTAATCCAGAAAAGGAACGGCTTCGTTTATTAGCTGCGAGCACGTTACGTATCGTTCAAGATGAGCGAACAGCTGAAATTAATCGTTGAAAAGCTGAATATGGACCCATTCAAAAAAAACTTTAACCTCATCACGTTTGATTCCCTCGAACCGATGCAGCTGCTACAAATCTTAAACGATGTTCTGGCTGAAATCGACCCAAAGGTGAGTGACTGGCAAGGCTTTATTGTTCGCACAGTTGTGTCACTGCAAACAGTGTGTGTAACGTTACGTGTTGTAATCTGACCGTCACCCCAATTCTTTTCTTTAGCAAGCTCTAGATATCCGTGAAGAGATGCCTGAACAAACCGTAAAAAGAATGTGTGCTTTGCTGGGGATGTTAAAATACAAACCTCCTGGCACCCACTCTGATGTGTAAGTAATAACGTTAAAGGAGAATACGTTTGTCTCGTCCTAGCCTTAATTGCATTGTATTCTCTCATGCAGGAGCGTCTTTAGACAAGGCTTGGTGGCTGGCAGGAAGCCCGTGGTCCACCCCATCCTCCACTGGCTGCTACAGAGGCTCCCTGAACTGAAGAAAAGGGCTTACTTGGCTCGCTTTCTAGTCAAAATCGAGGTGCCTGCAGAGTTCCTGCAGGATGATGTCATCAATGACACCTCTAACCAGGTTGAACATTTGTTCTTTAAACAAAAAAAACTGCAAATAACATAAAAATAAAAATGGCAGTGCAGTAATGTAATGTGTTCACAGTATGAAGAACTGGTGGAGGGTTTTAAGACGTATCATAAGGAGTGTGAGCTGCTGAGGACCTCCGGCTTCTCCACAGCTGAAATCCGAAGGGTGAAGATAACACGCGCTTGGCTTTTTTACAATCACTGTCTGTCAAAGTTTATTGATAATTTCCTCCTTTAATATGAAAAAATATCCCATTTTGAAATCAATATTTAATTCAGTTTTAACATTGACAATGATATAATGAAGTAAGTTGACACAATGCACTAAAACAAAGGATCCCTTTTTTTCTCCAATAACAGGATATTAGTGCAATGGAGGAAGAGAAGGACCAACTAATCAAACGTGTGGAGAGGCTGAAGAAGAGGGTAAGCCAGACCGTTTAGAGAGGCCCCTTCACTCCTCTAATGCTTGGAGGGCTTTAGGATCCACTGGGGACTGAAAACATGACCCCGTTATATACTCTCATCTCCTCTAATAGTGCAGACAAGGCTCTGACAGGCCGCAAGGCCGTCTTAACGAGGTGTTGATTTAATGGGTCTTACTTGTCGGCCTTGCCGAAAGTTGAAACGTGACTCTGTTAGACCTGCTGGGATATTTCTGGCGACCGTGTGATAGCCTGCCATCACACAGCATCATGTTAACTTGTGCATCCACTAGGTGGAGTCAGTGTCCACCCATCAACGGATGCTGGAACAGGCCAGCCAGCTGCGGGTGGAGAAGGAGAGAGAAGAGTCACTGAGTCACCAGAAGCAAGAACAGAAAAACCAAGTAAATGCTTGCAACTCTTTTGGAGTTATTAATCCATTTGCTCACCTTGCTATAATTTATAGTGGACCAGTTAAACCACATGCTGTCTGCTTCCCAAAGCTTTTTCGGCACCTCACTCTCAGTACTATTTGAATTTGACCTCAACAGCAACATCAAATAACACCATAACATTTCTTTGAAATACTTTTGCCAAGATATTTTAAATACAGCTGAAATTATCAGTCTGTTAATCCGTTAATCAACTTAAACAACTTTTTAAGATGAAATGTCAAAACTTGTGTGCTATTTTTCTTTTGTCTTTTATGATATTAAATTGCATAACCACAAGTCATGTGAAAATGGAACCTGGAACGGATTCTTCACTATTATCTGAAAATGTATGGAAGGTTTCTCATCACTATGAAACCAGTAGTCAGTTGCAGCCCCTATGCTGAACAAACTCATCAATGTACATGTATAAATGTACTTTGCACACATCAGTAATCCTAACGGTGTGTTCAGCTGTTCCAGGCGGAGCAGAGGCTGCAGAGATCCCAGCAGCAGTTGAAGGATTTGCGGCAGGCGGCAGCAGGCGCCAATCCAGAGAGTGAGTACCAATGTCTTGCTGTACAGCTGGAGAGGAAGTCCACGGATCTTCGAAGTGCCATAACAGTGCTCACCAAATTCTGTAATGATCTTCTTTTTGTTCTCATCTTGCGTTGGCCTCTTTGTGCACAAGGAGATTTGCACATTTCCGTTTTTCTAAAAGGACCTCTGCAGTGCAGACTAGTGTTAAAGCCCTTATCCCAATTACTGTAAAGAATGTGCCGGTCCAAAGAAGTGCATGCAAATCACCTGGCTGTTTTTCACTGTGTCAAATTGTTGTTAAACTATTGAATTCTGAAAGTCTGTTTCGATGTCCTACGTTTTGGATCATAGTGGTGTGTCTTCCAGGTGCCTGGATGGTTTGTCATGTGTAAAAGATCTTCAGCTCTTATTAACTCACTAGAGCAGCAGACAGCCTGAAAGGATTACAAACACACTGAGCTCAAAGTACTTGATTAAAACGCCCCGTCTCTTCCAGGCTTAATGAAGAGACTTGAAGATGAGATCAAGATCAACTCCTACATGGTGTCTGAGAAGCTTCCCAAAGAACTGGAGGGTGTGAGGCGGACGGTGCAGTACCTACAGAAAGTAGCGTCAGAGCCTGCCATGGGGCAGGCTGATCTCCAGGAGCTGGAGGACAAGGTCGGGACCGGGAGGTGACGTTAAGTCTGTAAACACCCGTAGCCTGCAAAGTGTAACGATTGTCCTGCAATATTCACTTTCACAGATTAGAGATGTCGATTCTCAGATAAACCAGCTGTTCGAGAAGCGGATGATGAGAAATGACCCCATGGATGACAAGCTGACCCTCTACAGACAACAGGTGTTGAATTTATTTTATGTCTTCAATTTCTTTTTGTCTATTTTGTCTCTGGTGAACTGGGTCATGTGGGCGCTGACCCACTCGTACAAAAAGGACCTGTCTTTTCTTTTTAGAGAAAATCAATGCATTGATGTACTGGATTATTTCACAACTTCCCCGTACTGTGGGATAAAAGCATTGTTTTTGTCAATGGAGTCTCGTAGCTTTGGAAAGAGCTTAGACGTAAAAAAAAACCCATCTGGACTGTCTCTATTAAGATGAGCTCAGGGAAACGGTCCCCTTCAACAGAAGAATGTTAAAATAGCCTTCTAGTGTCAAACGCTTGTCTTCTAACAATATCCCCTTTGCCTAATTGCTCAGAGGCTCTTTTTTTTGTACATTTAAAAAAAACGGGACTCTTGCAGGCCTCCATCATCCTTCGCAGGAAGGCGTCGAAGGCGGAGGAGCTTCAGGAAGCGAGGGAGGAGCTGGCCACAGCGGAGAGGGAGCTGAGGGAGAGGAGCAACCAGGCCCAAGCCTCCGAGGGCGGAGAGGTCGTCCGCGGTGATGAGGTACACCACTTGATCTTCTTCTTTCACTCACAGAGAAACGCGCGAGCGAAATATCTTCTGGCATTTTCTCGAAAAAGCCGGGTAGATTTGATCAACCTCGACGGACAATAGCCAAGAAAAAAAACAACATTTTGCACAACTCTCTTCTTTTGGTATCTTTCAACATGGCCACGAAACTCCAGCTTTATCTAAGTGAGTAGAAGGCCCGAAAACCCAAGTGGCTATTTCTGTTCTTATCCAAACACAGACAGGCTCACTGTCTAATGTTACTTATCCCCTTTCCTTACTCTCCCCCTCATTCTCCTGCCGAGCCATGAATAGGACACAACAGAGAATATCTAGAACAAGGAACTGGACTGTGCCAACGGCCTGAAGGACGGCCTTTTCCCTAATCCTGACTCTCATTAACCTCCTAATTTAAGTCGTCTGGACACATTAAGCACATTCAACAATAAAGTTAAATCTAATCTAATCTATTCGGGGCATAAAAGCTTTTGTCTTTATTTATGTAGTATGACCAGAAGGACGTACTCTTTCCCTGTTCAGAGATATGAAGTACACATGATGAAGTACAATCATGTCAATGAGAACATTTACGTTTAATATCCATTTGCTGAGAGTCGGGATCTTTGCAGAGGTTCCAGCGTTGTCGCTGCTCCGTCCTGTCGGCCCCCTCCGCCAAAATCCTCCTCGGTGGATTTCGGCCTTCAGCCCCAGGGGGAAGTTTCCCCCCTTGTTTTACCCTGAACACTGAGTACAACTGAGTTGCATACAAAGAAAATATGTTAATTTCTCTTCAGCAGCACAATTGACCTCTGTATTTAACCCATCCCAAGCATTTCTAGGGGCAGAAGGCTATTGTAAAGCACTCAGGCAGGAGGGCGGGGGGGGGGACGCTTAGAGGTTTTTGTGTCCCGGTTGTGGACACATGCAGACAGGAAGGAGCCGGGGATTCAAACCGGCAGCCTTTTGGACGACCAGCGATTTTAAAAACTCAGTTACAGCCGCTCCATTTAGTTGAACGACTTCATTACTTTTTGGACCTGATACTCTAAACTGTTTTCTCAATAATGTAAAATAAAGCACTCATCTGAGCAAGGGAGTGGAGGAGAAGTAGCAACGTCTTCTTCGTCAACATCTGTGCAGGAAGGAAGACTTAGAAGATGTTGTAGAGGGGTCCTCCAATACCAGCACTGTGAGACAGAAGCTCACGTGTGTTTCTGCCACTGGTGATTGTCTCAATAAACTATTGGGGGAAACTGACATACCGTTTCACGTCTGGCTGAAGAGGGAGCAGTTTGTAGTGACAAAGAGAGCCCTTGAGAAAATACACGAAGGGAGTTAATGGAAAACCTCTTTGTCAAACTCAAACTCTGCTTATCACGCTCCTCGGTGGATTTCGGCCTTCAGCCAGTGGAGATGATCACTTTATCTGAGGTATTTTCCATTCTGCTGGTTATGTGTCATCACATGCCACCCAACCAACCGGAGGCTCTCTCTGAGAGGGATGACTACATCTGCTCGCCATTGGTTGGCCAGTAACACGAAACCACCTTATCAGCCAGGCTCATCGCGCTGGTTAAAATAAGTCCCGCTGCAGGACACAATCATCCATATGAGCGACGCGTTTGCCTTTCCCTGAAATCTCCTGTCTTGTTTGTTTAATCTTTGAAAGGATGCTCTGCTACTGTACAGCTACAAATAGATATGTAGAGCATGTGCGGCTGTGTGTGTGTGTGTGTGTGTGTGTGTGTGTGTGTGTGTGTGTGTGTGTGTTGCCTGTCTGAAATAAGTGGTGGTGTTATGACGGCGCTGTTGGTTTAAGAGCAGTTGTTTTTTGGGGACACGCTGTCGGGAACGCCGTGCAGAATTATTCTGCTGTGCTAATTCCTATCCCAGCCGTGTCTGCCCTTGATGTCCCAAAATACACAACGAATAAATGTACACACTCACAGCTACACGGATCCCCCAAGGACATGAAGCCCATTCTGTGATTTCTGGGGCTGTTCTCCCGTGTGCACGGTCATTAATAGCTGCTCTTCATTGTGGGGGCGTTTCACTGTGTCCCGACAGACATTCAGGGTGACTGAACATCCGCTAAAAGCAGCTCCTCTGCCAGATGAAGCTGTTTGCTGTACGTAGCTGGCCGACCGATCTGAAAGGAGCGAGCGGCTGTTTTTGCGTGTTGGCCCGGCCCTCGGTCACTGCTGTTCTCTGATCCCTCCCCAGGCTCAACCCTTTGTCTTCTCCTGTGGCCATTCACAGCGTCTCAGCTGTGCCGGACACCACGTCGCCACACACAAACTCTATTTGTTCCTCTTTGTGTTTTACAAAGAACTATTTACACTATCTTGCTTGTTTTAGCCCCGGGGGGGACACGGGTTTCACAAATATTAATCATTAACAACATTTTTGACTAAATGTACATGAGAGGGGCGACTGGTTCACCTCAATTCACCGTCATGTTTCACTGTCACTGCTCGTAGCTTCTAGATCCTACACAGAAAGCCCCGAAGACCACGAACTGCCCAGCACCAAATGTCAAAAGGGCAACTTTAGTATTTAGCAGGTTAAGAGCCAGAGACTTGCTCAGGAGTTGGTGTCTTTGGTTTGAGCCAAAGGAAAGTGTTTATTGGAAAGACATCTAGCAAGAGATCCACAACTCCCAACTCATTGCTGAAGTTGCTTTGTGAAAATAAAGTGTCAATAAAACCGTTTGCTAAATATTTCTACTGCACATATTATCCGTTAATGACGGTTTTAACTTTTTCATATCAGTGTAGCAAATAGACCAGAGTTTAATTTAAAAGCAGATTGTAGTTTAGTGATCATTTTCCCTAAAACAAATGTATAGTGCATCTATTTAATGTTAAATTGTTTTTCTTTGTCCTTCACAGCTGAAGCGTATGGTGGTGAAATTGCGCAGCAAGGGTACAGTTTGCAAGAAGCAACGTGAGGAAATCGCTGAGCTGAAAGCCGAATATGGAGTCCTGCAACGAACCGAGGAGATTCTTAAGCGCAGACACGAGACCGTCCAACAGAAACTGGTAACTCTTTAACCCACTCCTATGTTTGACTTCCACACGGACAATATTTAAAAAAGAGAGACACACTTGCTGCCTTTTTTTTAAATATAAAGTCTCGTACAAGCCGCAAGCTAAAGTCCCTCAAGTTCATATTTTATCTTGAAAGGTATCATTAGGTAGTAACCACCTCCCTGCACTCATGCCGCCATTCCAAAACGTGCTGCTTTCACCTGATCACCTCACTTGCGCAGTCCGTGCGAACAGCAACGGTGTTTGTGTAAATGTCTGGAGGGCTCTGACTCGCCGACGGACTGTCTGACGCAGGCCGGGCTGCTATTTCTGAAGGCTGCATTCTGCTGCTCCTCCTTCTGTGTGCAGCCCACACAGGATTTGAAGCGATTCCAATTTTTCTTGTTATCACACGTCAAACTGCCGACACGTCTGCCTCTCTCATTGTGTGTGTGTGAGCCTGATTTTTAATTTTTTCCGGCTGGATAATCCATTCTGTCAGTATTACTTTTATTCCAGGGAGATTAAAATGATGTGATGGGTAGGGAGCGCTGTTACTGCCTGTATTCTAAGACATAAAAGTATTTGTTGGAATAAAAATAACAAAGTTGTTTACAAAAAAAGCAATGCACTCATGTTGCTGTGGACATTCCCTGTGACTCCTGGTTGGTTTACGACAAGCCCGTGTCACCATTCAATTTCATCGTTGTGTGTCTCTGTTTGTGTTTTTCAAGCAAACTGTGGAAGCAGAGAAGGGCATCTCCGGCTACAGTAACACTCAGGAGGAGCTGGAGAGGGTGTCGGCCATCAAGAGCGAGCTGGACGAGAAGAAGGGCCGCACACTGGATGACATGTCTGAAATGGTAACGATACCAAGGAGCACTGCATCCAAAATGTGTATGAACACGCATGTTTGGCATTTGTTGAACTTCTTATTTGAAGTGTGAAACAATTGGCTGTTTTTAGTGTTCAAGTTTGAGAAGGCTTCAGATTCAGATTAACAATAATCAGGATCACAGAACAAACGGGCCAATTCAGGGTAAATACATTATTCCAGCATGGCTCACAGCTTCTGTCGTGCTTTTGTGGCAGGGCCCAGAGGAAAGCAGTTGCAACTGATTAGTCCAAGCTCCAAGCTGGAGGGAAGCTTATTGATCCCCTTGGCAGTTTGTACATTTGTACACATCATAATGATGAAGTCAAACATCCACAGCTCCAGCCTGAAAGTAGTCCTTTGCAATGGCGCTGCCACAACGCTGAAAAATGTTAGGACTACTTAACGAACTGTTTCTGAATATTGTCATATAACCATTATTCTGTCTTTTCAATGTTCCTTTTGCAATCGGTGTTGATCAGATTTGTCCGATTGCACCCGTCTGGGGATGATGCTGCCTAACTTAATTATCCACTTATTAGTCAGTCACACAACCTGTTGTTTTCTCTGCAGATTATAAATATATAAAAAAAGGTAATACAATTCAGCATTAAAGACTATTCTTAATTGACCTTGTATTAATCGTAACACTTACATTTGTTTTCAGTTTTAATGCAATGTTTGATGTTACAGGTGAAGAAATTGAACTCCATGATAGTGGAGAAGAAGTCCGCTCTAGCGCCCGTTATAAAAGAGCTGAGGTCACTGAGGCAGCGGTGTCAGGTGAGCAGCCCTTCCAAGAATCCTCACAACCTGTCAATTAGAGCTCGGAAAGAGCATTTGCCAGCTGACCAACATGTGAATGAGCCCCTGTCACAGTCATGGCGTCCCATTATTGTCCTCGGTCCCACACACCTCAGCAATAAGTCCAAACCGGTTTAGGAGTTTTTCCTCTGGGATTCAACCAGTTCTGTGAGTCAGTATTCTTGAAAAAAGAGGTGTAATTAGTATTGAAAAATGGAATTAAATACACAGTGAAAAAACATTTCAACACAAATCCCAAAGAAAAGAACAATCATATTACCCTATTGTGATAAAAACACAAACTCTGAATTAGGTGAGAATTCTTTTAACGTGTGTCTACAAACCAGTAGTGTGTGTGTGTGTGTGTGTGTGCGTGCGTTATTGTGGACAGGGTCCATTAAGAATAATTTACATAGTCCATAAATAAATTGTTCAGTGGGAAAGCCCCTCCGCATCGCGGCGCTAAAGCGGAGGATTACATTTTCCTACACATGTTCCCAGAATCACTCTTCCATCTTACCGGATAATGTCTACGAAATGAAGAACTGCAACAGGAAAACATAAATAGACTCTGAAAAAAGAGCCTGTTATAAGTTAAACTGCTCAAATGGCAGCGGTGATGTTTTGATGTGAAACAGTGCTGAGAGTGTGACAAGAGGGTTAGCAAGTGTGTGTTGTGTGCATTTGTCTCACTTTTTGAGCTGTGTGTAAAATCTTTTGTCTTCCACATTGTGTGTGTGTGTCTGACTGTTTGGATTGCAATCTCAACAGGAAATAAACCCGGACTATGACGAAAAGAAGGCGCAGTATGAAAGTTGTACTGCTGGTTTAGAGAGCAACAGGTCTAAATTGGAGCAGGTATGGTTATTATCCCACACTGGGTAGAACAGAACCAACAGTGTGAACATATTAACACCTGGTTATCCAGTGTGTTTGTTTGTAATATCTCATATCTTTGACATGGCATCACGTTCTTGTTTTTCATTTGCAGGAGGTGAAAGAATTGATACGAGAGACCGCACAGGAGGAAAACCGATATCATCATATCAACTGCATGTCAGAGGCGAGTATTTAAAAATGATTGTCGCTGATTGTTGCCCAATGGAAGGGACAATTGTTACCACAAGCCCCACAGCTGGGTGTATAACACACATCCGTACCAATGTTTTACAAGGCGATCACGGTCAAATTTGAATTCATACTCAAATCTCTGAGCACATGGGTGGCCGCTGCACGGAATAAAGAGTCCCGCCTCCGAAAGCTCCTGTGGGGAAATAGAACTTTGCATCTCGGTCCTCCACAGATCACTGAGATGCAAATACAGCGGGCAGCCGAAGAGATGAAGGCCTATGTTTCCTCTGATCCACTGGAGAGGAAGAAGGCCATCAGGTGAACATGCAACATGAATACACTCCCATAACCCTTAATACAACATAGACAGTTCAGCCGCTGTCACTTTATTTTCTCATACAGCAGAGAAAGTTACAACACCTTGTTATCAAGATAAGCTGATACACCACACTTTTTTTTTTTTCAGTGGGTGAAAACCGCATGCTCACGTTTGAATGATGTCATTCTGCTTCGTTCGCAGCGAAGTGTACACAAAGAACATTTCAGAGCAGGAGTTACTTGGCAAGGTGAGAAAAGCTCTATCCTAGAAACTGACGACATTTGGTGCCATGATTCTATCAACAAGATGTCTGAGACAGACAAGGGAACGGAGACGGTTCATTTTGCTCATCAGTATTTCTTCTTTGTGGATACCAGAAGTTACGTGAGAAGCAGAAGGTGGTGAGGGAGAGCCACGGCGCCAACATGGAGCAGATGAAGCTGTGGCGTGACCTGGAGCAGCTGATGGAGTGCAAGAGGCAGTGCTTCATAAGAGCTCAGAGCCAGGCGTCTATTGGTCAGGTGATCCAGGAGGGAGGCGAGGACAGGCTGGTGCTGTGAGGACTTGTCCAGGTCACCTACAGAGCACACCCTTCAACTTAATATCCTTATCGTTATATCCTATTGGACACGTTAGCACATGGTTTGTGTCATTGTTCACGGGGTTCATCTGTCCCCTACATGCCAAGATAAAATATTCCTATTGTTCAACCTTTTTACAAGCAATATATATATATATAAACACTCCCAACCTTTATATCTTTCTTTATGTAAGACATATTAGATAGTTCGGCTGTCTATGTATTTTTATCAAATGTTTATTATTTTTGACTGAACCATTATAATAAATATATATATATATATATATAATAAAAGGCAACGGTCTGTTTATTAGTAACATAATTGCCCCTCCATAAATTCCTGGCTGTGATAAAGATGTATTTACATATTACAGTTGAAACTGAATAATTAATACAGTGACTACCTAATACTAGTATCTAATAGACAATTTCCTTGTAGAAATCAAATGATGATTAAGAACATTATATTTACTCTCTTAAACTTGATGAAGTATAAATTGTTATGATGTCTTTATATCAAGTCATATATAACAAACCAAAGAGTCTACAAGAAGTAATTTGGTTGTCAAAATAATAAGCTTTATTAAGTATTAACTCATAAATCAATTTACTACATGTGGGATAAGCTTAATTTCAATTTGACTTTTGTTGCTGCCACTACCCTCTGTCTGTTTCAATGTTTCACGGTTCCTCCCGCCCTCCCACAGAAACTTAATCTGCTGTTGACAGCGTGTCAGCAGCTCTTGTGCACAGCGGATCAGGTGTGCATCGTAAAAGGCAGCTGGATTTCAAACTGCGCAGTGCCATGTTATTTTTTGCAGCTCCTCGTACTTCTCGGGACCCCATTAAGGCGTGTTGACAGATGAGTGATGGCAGTAAAACATCTCACAACTTCAGTGGACCAAGTGCTACCGGTCCTATTAGACAAATTAGCTTCCTTTTGTTGTTATGCGGATGTGGCTGATCATGAATATTGATTGTGCCTAATTGAAGAAGGCGCAGGTGTGTTTAAAAAATGTCCCATAGTTTTTGTCCTTGACTACTGTAAATCCTCGTCCTGATGGGATGGAGACATTAATGTGTTGCCAATCTTTCTGTTCTCTATTCTGAGCATGAACTCATTCCTGCTGAAGGCAAACACAGAGACCTAGTCAAGTGTAAATTAGGTAGTAATTCAATAAGACACGGGGCCTCTGTAATGGGGGGCCCGTAGTCTGGGGGAATTTGTAACGTAGTCTGTGAATCTTGGGTGTTGTACTTATTTGTGTGGGTACAGTTCTATTACCTATCATATTGAAACAAAAATAATATGAATTGTGTGCTAGTTTAGGTACAAGCAAGGGCAGCCTAATTCCGCTGTGGGGAAAACTTTCAGTACATGTTAATGGACAGAGCACATTATTAAAAAAATTAAATTAACGCATATAATATGTCTATAACATAAAACTACATTATCTAGATTAGCTCAAATATTACGATACCGTTACAACCCAAGTAAAATGTGCTTTTCAAAAACCAACATGACAAAAGGGTTTTTGTTTCATTATTTAATTATTATTAACTATTGAATATGGACTAATAGACAAGTCTACTTCCACACTATGCACTGCGTGTCTCCAAATAATATAAATAAAATATTCCATCCACGCAAATGGTCCCGGTCGCTTCCGGGTTCACGTCGCAGCGTAATCCGCAGGGTTTGAATGGGACACCGCGGGACTCGCGGATCAGTTTTCCAGGCGCCGCTCTACTACCGCGCGGTGTCACTGACCAGCTGACTCCGCTCGTCCAATCACATCGGTCCACATGCAGCGCAGGGAAGAGGGGGCAGCGGGGCGGCGCTCTGATAAAGGCGGACCGTCAGCACCGTGCGGAGCCTACAGAGAGCTGCGTGAGACCCGGGGACATCGGAGGAACCGCGCTGAACGCTGTCCGCAACGCACCGCCGCTGACACGCGCACACCAGGAGGGGGGGTTTCCGGAGATTAGACGACGCCTAGAGAAATCTTCACACGCCGGACAAGAAAGAGGAGTTTGTCTCACAACAAGCTTTTTGTGTTTTTTTTGCCTTCTTCTTCCTCCTGTAAATTTGCGTGAAGAATTTCTCAACTGCGCAGAGAGCGAACGAGAGAAAGAGGCGCCGGGCGAACAACTAACGACAGCCGTCATCCCGAGAGGCTCCGCGCTGCTCCCCTCGTTTGAAGAGCCGGGAGGAAACGAAAAGGCAGCGCGTGTGATTCGTGTGTCTGCGCGCGCGCGCACGTGTGTGTGTGTCACATTGTGTGGGAAGGAGCCGTCTGTCCGCCATGGAGAACTCTCACACGAAGAGCGTGGAAGAAGTTTACAGTTATTTCTGCGTCAATGAGAGCACCGGACTTTCCCTGGAGGAGGTGAAGCGGCAGAGGGAGAAATGGGGCCTGAACGGTACGAACATTTACACTTTAGACCGGTTACACTTTAGTGAGGAAAAAAAATGTCCCGTCATTGTATCATGGCAGTGTGTGTGTGTGCGTGCGTGTGTGTGGGGGTTATGGGGTAAAAGTCGCCACCATCACCGGTGCTGCCCGGCCTCCTAAGGTGATTCGGCTGACGTCATCACCTGTGACCTCGAGGGTTTCCCGTCTCCCATGAATTCACACATTAATCATTTGCTCACAGGACACCGCAACGTTGTTAAAACGTTTCTTTCCGTGTGGGTTTCGTACCAGTACTGTAGGTCGCTTGCATCGTAGTAGGACTGTTGCCTGTGATAACATTGTTTAGCACAACCACACTGTGACATTGTGGACAATAGGTATTAAATATGGGGCACATTGTTGAACACGGTGACCTTTTCTTTCTAATGACTGCAACGCACTTTCAGCCCGGAGATCCGGCCTTCTGAACAACGGCCACGCGATCACTGTAGTAACGTTATCCATCAAGTTATTCACAGCGGTTTTTATATTCATCTCACCTGGAAGGTCATGGAGGATATATTACCCTCTTATTAAATCACTTTGACCTTTACATTCATTGGAGTTAGATTTTTTTCTTTTTCTTTTGTGCAATAAAGATAAGAGTGGACGATGCCACTGATGGAAATGTAAACCTGCGCTATATATATATATATATATATATATATATATATATATATATATATATAGCTCAACTGCGCAGAGAGCGAACATATATATATATATATATATATATATATATATATGCGTGTTAATATCAATTAAACATCAAGTTTAACGGTCAAAAGGATCCACACACAAACTACATTATATCTAATCGATACAGAACCTGCCAACTTCTGGATTATGTATGATTAGTTCATCAAAATATTACGTGAAATTACGTACATTTTCTATTTAGCACTCGTAGAATTCCCCATCACGAAACAGGGACTTCTTGTCTCCAGTATTTATGTGATTGTAAAAAGTATTAATACACAACTTCTTTCCTTTGTTCCTTGTTCCTGCCCCTTGGTTTGACTCTCACTTCTCTGCACGCAGAGTTGCCAGCGGAGGACGGTAAGCACGGCGCTCTCCGATATCCTCGGCCGTCTTTTTGTGACGCCTCGTTTCTGTGATGGATTTTTAATTTCTCTCTCTCCTGCAGGAAAATCTCTGTGGGAGCTCGTACTTGAACAATTTGAAGATTTGCTTGTTCGCATCCTTCTGCTGGCCGCCTGTATATCTTTCGTAAGTATTTCACTACATTTTCCTGCACAGCATGATTGACAAAGTCAACGCTTCCTAAAAAAATCCTTCCCTTCTCACTTCTGGTGTGTTTATGGGAACTTGTAGACGGTATTACTGTTAAGCCCTGGGTGTTGGTTGGCGGTAGGGGGGGGGCTGATTTAGGCAGAGCATACATAGTGCTGAAGTGTGAACGTCTTCAGTTTGTTTAACCCGGCTCGCGTATTAGAAAGCCGAAACAGCTGAGAAGGCCGGTAACTGTCCGAGGAATGGTGACAACAGCGGCCGCGGCATTGAGTTGCTATCACCGTGTGCCAAGTGAGACATCTGAGTCGTCAAGCATGACTGCTGTGTAATGACCCAGCCCCCCCCCCCCCCCTCACACACACACACACACACACACACATCCCGGTTTCACCCCAAGTGCTGGTCAGATAAATGTTTGATGGTGGCCGTTATGAAACTGCATCATCAGCAATGTGTCCGAGTGCTTTTTCCGACGCTGAATCCAGCGTGCGTTCCCTCGCCGATGGTAAGAAGCACCTTTTAAATGTCGTTATGTGGAAGAAAAAGGTTTAATGTCAACCGGTTATTTATTTAATGCAACGTGTCTTTAACCAAATTTGAGTTGGAAAGCACGAGGTTTTTGGATAAAATAAGTCACGTTTTAAAAAAAGGATTGGAAACTGGAAGTAGCCTAGCATTGTGGATTGCACAATGACGTTGTTCCCCTCCTTTGACCCGGCAGCGCAGTAGATTAGCAGTTGGCTGAAATGCGTGTGCGTTGTAGAGTCCAGTCGGGTGATACGGAGGTGTCCGCGGCTGCTGTCTGACAGGGGAACAGAGCACCACTCGAGACCTAATATGGGCCGTACCCCTCAGCGGGACGGCTCCGATCAGACAAACGCACCCGCTGCTCCCTCAACATCGATTCAATCCCTCCCCGACTTTCATGTATAAATATGCAGTCTGAAAGCTAATTAGAAGTTATTCGTCAACCGTAATCTCGACGAGTCAAAAAGTATGAAATAAATTGCCCCAATCTTCAGTTTATTTATTACCTCGATTGTAAACAGGAGTTTAGGATCTCAAAAGCTGGTTTCAGGTTTCCGTCGATCCAGCATGAGGTTCAATTAGCAAATGATGCCTGTTTACGGTGCAATAGTTTGCTTCTTTGTAGCTACCTTGTGATTGACGGGCTGCTACCACAGAAATGTCCTGTCTGTTGTTTCTTCTGAATTAATTATTTCTGAGAAACTCACGAGCACATCGCTGTTAAACACAATGGATTCGATGTGGAGCTTTTGTGTGATTCTTTGAGGTGAAACTTAATTTTACCGACTTCTGATTAAATCAGTCAACAAAATCAGTGTCTTTTGACTCAGGATTTCTTTGGTTGATGACCTAATTGATTATTTGAAAATGATCTGTAACATACTTATAAAATGTATTATACACATTTGCTTAGTGTGAGTGTAAATCTGGCAGGGTCATGACGATGTACAGTAGCGCTCGACGGAGCGCGGTGCTTCTGTATTAAACTGAGAGTTAGGAACACTCATTTGAGATGTGCCAATGAATGTCTTACTTTGGTTGCTTTATTACATAATGTTACATAGACTAATTCCATATGACACACAGGGACATTCAGCTGAATGAGACTCCTGGTCATAATGTTGGTTATTTTCTGGCAATAAAAGGTGCTTAGATGTGGGACGGCTGTCTGGTAATCAGAGTTGATAGTCGTCTTGATGGCTGACATGTTGGCATTCAACTAAAATCAAAAGCCTATGAAGAAGTTTGAATTAAAATACAAAGGTCTGAGCAGAATTAGCAGTTAAAAATAAGAAAATAGTTGGGAGTGTTTATATATATATATATATTGCTTGTTATGAGGTGTTTGGGTGCAGTTCTATGATTTATTCTTTATTTTTTCTCAGTACATTAAGTTTTATATAAGCAGCGTGTGGGTTGGTCCCCAGCTATGAACAATCTCTCTTTGATGTCAAGCTTCTGGCTACTGACAAATAGCTAAAGCCTCAGATGGGGATGAATCACCGCCGCCAGCATCATTCTTTAGAGACAAAAAACCAACCTGTCCAGTTAATTTAATTCCAACATTTTCTTTGATGTCTCATCTATCAGAGATGTGATTCTTCCATATTTCTTGTGTTATATTAATGAATAACGACACGCTTCTCAATCTGTTTCCAGGTGCTGGCCTGGTTCGAGGAGGGCGAGGAAACTATCACCGCCTTTGTGGAGCCTTTTGTCATTTTACTCATCCTTATAGCCAACGCCATCGTCGGTGTGTGGCAGGTGAGTCGCTATATTTATACCACTCCATAGTAATTGAATATTCTAGTTTCATTGTCCAAATCGAATTCATTAAGTTCAGTTCAATGAAATTTACCCAACACTACAAAATGCTGACTTTGCAGTCTGAATGGACAGACTTTTTGGATTGGATGAGATTTAACGGATGAACCTCGTACACTAAACTTAAGATCAGCTCAGCGCTGCACTGAAAGGCTGCTAATGAACAACGTGGACAAAGGCAGAAATGTTCCCATTTTCAAAATAGACATCCAACAGATGAAAGCCAGAGCCTCCTCAAAGGGAAACGCTCTGCAAGTCCAGCAGAGCCAGCAGCATGCATGTCTAATCGCTCTCACCTCGACAGGAACGCAATGCCGAGGACGCCATCGAGGCGCTGAAGGAGTACGAGCCCGAGATGGGGAAGGTCTACCGGCAGGACAGGAAAACCGTGCAGAGGATCAAAGCCCGAGACATTGTGCCTGGTGACATCGTGGAGGTTGCTGGTGGGTTGAGCTGCTCAGTTTTGAACGCACAAGGCTTTCGTTTTTGTTATCTTATCCGCTGGTACGTGTTGTTTAGACAGAAACATCAGTCATCCACCCTGGAAGCTGTTACACATTAACCTTGAAAGTCACAGAAAATTGGTAATTTGAAGCCTCTGCGCCTTCCATCAAAGTACACATTTTTTTATTTTCCCTGTGAAAGGTACTTTTTCCACAATTTGTTTAAAAAAAGAAAAAAGAAGGATCTGGTGGTTTTAAGATGGTGATGATGACGTCTGCCTCGGATGAAGCCTGCCGCGGACAGATTGAATCAGTCCACGTATGGTCATGCATCACATTTAGCACAAGCCTGAGTTGACCCTCCTCTCCCCTCCCTCCCTCCCTCCCTCCATCCTCATGTGCCACTGCAGAGGTGACTCACCCTGCAAGAGTGATGTATTTTGAGATGCTCTTATTAACACATTGTCTCAAAGGGCTGTGCACCTATGCTATTGAGTGCGTGCGTCGCGATATTGCGCACACATAGTAGCGCTGTCCTACGCATCCTCACGGCTCGCCCCTCCCTGCAGCATGTGAACAAGACGCACAGTGCTGCAGAGGGATGATCGGACGGATGTGTGGAGGAATGCTGATGTCCTTAAAACACTGGTCTTATCTTGATACTCTGTTTGACCCGAAGCTTTATGTGCATAGTGGGAGGTTTTATTTTTAGCCTTCATCGGCCTTTTAGATTTTGGAATGCTGTATTTATAGAGGCAGTGAGAGTCGGCGAGATGACAGGTGTCTGGTCCCACCCGCAGCGCTGCTCTGGGGAGCATTGCTACAGCGGGTGACGTGGGACCGCGTTCAGCAGGACTCCTGGGTAACCTTGACAAGGACAAATGGAGGAGGGGTGTTCTGGGGATTATGTATGTATAATGTTTCTTGTGTCATGCGGCTCCCTGCGTAGTGTGGTTTAGGTTGACGGCGCTAATCATGCCATTTAGTGCTGAAAGCTTAATTATTTGGCTACGGTTTAAAGACACATTTGGGAGTCATATGGTTCCCTTTTGCATATAAGACATCTTGTTTCAACACTCTATGAAGGCTGAATGAGGTTCAATGAAGGCTGGAGGTTTTGTTGTCAGCAGCGTGAGGCTTTCTTTAAACACCAGCAGCCCAGCAGGCAGCACAACCGGATGTTTTATCCAGCAGTCACAAGAAGCTCGTCGGCTTAACTTGCTTCCCAAATCCGCCAGATATCCTTGACAAAGGTTCCTGTCAGGCTGCCTTTTTCCCCCTTCTGAATAACATTTTGCTGGAGCTCCGAAGTGACCCCATGCAGAGGAGTAGTGCGATGACGCAGGCGCTGTCTGGAGGTCTTGTGGTCAGAGGACAGCGAGCCCTCTGAGGAGACCCTGACGCTGGCTGCAGCACATCTCTGCCTCTCCGTCAGGAAATAGCATAGTTTGTGTTTGTGTTTCTTATAAGCCATATTATTTTAATGCTCGGTTTCATCTTTGTAGCCTCCCGTGCGGGTCTTCCCTGTCCTATGTGACTGTTCCCGTCGGTTGATGAACGACTTGTTCCCGTCAAATCCGGCTCAACCGGATACTGAACCCCGACTGGATCCAGAAAGGCTCTCACTCGCAGATGGAAGGGATTTGGTCTGAATAGATTTCATTCTGAAATCAAAATGAAAATCGGCAAGCAACCGCTATTTATTATAATTTTGATTTGAGCCACCGTGCCCCTCCTCACAGACGTTGGCTGATGGCAACGTGTGGGTTTCCCTCGGTCTTTCACGTGGATTAAAGTCCTCTTCATCCTCCATATGCTGCCTGTTCAGTCTGGTGTCGAGGGGCTCGCAATTTAGAACGTTTGCATTTTTTCAGAGTAGCAGAACTCTGCAGGCTTGTTCTCTGCTGCGTGTGAAGTTGTGGAGTCTGGTAGGGACGGGGTCTCGCGTGGGCAGCATAGGGGGTCGGTGGGGGGGGCGGGGGAGGAGAGAGAATCTTTCATCTGCTTCTATTGTGCTTGAGTGAGACGACCTTATAGGGAAGCATTCTGCAGATAACTGTCACACCCCCTGACCGCCCCCCCTGTGCTCGATCCACAGCGACCCTGCCCATCGGCACCCGCGCCCTCCACAAAGATTCCAGACACCACGGATAGTGATGTGACATTTAATGTGGTCTGGCAAGCATCCATTGTCACTGAGTGACATTTTTGGCAAATGTTCCAGACTTGTCAGCGCGACTGAAGGAAACGGTCTCATCTCGCCGACCAGGAAGGCTGGCTTTACAAACGGGGGAGAAAAAAAAACTTAATTCGTAGTGAAGTCCTGCAGAAGAGCACAGAGGTTTTTATTGAGCCTAACCGGGGAAATCGTCAAGCGTAGAACTTATTTGGAGAGAAGGATTCAAATAACGTTCTGCATAAACTACATTTGTTTATCTGAGGCATCTCCCTTTTGCACCAGTACGTCTCCTTCATTAAGGCTTTGCAGTCTTTTTAAACGTTTGCAGTGACCATAACTCGTACTGACTGCTGAACCCAAGCGTTGCTGTGTGGTTGAAGATGGCATAGTGAGCGCTCAGACTTTAACCCCGCGGAGGCTTTAATGAGGTGTGACGACCGACCGTGTTGACCTTAAGACATGAAGAGAATGTGTGCTTTTGACTTGCTGACAGAGAAAATTATCTGCACACATTAACATTTAAGTGTCGTGCGTGGCTGTGAGGACGATCTGTTTCGTCTGATGTTTCAGCTGCATTCAGGCTGCTTCTACATCTACTGCTCTCTTTGCGTAGCAGTCGATCTTCACATAGATCTAAATTCATTTTGTCCCGGTTACTGAACATGGATTTCTTACAGGGTTTACTAGTGACATGATTTGTTTTTGACAGGGAGGGAGCACTAAAAAAATGTTTTGTAACTATGACAACGTAAGCTGTTGCATCCTATGTAGGACCGATGCTGCTGCTGCTTAGGATTCAAATTAACTGGCAAACCGCTCTCTGTGAGAAGGTGCAGAGATGATGCTTATGTAACGGAGATCGTAGGTGTGGGTCAACTCCAAAGTCACCCGATGCGTTTTTCAATCTGACAGGGAAAACAATACTGGTTTGTCTCACTTACGAGGCTGCAGACTAAACATCACTTGTTCTGCTTTTGTTTGCTGATAAAATAGAAACAACTCCCATGTGATGTTTGCCAGCTGCAAACAGAGGACAAAAAAGGTGTCTTTTTTTTTTTTTTTAATGAAAATTCCTCCCTCTGATTTTGCTGTGTCATGGTAACCGTCTCTCCGGTGCACCCGACGACGAAGGGTTAGAAAATAAAACTCATTGGGCGACTGGGTGAAACTTTGATAGACTGTTTTTTTCGATAACCTCTCCAGGCGGGTGACTCATTTGCATGATTCTGCACATGTAAATGTGCCATGCGAGCTAATCGATAAGAGCCGTGTTCATAAAGCCGCCGGGCCCTTCACCTGCTGACGGTTCTGAAATGGCCCACTCCACAAGACGGGAGGTCAGCCTTTTGTTCAGCTGCCATCAGCACATGTGTGCCTCCGGGCCCCCCCCCCCCCCCCCCGACACACAACACACGGCGCAGGCAGGTGCCCTTCAAAGCTGAGCACTTCGGTCCAGTCACTGTTTGAAGGGTCCTAAAAGCACCCGAGGAGTCACACCGGGGGCCACAAAGTTGCGTCCTCCATAACACGGCGGCAAACACAAAGTTGAAAAGGCGGCCATGCTTGAGGAAATCGCTGGACTGCGGCCAAGTAGGATGTTGACACAAAATGATATATACAACCTTCTACAGAGCAGGTCTGCGGTTTAACACGGTCTCCCAGATTGTTCGCAGGAGAACCTGCCAGCGGTTTCTGTCAACGATCCAAGGACAACGCATTGTCACTACGCTACACAGGGTTCCATTACCAAACTGATTTGTAGCCCTTTTGCTACCTTCTAAAAACATGATGAAACAAAAATGCAGGGATGCAGTTTTTTTTCTTAATATGTTTTAAAAATCCACATCAAGGAAATGCTGCACTTCAATTTGAGCCTCATTGTTGTAAACGTTCTTCTGGGGTCTGGGTTGTTTCACTGGAGGTGGTTCTCTGACCGAGCCGGGTCATCTTGGCCTCCATCCCGGCTCTCCTCCCTCTCGGCGGCGTTCGGTCCGGCGTGTCTGGCTGGCTGGTCGGCAGTGAGGCTCAGCGTTCTCTTCAAAGGAGTCTGTATATTTTCAAAAACAACGAGTTCAGCTATGAAATGGGCTGCTCGATTCGACACGCATCAAAGTTGTGGCTCTGTACCGTCGGAAAGTTAACTGCACTCTTAGTTTGGATGTTGAACTCTCCTCCAGCCAGCGGCCCAACATCTATGAAGCCGGCTTGCGTGACCTTCTCCATTGTTCTAGGGTGAGATTGACCGGCGATGCACGCTGACGGATCGGTTCCCGGCTCCGCTGATCGTCGTTGAAATGTTTTTTCCATGTACGGCCGTATTCATTGTGTTCCCTTTTAGTATTTTTCCTATCGCTCGCCTAAAGGTCATAAGAGGTTTTAGATTACGATACGTTGGTTCTCCCTCACATGGTAATCTGGATTTTGCATTTCTTTACCGTGAAATGTTTTGGGTTTTCACTCTTTTTATTTTTATTTTGCCGTTCTCTTGCTGCCAACATCATTGTATTTGAATGCATTTTGTCTAGTTTCTATTGCACATTTAAGAGTACCGTGCGAGAGCTACCACAACACGCTCAACCAACATCCTCCATCTCTCTATCGACGGCCCAATTTGGTTTGGGTGATTGGTCACATGTGGACACTCACTCATTAAGGCCGGTTCTGAACGTGGCCCTGGATATTTGGCAGGCTGCTGTGGTTTCCTGGTTTCTAACTATATAAAATCGGGGTCTTTTGTAACAATCTGACATAATTTGCATTTTAACTAAGTAGGCCTATATGCAGACTACGCCCACAGAACTGTGCCACAGCCTGAGCCATTTCCCCAGTTTATATTGTCTTCATGTACCATTAGGAAGCTGAACTGGGTCAGCGCAATTCCAATGTACCCAAATTGGCCATTTCCTCCGAGACAAGCCTTTTACGGCTCTCAGGTCCTTCATCTCCTCGTCTGTCTTTGGCTCTTCTTCTTTTTCCCTCCAGCAATGGATGCTTTGTGGTACAGGAGCCTCCCCGTAATGAGCATCCGTTTAGTGTACGCTAATGCTGAGTTACTGGCTGCAGAAAATAGACAACAACCTTCTATTAAATCTTCATACAGCGTGCGCACACACAGAGTATTGGACCAGGAGGTGTTTAGTTGCATGATATTTATGTGGTGTAAAAGACCATTGAGCCGTCACACATGATGCCATTACAATTTAACATGAGCCTTCACTTCCAGGCTATATATTTTTTTATTTCTTTGCTTTCTCATTTCCACAAGTGCATTTTCTCTGATTGCCGATTTGTTTGTCTGCAGTTGGAGACAAGGTGCCTGCTGACATCCGTATCTGTTCCATCAAGTCAACAACCCTGAGGGTGGACCAGTCCATCCTGACCGGTAAGACGTATTTGCTGATATCACAGCCGTCCAATTGTTTTCCATAAGCCACTTTTATGCTTTACATTCTGTCTCTCCTGAAAACATGGGTATTGTTATATTGAATTCTGTTGCGTATATTGATTTTATTGTATAGAACTGTTCTATCCGTAACATTTCATGATTGAAACATTCAATAGCGTGTCTTATTATTGCCTGTGCTTTGTTTCTACTGTCGTCTGCAGAGACTAATGCTCTGTTTTTTTTTCTGCAGGGGAATCCGTCTCCGTCATCAAACATACCGACCCTGTGCCGGACCCCCGCGCTGTCAATCAGGACAAGAAGAACATGCTCTTCTCCGTAAGCTCAACTCTTCACCGGCCATCACACATCCTGTTGTGCTTCAACAATGTGTTTTTTGTTTTAGCTTCTGTTAACTTCCTGTTAAAGAAAAACAAACATTCTCGTGCTGTTGCGTTCCACTGTCCGAGATGTTATCCGAAGCACTTGAGCCGACTGTGTGAGTGTGTTTGTGTTACTTGTTGTCGCCTCAGGGCACTAACATCGCTGCTGGGAAGGCCGTGGGAGTGGTCGTGGCCTCCGGCATTAACACGGAAATCGGAAAGATCCGCGACGAGATGGCGGCCACCGAGCAGGAGAAGACCCCCCTGCAGCAGAAGCTGGACGAGTTTGGCGAGCAGCTCTCTAAGGTCATCTCCCTCATCTGCATCGCCGTGTGGATCATCAACATCGGCCACTTCAACGACCCCGTCCACGGAGGCTCCTGGATCCGCGGGGCCGTCTACTACTTCAAGATTGCCGTGGCGCTGGCCGTGGCCGCCATCCCCGAGGGCCTCCCCGCCGTCATCACCACCTGCCTGGCCCTGGGCACCCGCCGCATGGCCAAGAAGAACGCCATCGTCCGCAGCCTGCCATCCGTGGAGACCCTGGGCTGCACCTCGGTCATCTGCTCGGACAAGACGGGAACCCTGACCACCAACCAGATGTCCGTCTGCAGGGTGAGGCGCGCGCACGCACACACACACAAAACGTAGTGTGTTTAGTTCAGTGCTTTGTCTTCGTTGATGGTTGCCTGATGTGTGATTAAGGCGTCAGCAGTTAGAGCAGCTGTGACTCCCTCTACCACGCTTTCGTCAGCTAAGGTGAAGCTCTGTCCAAACAGAGAGTGAAGTGTTCCTTTTGAACAGGCTATGATGCAGGAAGGCAACATACCGGCTGCCGCTCCTCTAATCTACAGCGAGCCGTTGGATGACTTGCAGTGCTGCGGTTGCGTAACTGACCTTGCGTCACCAAGCTGTACAGGCCTCTAGTTCATCTCTCTCTCGCTCTCTCTGTATGAGTGATACCCCAGCACTACTTGGCCCACATTGAGACACGTTATTATTTATTCATCGAATCCTCCTTTGGTGCCTGTCCAGTTATGGCTCTGGACTTTGGCACAGCCTGAATTGGACTAGACATTCATTTACAGTTTTAGCAAAGCGTTGTTTAGGCCTCTGTGTTGTTTGGGCTCCATGTTGTTCCAGCCATGATTAGGTAGACTTGTGAATATGAGATGTACTGTAGTTGTCAGTGATGTACTGGGCTCATGGAATGGGAAACCTGGAAAAGTAATTTTATTTGAAAATGGCAATTTTCAAGCCCAGAGTGGTTTAAGAAAATGAATAAACCAAAAGTCAAATACATCAGCCATGACAATATGACTCATCCGATCATGCAAATGATGTGGCAGAAATGTGTGTGTGAACGATTCACAAAGAGGAATATATTAAAGCACTAGCGAGAGAAAACATTTGCTCCCTTTTGGCAGAATGAGATTAAGGAGGACCGTTAAAGACCTCTAAATGACTTTAATTTAGTGTTAAATATCCATCGTTCCTGTGTAAATTGCCCAAAGTTAATGCACTACAAACTATTGAACAATCTCAGTGTCACAAAGCACTACTTTGACCATCTTGCTCATATATCTGCTGTGCAGAGGATTGCAGGTCGGATTAGCCAGAAAAGCACGATGGCTTGTTTACCACAACGTTCCGAGGCGCAGTAGACTGTTGGTTGATCCATTAAACATACCAGACTACCGTGGAACACTTGACTCGTTACCCGTTCGTTTTGCGGCTGCTTTGAGGAGAGCCTGACTGATGTCAGCGGTTATGTTAAGGTAGAATCTATCTCAGACTAGCTGGGCATGTGCGTGGAGGCGTCCTGCAAAAGGACGCCGGCCACTGCGGCTTCTTCCTTCTGAGCACGGCATGCCGCTTTACATGTCGTGCTTTACATGTCGCTCCCTGGAAGGAAACTAGACCCTGTTTTCTCGGGGCTGCGGGACACCAGTCCTCGACAGAGACGCACTCTTTCACACTCCGATCTGCCTCGGACGTCTGTGGTTTCTGCTGCCACCTGCTGCATCAGTAGAGAAGCTGCCAGCCAACTCAAACACCAGTTCTATTAACCGCAGTCTGTGGGGGCAGAAGAACTCATATTTGCTTTTGTCCCGCCTGCTCTCTTGTTCTCCAGATGTTCATCGTCAACAAAGCCGAAGGGGACAGCTGTGCTCTGTCAGAGTTCACCATCACGGGTTCTACCTACGCACCTGAGGGAGAAGTGTGAGTACTTTACAGTGACCCCATAACACAAACCTGTAGGAGAAAGCTGAAATATTGGTTTGATATTGTTTGAATTTAGTTGTAGGTTATAGGGAGTTGTCATTTGAACTGTAATTCCCAGGTTAATGCTTTTTATTTACCCTCAGGTACCAGGATGGTAAACCAGTGAAGTCCTCCCAGTATGATGGCCTGGTTGAACTGGCTACTATCTGTGCCCTTTGTAACGACTCCTCTCTGGACTTCAACGAGGTCTGAACCCTTCCTGCGTCAGATATGTGTGGAGTGTAATCGTCTCTAGAATGAAGTTTGTATTTTGTAAGCAGTAAATATTCAATGGATGTCTGCACGTAATTCTTAGCTTAGCTCAACAGAGCCGACCAATACATTTAGAATTTGGCATTTATAAAAGGAAGTCAAGAGCCCCCAACCCGCATGCTCCTTCTCAACGAATGTGTGGTCATAAAAGAAAAACCTTAAACCCTGGGCGATGGCGCTTGCATAAATGACCTCCGTACCAAACAAATTTAGACGTAGACAGAATAACTTAATAACACTATGAATATGTACAGGTGTTAATCTTTTACCCATCTGACCTTTCTGTGGTATCATTTGTATGATTAACAGATGTAGAGACTAAAATTAGCTCTAATCACAAACCTAAAAATAACCACCGGTGTTCCGCTGAGCAGCTAATCACTCACATGTTCCGTGGCGCTTTAGGCTAAGGGTGTGTACGAGAAGGTCGGCGAAGCCACAGAGACGGCGCTCACCTGCTTGGTGGAGAAGATGAACGTTTTCGACACCGAAGTCCACAACCTGTCCAAGGTCGACCGAGCCAACGCCTGCAACTGTGTGAGTGACGTCGGCGGCCCCAACCTGCACGCGCTGCAGATCTCCACCGCTCCCCCTTTTTCTTTTTACCACTTATCTGTACTTTTTTTCCCCCCTGAGTAGGTGATCAAGCAGCTGATGAAGAAGGACGTCACCCTGGAGTTCTCCAGGGACAGGAAGTCAATGTCCGTCTACTGCACCGCCAACAAGTCTCGCTCTTCCGTCGGCAAGATGTTTGTTAAGGTATGCTGAGAGGAGGAGGAGCTTACGACTGTCTTCGCTCGACGTCTTCCATGTTTTCACCGCTTCACTCCTCTGCTCCACCAACAGGGGGCCCCGGAGGGAGTCATCGACCGCTGCACGCACGTCCGAATCGGAAACAGCAAAGTTCCCCTCACCAAAAGAACCAAGGATAAGATCCTGTCTGTGATCCGTGAGTACGGGACCGGTCGGGACACCCTCAGGTGCCTGGCTCTGGCCACGCGGGACACCCCGCCAAAGATGGAGGACATGATTCTGACGGACGCCACCAAATTTGTGTCGTACGAGGTGAGCTGCTTTCCTCTTAACTCCTAAACTTTTTAATGGAGCCGGTGTCTTCTGGTAGACCTTTTCATTGCGGCCTCTTGTCCCTCCGCGTCCAGACCGACCTGACCTTCGTCGGCTGCGTCGGCATGCTGGACCCCCCCAGGCAGGAGGTGGCCGCCTCCATCAAGCTGTGCCGCCAGGCCGGCATTCGCGTCATCATGATCACAGGGGATAACAAGGGCACGGCCGTGGCCATCTGCCGCCGCATCGGCATCCTGAGCGAGGATGACGACGTGGACAAAATGGCTTTCACCGGCCGAGAGTTCGACGAGCTGTCGCTCGGCGCTCAGCGCGAGGCCGTAACCCACGGCCGCTGCTTCGCCCGGGTCGAACCCTCCCACAAGTCCAAGATTATTGAGTTCCTGCAAGGGTTCGACGAGATCACCGCGATGGTATGACTTTTCTTTTGGGTCTAAAAGTATTTTTGTGACGTTTGTCTGAATTCTGCCTCTGGAAACGATGGCGTTGTGGTAATCCCGTCTCCGTTGTCGCTTGATCTGCTCGTGTTACAAATTGCTCCTCCGTAACAGACTTAAATATTTCTCCCTCAGACGGGCGACGGCGTGAACGACGCCCCGGCCTTGAAGAAGGCGGAGATCGGCATCGCCATGGGCTCCGGCACGGCCGTGGCCAAGTCGGCCTCCGAGATGGTCCTCGCCGACGACAACTTTTCCTCCATTGTGGCCGCCGTCGAGGAAGGAAGAGCGATCTACAACAACATGAAGCAGTTCATCAGATACCTCATCTCCTCCAACGTCGGGGAGGTCGTCTGGTGAGCCCTCGGAAGCCGATGCTCTATACTTTTATTTATTTTAACAATATCGGAGCTTGCTAACTGGAGTTTTCTCCCGACAGCATCTTCCTCACCGCGGCGCTGGGCTTTCCCGAGGCTCTGATCCCGGTCCAGCTGCTCTGGGTCAACCTGGTGACCGATGGCCTCCCCGCCACCGCCCTGGGCTTCAACCCCCCGGACCTGGACATCATGGAGAAGCCTCCTCGTAATGCCAAGGAGCCGCTCATCTCCGGCTGGCTCTTCTTCAGATACCTGGCCATCGGCTGTGAGTGTACAACGGAAGGAGGCTGTTACACCGTTTCCCCTCGTGCGGTTTGTTGATTTGTGTCCGATGTCGTGTGCTCTCAGGCTATGTGGGCGCGGCCACGGTGGGAGCCGCCGCCTGGTGGTTTACGGTCTCTGAAGATGGACCTCAGGTCTCTCTGTACCAGCTGGTGAGTCTGCCCGTCTCAGGTGCTCCTCAGTCAGCTTCCCCTTCCGCTTGTATCCCCCTCACTCCCCATGCCCCCTCCTCCCCGCAGAGCCACTTCCTCCAGTGCGCCCCAGACAACCCAGACTTCGACGGCCTAGACTGCCACGTGTTTGAGTCGCCCTACCCGATGACCATGGCGCTGTCCGTGCTCGTCACCATTGAGATGTGCAATGCTCTCAACAGGTAAAGACGTTTCTAACATCCGTTGACCACAGAGGAAGGAAGAAGGCGCAAACCGTATGAATGAATGACCACTTCTTCTCTTCTGTCCAGTCTGTCGGAGAACCAGTCTCTCCTGCGGATGCCTCCCTGGGAAAACATTTGGCTCCTGGGGGCCATCTGCCTCTCCATGTCCCTCCACTTCCTCATCCTGTATGTGGAGCCGCTGCCTGTGAGTTTCACAAAGCCATTTAATTCAACGATGACGCTTATTTAAAAAGAGAACTCCGTAATGAGCTGGATTCTTGATATCCAGTCCGCTCCTGTAGGACACAGTTTCAGTTATGTGGCTTTAAGCCTTCATTAGTGACCTGCAATGGAAGCTCATTAGATGGGTCACAGTGGGGAAACATCCTCCAATCTTCCTGGAACAAATCAGACCGTCTTTGTCCGTTATTTAGGAAGCGGCCATCGTTGCTTTGTCCAAAGGTAACAAAATCCAACCTCTAAAGCTCATTTATTATTTGTCGTCTTTACGGTAGTGGCTTAAAGCACAGACCAATTGCATTGGAGTTGAACCATCCCACGCGATATCACTCGACCAATCGGGTCGTTGCATTCAAGGCAGGATGATGATATTGTCTGAATGCTGCAGACAGACGAGAGAGGTAGCGGCAAATTCTAAATAAAAGACGATATGAATAAAAAAGATAGCGAAATTTAAGTAAAAAGACGAGTGAGACGAAGAAAGCGGGAGAAAGGGAAGGTGAGACAAATGAGGAACAAATGGCGCTTTCCAAAAAGAGAAAGGTGGACAGCGAAAGTAAAGCATTTAATCCATAATTGACACTTGTTTCTGTTCATACTGTAGCACTAAAGCAGCGTCTCGTATGGTCAGAACCCGCTGAAACGCCGCAATGAGGCGCAATGAGCTCCATGTGAGGAGGAGAATGGCCTTGAGGAAAAAAGTGCAGGAGTGGATATATATATATATATTCTGTTAAACTCTTCAATTGTTAAAATGTGTTTTTAGATTTATTTATATTTTGCTGAGACTGTCGAGTCCAAATGTGAAGCAGAAAAGGGGAAATTCAAGCTGCCGCACTAAGTAGTTAAACATTACATTAGTACATTATGATCTTCTGGACCTTTGCTTCTAGAAAGGTTCTCTAACTGGACCTCTTTACATTTTAGTTGAATCCTCCTGCCTTAGAAGGAGCCAGACTAGTGGTTTCCAGTCTTCATGCTACGCTAACAGTCACAAGGCCAAAATCTATAACCTGAATGTTGTCGCCCCCCCCAGGTCATCTTCCAGATCACCCCTCTGGACCTCACCCAGTGGATGATGGTGCTGAAGATGTCGCTGCCCGTCATCCTGCTGGACGAGCTGCTCAAGTTCATCGCCAGGAACTACCTGGACTTTGGTAACCAGCTGGAGAAGCCGGCCGGCCGAGGCCGCTCCCTGTCTGCATGCGCCGAGGGCATCTCCTGGCCCTTCGTGGCCCTCTCCCTGCCCCTGGTGCTGTGGATCTACAGCACCGACACTAACGTGTCCGCCATGCTGTGGCCCTGACTGACTCCACCGCACCACCCTCCCCGCGCACCAGTGTGAAGTGGACATTAACACACGCATCTAACACAGTTACTTTAACACGGAGCAACTTACAGTAAACAGGGGGAGGGGAGGGGAGGGGATTTGACCAATGTTGTCTCCATGTGTTTTATTTTACCATCACGCTTTCTCACTCTTTTGTTCTTCTTTTGAACAGTTAGGGATGCCCTGTGTTTAAGATGTACAGAGAATTTACACTATTTTATAATAATTAATATTTTGTAATTTTTGGGAGGGGTTTTGGGGACGAGAATACTGGGTGTGAACGGACGTAATTCCAAGGATCGTATATAATACAATACTAATTTTGGGGCAAGGACTTGATGTATTTGCCCTGGCATGAATCTAGTCACCTGTGAGCTCCATGCGTGGTCATTCATTATATTCTGCATTAGGCAGAGCACAGCTACCTCAATGCTGTTGTTATCATTACTACCCATTTGTCTTAACATCCATTCCGTTGATTATCAGTAAGTGTTGAGGTAAGCATTGATTTATTTCGCCGTAAAGCCGACAACCTCACCGTCGCGCGTTCATGTGTTTGTGGTTTGTTTTTTTAGCTAGCATATTTTTGGTTTCTCTGAGTGATTTAGAGTAATTTTTTGATAAAGTGTTGAATTTGTTTACTTGAAGAAAACACATTATTTTCTTTTATTCTGTAAGTTTTTGAGATTCCCTCAACTTTCATTCTTTCAACTTTCCATTTTGCATCTTAATTACGGTTATCTTTGTTTGTATAATGTGCACATACTGTACTTGAACTTGTAAAAAGGCACCAAGGAGCTGTTAGTCTTATCAACTGAGCACAATATGGACGACCGGTCATTGGAAGAGTCTTTATATCTGTAAATACACCACAAAGTAGAATCTCTGTATAGATTTTGTTGTGTTTAAAAAAAAAATGCTCCATACATTTACACTAGTTTACTTAAACGTGGTCTCAGCCTTTCTGCATGCCTGCTCCAATAACACCAGGCCCCAGTGTGCTTAGAGTTCACTTTCTATTTTGGTTTTGCTTTACGGCTAACTGTTGTTTCTCCCAATGCCTTCGGCCCGTTTGCCCGCCGAGTGAGTACTCGACGACCTGCATGCCGACCAGCGCTCATCCTTCACGCGGCTCACCACGCAGCTTCGCCGTCAGTCGCCATTTCTGATAGGACCAGCAGTTTTTCGTTTTATTCTTTTTAATGGTACAAAAGGAACATTTAAGGAGTTTTTTTAGTTTGTTTGAAGATGCCTTCTATGTCACCAAGTGCCAGGTACACACTGATTAGAACTAGGAGACTTTTACTGGCAAACCCGCTGACATTCAAGTGCCCCAACAGCATTACAGGACATAGTGTTTTGTTTTATTTATACATGTGTTTTTCTTTTTTATTGCATTTCCCAATATCATCTAATCTCTTGCTTGCCCATAGCATGGCCGTAATATTTTTGCCCTTTTTATTAAAATAAGCATTGCTGGATTTAAATGATTTGCTGCTCAGATGTTTTTTTTAAAAACTTTTTCTTTGTGTCCACTGATTTGATTCTTCTTTTTCTTTCCAGCAAAGGCCGGCTAAGCCCACCTCTACTCTAAATTCCTTGCCGAAACGTTGCTTTTGTTTTGTGTTGTGCATGTGTGTTCCAGGCAGCACATCTATCGGGCGCTGTACGTCAGTTGGATAATATTAAGATGGAGGCTCATATGGTTCATACATTACTTTTTTTTTTTAGAATGGCCATAAATAGTCTGCTAAAAATGGTCCAATCCCCCATCATCAGGCCTCCCATCCTCCTGCAGGAAGAGCCTCAGCTTGTGATACAATTCTCATGCCATCTTTTTAGACCAAGATCTTAGTACTGTGTACAGTAAATTGTACAATATTCATGGTGCATGTTCACAGAATTCGCTATCTGTTTTGCCAGACTTGTGTAGTAGACAATGTATATTAATGGTAAATGGAATAGACATTCGTCAGATAGTACAAATGTTTCAAGCTCAAAACAGTTCATCTTTCCTAAGGAAATACTTTAATGAAATATTTAAAAACTAAACCACCTATCTTCCTTTTTGCTTTGTACTGTGATGTGCATCGTGTTTGGAGCAGATTTTGCCATGTCTGGGAAGATGGATGTGCAGTGATGCACATGTTACCATGACAACGGCAGGCAGTTACTCCACTGGCATTTTTTTATTTTGCCAAACTGCTGTACTTTATTTTGAGATGATTGTACTCATGAACTTTGGTTTTAGGTAAATAAAACGTATCATACATGAAGAGTTTACGCTCTGTTTGTCCTGATGTCATTAGGATTAATTACCATTTTAATAGCACTCCAGTCAAGCCAAGTGAGCATTTATCATTTTATTATACACTTTAAAAATATGTACAAAATACTATAGACATTAATCTTGAAGTAGTTAAGAAACATTGGAGTCAATGTCAGGTTATTTTCAACAACACACATACACACAAATAATGAAGCCTGTACATTCTTGTGACAATTCAAACGTAGATTATATATTAAAGAGCCGCAGAGATTATGATACACAGACACTTTTTCACAGATGTGAAGTTGTGGCACATTTAAAACCTTCAGTGTGATCTGATGAAAACCACAAAACAGAGTTTGAACCCTTGCCAGTCTGAGTAATGTGAAGAGTAAAATCTCCCATCACACCAACTGGTTCTGACATTTGCTTCGCCCTTTGTTTCCTATCCTCCAGTATACTGAACTGAACCCCAAATCCGTTTTTTCTCTCAATACAATGCTACTCACTTTGGAATGAGTATATTTAACATGAAATAGTACTTTGTAGTATCTGAGACCATAACTCCTTAATTGAGATGGCCAGCAAAGAAGTGTTGACCAAAAAGCCAAAGTAGAGTCGGTGATGTTAGCTAATATTTTGTACAAATATTAAGAAATCGAGGCATGGAAAAGCAGATCTTTATTTACTGTGGGGTTAAGTGTCTACTGCTGCTGTAAGGCTGCATCGGCATCTGTATGGACGAGCACACGAGGCTCAATTAGCCTCCCGGTGGAGTGATTAATAAGGTTGTCAGAATGTTGGGGGGGGGGGATAGATCCAGTGGCCACGTTGTGCTGCTGGGGGGGGGGTAGTGACTGTGCATCCTCCGGGGGCCGAGGTCACTGCATTCCAAACCACTGTTCCTGATCGGCCCACTGTGCCGCTTCGCTGTCGCTGCCCTCCAGGTCCCCGTCCTCTCCGCTGCCCTCCATGTCGTCACCGTCCAGCTCCACCGTGGCATCCGTGGGGCTCTCCTCCTTCTCCATCTTCTGCATGCCTTCCAGAGACTTCTGATCATTGGGATCCAGGCTGTGGACACGGAAAACAAGACGTAAACGCACAAAAAAAAAAAAGAGGAAATCCTTATGCTGTGCTTGAGTTGGCAATTTATTCTCCAAGATAAATAATCAAACCAATAATCTGTGGTTACCTCAGCGCTATGCTGTACTGATCCATGGCTTCTTGGTAATCGTTGACAGCCACTAAGAAATCTCCCAGCATTCTGTGCAGGACACAATCACTCTGATTGGCCAGTGCGTTTCTGAGGAGCGCGATGCCTTCTTCATATTTCTGTTCCCGACCTTCACAAGAAAACAGGACATGGTCATTTTTACCTGCATGTCAATATTCACTCCGTGATACATTTAAGTTCTTGGGAACTGTGCCACTACTTAAGCGGATGTGTTCACTTGAAAAAGCTTTACATACTGAGCAGCTCCGCCTTCTTGACCACAGCCTTGGTGTAGTCAGGCCTCTGGGCCAGAGCTTTGTCCAGCAGGGTTTTGGCTTTCTCCTGAGTCACCGGGTCCTCCAGGCACACGGTGGCGAGGATGGTCAGAGTCTGCGCATTGGCCCCCAGAGTCTTATAGATGTTATTAGCCATTCCCATAGCCTCTCGTATCCCATTGGATGCCAGGTAACAGTCGATCAGACCTGTGAATGGATAGTTAGCAATGGGTTCAAAAGGTTAATGCGAGAGGAAGGTGAATGTATCAAATGTGAGAATACAAACGTGCCTTCGTAGCAGTCGAGTCTGCAAGGAGCCAAGCGCATGGCCTCCCTGAAATGGATGATGGCTTCTTGGACGCGACCCATGTTTCTTAGTGCCGCCCCCTTCAGGAGGAGAGCCTGCACACTGTTGCTGTTCAGCTGGATGGCCTTTGCTCCCAGGTAGAGGGCTCTGGAGTAACGCTTGCTATAAAAGCTGTGACAACTAAACAACAGACACAAAATCAGGAGGAACCCCCCAAAAAAACTAGGACAATGAAGCAGACAAAGAAAAACAAACAGAGTAACCGTGAGATAGTCTCACCCAGAGATCACCCAGGGTTCTGCATGCTGGTCTGAGATATTAAATAATCTTCCTCCCAGGACCTCAACATCCTCCAAGTGTCCTTCGCGGGCCATCAGGTAGCCATACACATCCATTCCTGCAACAGCAAACAATAGAACACATTTTACCGAGACAGGAAGGTGCATGTTTCCACGTCTTGTTTGGAGTTATGATATGGATGATATGGTGCAAGCAGACCTGACCCTGTAGCACAGATAATGATTGTGGAAATAAAATAGCCTTTACTTTACATAGTTTAGCAGTCATGGGCAGCTTGCGAAGAGAATCAGGCAATAAACTAGAAACACACCTTTGATGAGGTATGGGTCCAGCATCTGGGCTTGTTCAAATTTGAGGATGGCGTTCTTGGTGTCACCTGCCCTGAAGTAGACATCTGCCAGGCTCACCAGGAGGTCCACGTTGTCTCGCAGCAGAGACTTCTTCTCAAGGGAGCTGAGACAAGATGAGGGACGAACGAAGATGCATCAAATACTACAGGGGGAGGACAGTACATTTCGTCACTTTCTATAAAACATTACCACTTAGCTTACCAAATAGTGTTGATGGCTCTTTGATTGTCCCCAGCATGTATGAAGGCATAAGCTTTGATCCAAACAGAGAGCCAGTCCAGGTTGGGAATATTCTGGGTCACATCCATAGTCATGGACGCCACTTCAGCTCCTTTGACTGATAAAGAGAGAAGACCTATAGGCCGGGGGGGACAAGAATACAAGTTTATTCAAAAAGCAGCAATAGCATGTGTTACATCCAAGCAGAGATGATGTGGGCATGTGTGCATGCATGTAAGAGCAGATTTATCTAAACAAATTCTATAGATAGACTCAAGTAGGTACGCATGTCTCAGCGGGCTCAAATTTGGATGAAGGTGCCTCTGTGATCCTGCTTACCAATGATGGCATCCAGTGCAACAGGACACTGTCGGAGAACCTCTTTGTAGCTCGTCACTGCAGAACGCTCCTGACCCGCTTTCCTGTACAGGTTCGCTAGCATCATGTTGATCTGAGACAAGGAAGAACAGTCAAATCAGATCAACAACATCTCTCGAAGGAAAAAAAAAAAACGAGAAAGCTTATTGACAGAAAAGTGGCAATTGTTTTTCTGATTTCTGATTATTGTCTCAGTATTATTGTCTAACTAGTACAGTTTTGCTCTGCTTTCATGTTGATCCCATGTGTGCACGCTGCTCCCTTCACACGCAGTGACTGATCTCTCAGGGCATGAAGAAAACCACAAACTACAAGAACTATGAGATGAGCAGCCCACCTTGGGGGTCCTTTGTCTGGATGGGATCCCGTCGAGCACAGCAATGGCATCTTTGTCCAGTTTCAAAATGGTGTAGCATTCAGCGATCTTGTACTTTACCTCAATTTCAGAGGGCAAACTCTAAAAAAAAAAAAACATACATCATTATAGTGATCAAATTCACCTTCATGCCAACGGAGTGGTATAGATATTAGGCCCTTGAAAGTGCACCATATTGTATGATACTATAATCCAAACCGAAAATAAAAGTAAATAGAATTGTTTAATCTCGCAGCCTGCAAGCATAATTTGGGTGGACACACAGAATCGTGTAGGTACATTTGAAAAAGTGTAGCCTTGGTCGAACCCACCTGGGCCTGTAAGTTAGATGCAGCTCCACCGGTAGAAGTACGAACTTTAGATGTTTTGCTGAGGACTTTCTTCTGTTGCAATGCCATGCTGTACTTGCAGGCAGCATTACGGTATTCCTTATCGTGGAAGATGGCATCGGCGTGGTAAACCAGCAACTGGTACTTCTGGGCCGGGGAGAAAAGCTCTCTTGGATGAAAAAGTTATAAATAACAAAGTAATTATAATCAGAGTTGACATAGAAAAACATGTCTCTGCTACACACGTGACACAGATGCAATGATAATAGCACAGCGACATACATTATTTAATAAAATGATTTAAAAAAACTATATATATATATAGATATATAGATATATATATAGATAGATAGATAGATAGATAGAAGCCAAAACCAAACTGATGACGAACATTATCACATTTGGAAAAAAAAGACATGAAAACACTGTGACCGTACTATAACTTTAAAGCACAAAGCCACTGCATTAAAATCAGACACACAATATTTATAACGATAGTCCTTCTATTCACGAATATAACTGGCTATTAGCTGGAGGCATAATTAACTACAGGGGGGGCTTTGAATATGACTATTTCTTGGAAAACAATATATTGCACTCGTATTGAGGTGGTTAACGCTACCTGATAAGCGTATCTAGCGGGTATTTGTTTGCATTTATGAAAAGGAGCCGCGGCCACTTTACGGCTTCACTTAACATTAATGTCCGCTGTTGTTTGCTACTTCGCTTTGGGCTACAGCTGTCTCAGGATGAAAACACGATCCGATTCTGAAGAGGCACTCTTCAGGAAATAGACGGACCCTTATAGGACATTACTTACGGGTTGTTATTACTCATCGTCAGCAACAAACTGCTCAATATCCGGACGTTCGAGTGAAGGCCCGCGGCAGCCATGTCCCGTACATGATCTATCACATTCATTTTAGATTGATTTGAAGGCTTGCGTTAGGTTTCGGTCTCTAGTTAAAAGTTTGGGCTTGTAAACAGCTAACGCTAGCTAGCTAGTGATGTATTAAATATGGCGCCGATAACCCTTCCTTCCGCATAATGCTGCGTTAAGGCACCCTTCGCAAACTCGTACTTTCAACAATTACACTAGTCAATGTGACATATTGCGTCGTTAGCGAGCAGAAACGGATTTATATTATTTTGACTTTTAGAAATAAAACGAGAAATGTCATAACATGGAAATCAGTTTTTTATAGTTTCTTTATATAGTTGTGTTTAAATATTCTCTTCATTAAGTCCGGTTGGTGATGCATAGATATATCCGATTATTGTGAATGCCGCTTGCGTATTTGCTGCACCAAATCTATTTTATTTAGTAAATTATTGCGATGCTATTTATTTTCATTTTGATTTTGGTCAACAAAGCACACACTATTTCTGATTGCAGTAGTTAATATACAGGTGCATAAGGGTCCTTTTTTCATTAGCATTTTTTTGTCTTTGTTTGAAAATGGCTTTATGTTCATGCATTGAAGCCTTTTGATCCAAAAGGTGAACATTGTAAAATAGATTATATTGCTAATGTTCCACGGTATACTGCCATATGGAGGGATTTATATACATTGACAATTACATTACATTACATTACATTATTAATATGTGTTTATGTAATACTCCAGTTCCTAATAAACACATAGGCTTTATCTATTTTATAACACAATCTTACCAAGCATCGTTAGATCTAGGTTTAGGTTTAGGTATCAGCAAAAACAATCAATAAACTTTTCAAATCGATAATTAGTGAGGTAACACAATGTAAGATATTTTACAAATAAGAAGATTTGAGCAGATCTGTAACTGTAACACATTATTTAGGGACAGATATTTTTACAAAAAAAATAAAAATAACCACAACGAAGATCCATCTAGTAAACAATAACAGATCTATCAGAAAGTCAGTATCATACACACCAGTTGGTCTGGATTTCACAAGACAGTAAAATGTTGGAATGTCACAACTGTCTCCACGAACTGAGCTGTAACGGTGCTGAAACACCAGTACCAGGAATCAGGACTATAAGGTTAGTGAAAGAAATGTTGCCTTTAACACACAGAAAAATTCACACTTAGCCGAGTGCACACGCGCATGCGCAGAGCCAAACGCAGCAGCTGAACCGTGTGTCAAAACACAGAGTGAAATCAGCAGCAGGCAACGCAACATCTCACCTCGATTTACGCTTTAGCTCCTTTATTTGGGGGGAAGTATTTGTTGACACAAAGTGGTTTTCATTTACATCTGCGTACCATGACCGAACAATCAGCATTACTTCTTCGAAAACAACTCGCAGGTAATATGAATAAAATATCGTAAGCAGATGTAACCGTTTTAAAGGCTACCTACTTAGCAGCTAACGCTAGCGGTTTTGTAGCTTCGCGAAGCTCTGTTTACGCCGTAGGAGTGAGCTCGTGAGCTAACCAAGCAACACAATGGGCTCCTTTATCGCTGCAGCCCAGCGTGTGGCTAAGCTACCTCGATTATCGGATCTCTAGGGGGGGAATAAACACGCATTTACAAGTTTACGGGGCTCAATAACCGCAACAATGAATCAAGAAGCCCACCTTGCTAGCGGGCTAGCATTAGTTCGACATTAGTTAGCGGACGGAACAAAGGAATAATCAATCCAGGGATTAATCTGCTCTGATGATTTACGTTGCTAATGCTAGCGGTGTGTATTCTATTCCGTATATAACTTACTGATATTACTGCACTTTATTGATTCTAATAGCAAAGTACCAACCGAGCTCTTTAACACTTTATATCTAACGTTTCTGACGTCAAATCGTGCGCAGACCGGACCGCCGGTTAGTGAGGATTCTCCTCCCGGTGTCACAGCTTCTGTCCTCCGGGTTTATTTTAAATATCAATATGAACGATGGTTCGTGGCAGCGGTGTTTTGTTAATGGCAGATGGGACATTGATATCCATACCCGTTATGTCCAGGTGCAGCTGTCAGTCCAGCTGTGTGTGTGTGTGTGTGTGTGTGTGTGTGTGTGTGTGTGTGTGTGAGAGTGTGTGAGTGAGTGAGAGAGAGAGTATACACATAGATAAATAAAAAGTAAATATTCAATTGGCTCAACTGTAAAAACGGATAGGGTCATAAAACTGTAATGCAGCTTGAATAGAAAAAAATATTACGCATAACTTCACCCTTTGATGAGGCCCAACATCTCAGGCAGTGAGGCCTACGTCTTGTCACAAAATAAACATTATTTTCCCAGTTGTACATTGCCAAAGTAGCCCATTTTTGATGTAGTTAGAACTACTGTGACAACCTACTGTGCAGTCAGGATGTACCGACCGTGGACAGGATTCATGTTTTTCTGTAGTCCTGAATAACGGCATCCATCCATCCATCCATCCATGAGCACCGCATCCACTGATTTAACATCCCATTCCATGACTGATTGACTGTGGTTGCTCTGCGCGTGGGCTAATGAATCACAGACTTTGCAGGGGTTGGCTCAATTCAGTTCTTCGAGTCGGTGATTCACGGAATGGGTGACACATATTTTTGGAACCCACGGTTTGATCCGTTTACTCGTTGGAACTAGGCACAAAAAGTAATTGTTCTCTTAGTTCAATAATTATTCTGCAAAGAACTCTGAAGCCTGTGTATCTGCACTGAAGACTAAATCATAACAGAGGAATGCTTCAAGCAAAACAATCAACATCAGCACTGGGATTTTCTGTTGTTGTCATATAATAAATTATACCGTTTCTGGTTTAGAAAGTTGAAATGTAATGGTGTGAGTTGAAGGGGCTACCACATAACTTAATATTTATTGCAGCTTTTAACCTTTTTCATATCTTCTGATGTCAAACTTGACATCAGCTGCTTCACGTCACTTAACAAAAGGAAACAAACATGCAGCTCACCTCAGATGTATTTGCCTTCCATCACATGCAGCTTTCATGATTTCAGCACGGATTCATTATGGCATTATCTGCATTGTCATTGTTCTCGAAAGGTGTTTACTGTGTGCCATTTCCTGCAGCAACTATATTTTGTTCTTGTGTTAAAGCCAATTCATTCTTCGTTCTGCGGCTAAGAAGAAAAAAAAGTTATCTTACCATGGGTGTTTTTATTGCCACATAAGCTCAATCACGGGCATGTGGTACTTTGTACTGTTTTTTTATTTTATTTTCATTTCCAGTTCATTGTACTTAAAAGAACAAACAAACACGTTTTTTGCCCTTTTCTTTTTCCAGAGCTCAACAAGAACCCCGTAGAGGGCTTTTCAGCTGGTCTGATAGATGATGATGACATTTATAAATGGGAAGTTGTGATCATTGGTCCACAAGATACCCTTTTGTAAGTGAGCTCATTTTTGCACAATCATGTCTTTGGTTGAGAAATCTATGAATTTCTATTTTAAATGCAGCATTTCTCATTGCTCTGTTCTTTCTATTGCAGTGAGGGAGGATTTTTCAAAGCGTACCTAACTTTTCCCTATGATTATCCACTACGGCCTCCAAAGATGAAGTTCATCACCGAAATCTGGCACCCAAATGGTAAACAACGGTTTACTTACTTCTAATTTCTATTTCAATGAGTTGGTCTAGTCAATTCAAAGAAACTTGCAGATTTTTATTGGATCGATATAAAGGCTTTTGTGATTACAGCAGAACTGTGATCCAAATTTTGAGTTTAATTAAAACAATTAAGATCCTACTGTTTTGGCTGCAATTAAATCCATGTTCTCATTCGTCACAGTTGCAAAGAACGGAGATGTTTGCATCTCAATCCTGCACGAGCCCGGAGAAGACAAGTTTGGTTATGAAAAGCCAGAGGAGCGCTGGCTTCCCATCCACACGGTAGAGACAATCATGATTAGTGTTATCTCCATGCTGGCAGACCCCAACAGCGACTCCCCAGCTAACGTGGATGCGGCAGTGAGTTCCACTATTTATGCCCTGACACAAAAAACACCTTATTTTCCGTCATGTTATCCTGCTCGAAAACACAAATCTGATGTTGCTCCCACAGAAAGAGTGGAGGGAGGATCCTAACGGGGAATTCAAGAGGAAGGTGGCTCGCTGCGTAAGAAAAAGTCAAGAGATGGCTTTCGATTAGGAGTCAGTTGTAAATTCCAGGGTAAGTAAAGTGAGTTGTCTTGTTATTTGTGAGACCACTTACTAGAAGTAATAGAAATGTTCTTTTTTTTCCAGTTAAAGGAAATGCCTTTAGAGGGAAGATTTCAGCAAAAGGCTTTTGCACCCCTTGTTTTGCCAGTCAAAGGAATCTGTTGGCCTCAACCACGTTTCTGTGAACGGTTGTCGTTTTCCACAAGTTGAGCCAATTTGAGAACCGTACCAGCGAAATTAACCCGTTTCCTCCCTGGAATTGTATATTTAATTTTATTTATTTTGAAAAAATTAATGATGTAAGATATGTCACTACTGTAAATGAACTTGCTTTTTTTTATCTGCTGCTGAACAGTTTCTACTTTATACCAGGTTTCTTATGCAATTTAGTGGTGAAGATTGTGTAAAACGAAACAGCTGTTACCGTTGGGTCATCACTTGTCCTCCCGACTGAACACCAGATTAATGTCAGCCCAACAAATCTCTGTCGATAACATGTGAATATGTTCAACACTGTCATTTAATCACTGCTGCCTTTTGTTGGCTTCACCTCCTCAGAGTCCGCTTGTTGTTTAGAGGGACAGGTTGAGAACTCTTAGAGCGTTTTTCATACAGTATTTATATTCTGAGAAGAGACCTTCTGCTAGCATTTCCTCATCATGCTGATGCACGTCTAAGAGATATAAAACCACGACTCCCAAATCTGCATGATCCCCTCAAACAGCGCTGTCGTGTTTTGTCGCTATCTGTAGATGTAAATGGAATGGCCTACTGGATGATATAAGAGTGGTGGCTTTATAACATATTGACTGGTGCATGCGTAGCTAATGGTAACAGAAGGTTTGTGCCAACTTCTCAGGATGAAACCATTCTACTAAATTAGGGTCTTGATTAGCAGTCGGTACTGTAAACCTCTAATATTCCTGAGCCTTTCCTTTAAACAAGTGGCCCTCGTGGTCAATGGCGATATCTATTAATCATCACCCAGTCTGGTGTCTTTTCACAACGTCAATATAAATCACGAATGACCAAAATCAGCCCACGTGTGTAATGGATCACCGGCATCTGAGCGCAGCTAAATTTAAACGGTTAATTAATTTGACGGGGATTATGGTCGTTAGAGGTCTTCGTCTCTAAACATGTTTATTTCGGGGCGCCATGGTAGAGTTGGGCCATCCGTTCTTACATTCGGCTTTTGATCACTGTCTAAAGGAGGCTGTATGTCACAGGACTGTGGGTAGATTGTTGAGTAAAGCTTTTTAATTCTATGATCGTCTTGAGTTCTGATTGTTTCAAACCTAGATAATATTTATCACCCATTACTTAATGATTGAATTTGGGTTGGAATTCTTGATAGAGACTTGAAGTGGACTCGCCAGTTAGTAGAGTATAAATAAGTGTTCTGATGAAAAAACGAACACAATCCTGCATCTAGGTTTTATTTTTTGATAAATAATACACACCGTCGTGTTTGGGTGGAGTCTGGAAACCATCTGCTTAATTTGTTCACTTTCCTCGGTGGTGTTGCTGACCGTTAAAGCCATTATGACATCTATTCTGAATTATGTTATACATGATTATGGTCTGTGACTGACATTGAAAAATGGCTAACCATCTTTTGGCGCATGCAATCAGGTTCGAAGGAGTCGGGTACGTTTCGATACGATACCATTTGTTAGTACATTCTGGGTGAATGTGATGTGTACAGTTAGTAGGTGTCTGTAGACTTTATGATCACATGACTGCTGTTGACATTACCTTTAAAGTCAGAATTTTCTAACCTACCATGACCTCCTCTGACCGGTGTTCACTGTATTTGCACAGATTCGGTGCGTTTGAAATGTCATGAAGCAATACGCTCTGAAAATGGTGTGTCCAGGTAATCCACCCTAACGCCATTATTTGGTTGTTTTTGTTCCTCATTTTTTGTGTCAATGCAATGTATATTGGACATGATGCTCAATAAAGTGTGTAAACCGATTGGCCTGTCATTTAATTTGTTTTATATTTTAAAAGAGAACACACTGGGTTCAAGTATCTGTTCTGCTCTGTAATTGGAACCCGGGGAACGGTGTCAGATTTCAGGGCTGGTTTTATTTCACACTCAAGAGGCTGCAAAGCACACTGAGTGGATAAAAGAGATGCGAGCAACCTCTCCGACTAATCACCGGGAAATATTGGGATTGTAAGTAAAGATGAGAAAGCGGGTGACATTTGTTGAGCAGCTGGAAAAAGAAACCCTGTTAAAAAATGCAAGTGGCCTGTCATACATCTGTATGAGGTAAGACCACACTGAGTTTTAGTTCTCTAATGGGTGAATACATTTTTTTTATTGTAAGATTATTTTTTACTATCTTTTAAGCTCTGCAGAGTCTGACCAGAGAAGCACAGAGGGTGAGTCACATATTCCCCTTTAAATGCTATGGTTTATTCACATGAATAAAATTACAAAGGAATTACAGAATTACAAAATGGAAAAGTTTATAGAAAGTTATTTATTTCTATTTGGTGACTGTGAGTAATATTATGCTTTAATTATTTCCGGCGGTAAAAAACAACAAAACTACCTTTTCATTTGTCCAATCTAAGGTAATACATTGCTTTCTTCTTCAATAAGAATACTAACTGAGCAAATTAGTATCAAAGAATCACTTAAAAGCAATTTTATATTATTGAACATGTATAAATACTGTTTGGTAATTTATAGCAAATCATATTTTAGTTGATTTGCTTCCAGTAACACACTCCAAATGTTACAGTATGTATGTGCTATATTGCTCAATGGTCATTTACATCACAGTAACAAAGAGCCCATCAACCAAGAAACTTAAAGAAAAATATAAGACTTAAATAATTTTCAGAACAAAAAAGTCTGCTGCACATTGTCTTTGTCAGCCTCTCAAAGTCTTCCTATCCAGCAAGTGAGAGAGATGTACAGAAGCCAGCACATGAAGACAATACTCATTCCCAAATCTATGATGTCTGCACCATTCTTACAGGTAACTCCACAACACTGAAACATAGGCTGAAGTTTCTTTCTTTTCTTTTGGTATTTGCCTTTTCGTTGAGGGCTTTGAGCTGGTTAGAATGAAGTCAATGTGATATTACTGAGGATTACTGTTGTTCTACGACATATAATCCGATCGGGTCTGGTTTCTGTCTCAGCATTCTGCCCTCACAGCTGGGCATAGACGCTGCCTCTGCAGTATAGCAAATATTTACAGTACAGCGCAGATGAGGCAGCAGATGAAGCAGCGCTATCTCAACGTGCTGCACAAATGTGTGCAACCAGGTGTGTCTAAATGTCTCTGGAACACAAACTTTGACCACAAACATTCATCTGATGTTGTTTTTTCTTTTTTTTTTGTTGCATTTCCCAGGTCAGAATCCCACTTGCAGAAGGAGGTTTGGGATTCAACAGCTTAGAGACGATAGTACACTCACAAAGGGTGCAGAGACGGATGTGGCGAGGGCGAAGCCTCGAGCACAGAGGAAAAGCAGAAGCAGCAGCACGGCTCATTCTGATGTCATACTTCCAAAAATAATGAACTGATGACCAGAATGATTTCACTAGAGTGCATTAATGACCGAATAGTGAGCCTTTATGTTGCTCTCAGAATCAATACCTACAGTCATATTTCTACACAATTTCAAAAATGACATTAAGCATCTCTAATAAAGACCTGTTTGCAGCCTTATTATATATATAACATATTAACAGATGTGTTCTGGAACAAAACAAAGGCATAGGCACCACCACATATAAAGCTGCAGTTTCGTATTTAGATGTTGTTCATTTAGTTGAATCGGGATTTGTTGTTTTTCATAAAGCGTACTTGTATTCTTAATCATACTTTTATCAAAAACATGTGAATGAATATTGTGTACCCCTGAGTTCTGACTTTATATGTGCTTTTCTATATTTTATTTCAATAACTCTTTTGTAGTTATACTGTAACCACTCAAAGTCTGTATAGTCTGTTTGAGCTACTTCTGTGAAATAAAGCAAGTATGTAAGTTACTATAAATACCTTAAGATTTTTCTATCAGTGTATAAAGTGATTCCACCTGGATAAACGTTTTGGAGGGGCCTCCTGAAGCCTTTCCAACCCTCATATGGCCGCTACCGCCTCCTAGCTTAACCAATTAGCATACTTCCGGTTAGCATCGTCTTCCCGCGCTGACGGTTAGACGGCGTCTCGTGAGGCGCTGAACCGACCACGACGTCAGCGGTAAACGTGACATCGGATATCAGCAGATATGAACTGCATTCTCGAGGGAAGTGCTGTAAAAGGTAGAAAAGGCGAGCGTTGTAAATGTTGTGTTTAAGAATTAATAAAATGTTGTATGCGTTAGTTGCTCGGGAGAGAACCCGTGAAACATAACGTTAAGTTGTGAATAAAACCTGCGCTAGCTCGGTAATGTCACGTTAGCCTAACTTAGCTTCTAACAAGCTAGCCAATTTACCCACTATTAATGGGAGTGAGGAAGTTATTATTGTAGAAAAAAAAGGCTAACGTTAGGTGTCTTTGCAACCAGTGACGTTATATTGTTAAACCATAAACTCCGGTGACGCTTCGTTGTGTTGCAGCGTTTGGAAAGGCCATTCACGCCCTGTCACGCATTGGAGATGAACTGTGGTTGGATCCCATGGTGAGAGGGGTGAGCAGCACCTAGTAGGGAAACACTGTCCTCTTAACTTTATGCTAAAATTATGTTCCCGATCTACCAAGAGAGTAGCAAGAAATATTGACTAATTGGTGTTTCTTTCCCCCTCCTCAGTTATATTTAAAATAAAATTCATGTTTTTTTTTTAAACAGGCCTCCATATTGGTCTCTTGAGCATTGTTCCTCCAGTCTCCCTACAGGCGATTCACTCAATATATTCTCTCTCTTTCTCTGTGTTTTGTTTCAAAGCTGGCATTGAGATCGGTGAATTCGGCTCATTCTGCGTACGCCTTCTTCCTCTTCTCACCTCTCTTCTTCCAGCTCTACAGCTTGGGATCAGTATCAGAGCAGGACCCTGAAAGCATCCATTGTAAACTGTTAATAAAGGTGCATTTGTGATGGTAGATAGTAGAGAGCTCTAGGTGGCAACACAGCTCACTGCACATTTTTCAGGATATTAGAAATAGTAGTGGAATTAATAATATATTCCCTTCAGGTCTTTATAATTAACAAATGTTATAATGGCAATCTCTATGTGTTTATGTTTTGAAGTCACTTCTATCTCTTTTCCGGTGTTTGGCCTCGATTGAGCGCAACGTGGAGCGATGTCAGATATCGATCAGCACCTCGAATGACCGAGTGGTGATCCAGTTTTTCTGCAGGCACGGTACTAAACATTGAATTATAATATATAATAAATATATAATTTTATAATATATAATATAAGATAGCTTGATTGTAAAGGCTTTTATCTTTTTATCCATTTTGATAGACGTTGAAAATCTATTTTTTCTTTACCGTGTTTAGAATGAGCTCCTTGCTGCAGGCCCGTCATTACACATTATCTACACTTGGTGGCAGTGTGCTGTACATTTCTTGTTTCTGCTCCTTTGATAGGCATCACTAAGACCTACAACCTATGTTTCCAGGAAAGCGAAGCCCTGCAGGCCGTGTTTGCCTCACACCTCTGTCCCAATGTGATAAAAGCTCCTGCCAGGTTAGCAGCCCAGTAGTCTGCTATCCAGTCACAACCTCAACTTTCTATTAAAGTATCACCCACCAGCCGCACAGTGTTTACATGAGGCTCTCTGCTCGCTTTGGTTGATTCTGTGTACGTTTGCGTTCGCTTTCACTTTTTTCCTCTGCAGGCTTCTTGGTGACATGGTGATGCATTTCCCAGTGTCCCAGGAGGAAATCACTCTGTCCATGAGTCCCCTGAGAGTCGGCCTGAGAAATTACTATGAGGGGGGAAACGGTGAGATAGCGTCTCGCTGTGATTTGGCCCAGGCCAACGATAATACTGTGTGTGAAAGATGCGTTAAAAGAGTCTCTGTTTCCAGCTTTCAGAATGACAGTTGACAACATAACTTTATAATGGAAATGCTGACAATGTAATTCTTCAACAAACACAAAATATGTTGTATGTCCAGATTCTGTTTGACTTTGATGTTCCGCTGTTCTAGATCTCATGAAGAATATGTACACAGAGATGTCCTTACACCCAGACGAGTTTGACTACTTTCAGATCGGAGTAGAGTCGGAAATAACCTTCTGTCTGAAAGAGTTACGGGTGAGAACATTTATCTTTGGAGGCTCGTTTTATCCCCTCACATGAAAATATTGTGTGTGTGCTCGCATGCACGTGTGCGAGCATACAGAGTAAGTTGTGTAACCGGCTCCTGGAGTATTTTATGTCTTAGAGGTCATGTTTATGGTCCTGTAATTTGGATAGTTCAGTGACGTTAATACTGGTTCCTGTCTCTACATTTTCACCTTGTAAACTTTCCCCTCAGTTTTGTATCTTAACAGCCAAAACAGTGTGAGGCTGATAGTTATACATTTTATACAGCCAGATAAACAAAACAATTTAAGTTATGAGTTGTAGACGATGTAAGGGTTTATTGTGAAATGTGTAACTATTAAGCCGCAGAGGAATGTCTGAATTTTAATAGCTGGCTCAACTTCTGTTAATCTTAAACAGTTTATATTTTGAGTAAGTAAAACATTAGATCCTAGAGAAATGAGAACGATGTTATTTCCAGAATAGTGTGCTCAGTAAGCCAAGGGATTTGCTACAGTGTCTGAATGAACACACCCTAATTTAAATAGTATTCTTCTGTACTGGCTTGAAAAACAAACTAAATGGACTTAGTTTGGCCAATTGGATAAACACCCTCCCTTGTGTTAGTACACCTAATGAGACTTGACCTGCATTAACACCCGAAGCTCGTGTCCCCAATGTCTTGGAATGTTCCTCGGACACCCCGCTGTGAGGCTCCTCATTACCCGGCCTACGCGTTTCGAAGCATTAAAGGCCAGGCTCCAAGTTCTTGTCGGCCTATGTTTACTCTCCATTTATTGTTTCCTTCAGCCTGTTTATTGTACACATGCCATAACGCTATTCTCAAGCTCATAAGCAGTTACAGTAAAGTCAAGGATGACGTATGTATGTGTGTGTCTCTGCATGTGTCTGTTTTTGGCAGTAGAATCACTGCTTTTTTTCCCTTTTGTTTTTTCTTTTTAAGGGTTTACTGTCCTTCGCAGAATCACTTTCTCTTCCTGTATCCGTCCACTTTGGTGCCGCTGGAAAGTAAGTCTGTTTGTCATTTCTTCCATTGGGAATTTGTATATCTCAAGTTGCAGGGTCCAACGTCAGTGTGCATGGTGCTGTACAGACACGCTGTACTGACCGTGTAATTAACACCAGACACTGTGAGAAGGATGTGAACTATTTTGTCCGTGGCGTCTGAGCCGTTTTACCAGGCGACAAGTTGTGGTGAGCTTTTCTGGTGAAACAGTGATTTCTGCAGTTGATTGTGAGAGCACAGATTACGTAGTTGGATTTCAGTCTCTATTAGAGATTTGTGTCATTGTGGTTGTTTGCAGGCCTGTGTGCTTCTCTGTGGAGGACCTCGTCCTAGAGGCTGCTGTGGTGCTGGCTACTCTGGTCGACTCTGAAAGCAGGGGCCCCTCTCAGCCTACGAAGACACTGGCCCCTACAACACCCAGGTAAGAAACACTTGTCAATCCCGCCTGCTTTCAGTACAAATGAAACAATTTATATTCATTCACTTGTTCATTTAACCAGATGGCATCACAACTGAAGTGTCGTAGGCCCAGTTTCTCAGATCTGCTTTGACAGCGTATTCCTTAGTATGATTGAGTCTTCTCACGTGGCTCTAACCGGAACTTCTCTCCTGGTACTCAGTCATCCTGCCCTCATTGTGCTGTTTAACTTCACTAAGGGGGCGTAGTATTACAGCAGACAGCCTTGTGTCTTTAATGGAGATAAATAGGGCAAGTGCAGGACATGTTAGGTTAGAACCCTGCCAGTGGGCCAGTCTTTAATCCTCTCATCTCCACTGTTTCGAGTCTGCGTGGCCGCTCTACCAGTGTCAGTGTCCTGCCCTTCTGACGCTCTGTTGGGCTTTGGGCTCTGGATAGATTGTGTGCACTGCTGGGAGTCTGCAGAGACATGACCCAATGAGGTATTCAACGGAAACATTCCCCTAATGCTTTGTTTTGCTATGAGTCATACAGGCAAGGAAATGATATGTGATATGTGTGAGATGCTTGTTATAAAATGTGTTTGCCTTCTGCTTCGGGCCTGAAAGACTATTCAAAGAATAACTGAAAGAATTGTTAAAACCAGCCCTCGCTCTTCTTCCTGCCGATCTCCTGTGTATACGTCTTGCCTGGTTGCTTCGCTGGAGGTTGATGACACGTACTGTGGTTACATGCAAAGGGGTTAGTTACCGGGCTTAAAGCCACTGTCAGCATCAACAGATCCAGAGCACACAATGTTTTCCAACACAGTCAATCATAGTAGCAGGTTAGGAATATTTGTTATGCTATTTGACTCTTTTCGTGTTAAAGAATAACTGAATATTGTGATTATTCAGTGTGGCTGTGGCAAAAACATTATTTGAATTTTCTCCATCTTGGTCCCAATCTTATTGCCAAAGAAGCCTCTACTCCTTAATTTCCAAATAGAGTTCCTTCAGGTCTGTCGTCTCATCCTCCACCTATTTGCTCTTGAGCTGCTCCTTTAGCACTTAATTCAGAGCCTTATGGCCCAACTGGTTTCACTGAGACACGATGTTGTCTGCACAGCTAAATAGTTGCTAGAAAACATGGCGCTGGACACCACAAAAACAAACTGTGACAAACACAAGACTATCTTCACCAGCATAGGAACTGATTATTAGGTAGAGATTGACACAGATAACTGTGTGTTTGTGCTTTGTGCTCAGGTGTGTCGCTGCTGCTCTTCCTGCAGCTTCATGTGAGGCCGACAGCAGAAAGCCTCAGGACCTTCCTGCTGCGATGGAGCTGATCGCATCCAGCCAGGGAAGCCCAATAATCTACCCACTTGCTGCAGCCGATGACGCCACGACACCTGCTTCCTCCGCGGTAACAAGAGCTTCCTGTGGGTTTCTGGTTATTTACTTGAGGACTGGCGTCTGCTTGTTCTCGGAGGCTGCCGGGTTTTACAGTTGACAGCATGGGTGTGATTTAAGGGTTTTACTTTGACCTTTACTGGAAAGATACTTCCTGAATGGCACCTGGTATTGGTCCTCTGAATCTTCTTTTTTTAATTTAAAAAAACCCAATTCATTTCTGACACGTAAATTTGCTTACGTTGTTATTTCCTTTTAGATCTGCTCGCTCCTGTTCAGGGCCTTGTCGTCTGAGCAGGAAGATGACGCATGTGCTGTTCTAGCATTTTACAGTGACGAAGAGGAAGACTACACTAATAGCCCTATAATCTGAGAACAGCTGTTACACAAGACTTCCTTCCCCGCCTCAGGTTTTTGCAACATATATTTAAAGAGCATTTCTTTGTAATTTATGGCATTTAAATGAGATTTGTTGCTTAGTTTGTGTGTTTTTTCACAAGCAAGTGTTAGTTTCCCTATAATCTTTATTTTGAAATTTGAGGGGACATTTATCATTTGTTCAGGTGGATAAATATATTTAATTCCTATGTGTGGAATGTTTTTTGTAGCATGCAAGGGTAGAAAAAGAACATGGTGTCTGTACTTCAGCTTGAAGATGCCCCACCCGTCTGTTGATGGTACCTGGTAGTATTGCCTGACATTTGAGGAATGTGGAGTTCTCACACAAACACAAAGAGTACAAGGTGTCCTAAAGAATAACATGTTCTGGCCCACTGACTGAGTTTAGTGAGGTAAAGACACTAGAGACATAACCGCAGTGAATCCAAAGGGAAAATACAACCGTGGAGGGATCCAGCAGAGCAGGAAACACCTCTGCAGGGTTTTCTTCAATATTCATACTTCAACTTAACAGTTCATATTAAGGCCATCAAATACAACAGGATAATAAATACTATACTCTTTAATTAAATATTGTGCAGATTTGAAAATGTTTTTACAGATCTTCATTGAATTGTATACCCAGTATATACAGCCACAAAGGGTTTGGGAGAGGAAAAGGTGACGGGGAAAACAAAGTCAGGACACGTACGAGTCAGGGAGCACCATCTCATTGGGAGGTTCGTAATATTGTTAAGGCTACTTGGATTGTCCAGTGCTACAAAAGACAATTTGATCACTTACTATCCCATTTCAAAATGGCACCTGACATGGCAGGAGGAACGTCTAAGCATGCAGATGGCTTTACACTATTCCTTAATTCCTGACTGAGTGCAGAGGAGCACATTAAAATCAACACTATGTAACGTTTTCAGGATGCCTGGCACGCTGTCTGGGGTTTGAAGAATTATGAACGTTTGCCAGCATCAACAACACCTGATTCAAGGCACTTTGTTAGAACGTTACCAAAGGTTGTAGCAGTGCAGATCTGGAATGATGTAATGGGAACGGAACATCGGAGCTCTGCAGCAAAAGGAAAGGAAACCGAGGGCTGATCAGTACGAAAAATTCAACAATCCCTCAGTCACCAAAATACACAAATTGATCTTTTTATGATATGAAAATTATATATTAAGTTTTGTGCTTTTAAGGCAGTGGGAACATGCGGACGCATCACATGTACTCGCAATTAAGACTTCAGCCGCAGCTGTGATTAAAGGGTCTCAACCAACGTCTATTTGACGAGGACATAAAAACCAGCACAGCGGTTTGGAAAAGGAAAGGGCTTCTCTTTCTTGAAATCTTATTATTAGATCACCCAAGATACTAAAACACTTTGCAAATATTTTATCTGAACATCCAAGAACAGCAAACCGATCCTTTCCTATTACCAAACACAATGCTCCCTGTTCCGAGCCCTCTGACGGAGGTTTTACAAATACTACTGTATCATCAGGAACATCTGCCTGCACGAGGCAGCCGATTTATTGATCCCCAACGCTGCCATCTCCCGTGCACGTCCCTTCCTGACACAACTGATGGACTCCATCTTTACCTTCCAGCTGCCCAGCATGGGCCTGCTTCAACAGTCTGAACACCTCCCGTCTCCACCCACTTTCCCCTCCTGTCCAGAGCCACCCACCAGAGAACTATGGCATGTCCATGTCAGCCGGGATCCTCATCTCCACGGCGCCCGATGACTTGCTCATCCCCGTCAATGGGATTACCCAGTGAGCACTCGGACACTGCAAGCACGCCAACACGACAGCCAGGCCTCCTTCCCCTTCTCTCAGCCACTCTCAACGGACACAATCACAGAAGTGGGCATGGAGGAAGTTTTATGTGGGGGGGGGGGGATGGTCAGCAGTGGGATGAGGCAAAGTGGAGGCAGCCTATGCGCTGGGGGGGGAGAGTAACGGTCATCAGTCCTTCATCCTGACCAGCAGGAATCAAAGCCGCCCCCTCCTCCCTCCCACAGCCTCTAGTCGGTGTATTCTGCCACTATAGACAGCAGCACTGTGATGTCATCTGGCTTTCCTCCTGGGCAAAAAACAAGAAGACAAAAAAGGTTGGTAACCCATTTGACTTTCAACATTCCACCCTAGAAAATGTGCAATCATTGTCCACATAGACTGCAACACTCACCTCTGACGTTCAGCCCATTGTCACAGGCGAACTGAGCAAAAGGCGACATGTAGTTGGGGTCGTAAGCCAGCACGTGGGCCTGCTCCGCGATGCTCCGGGCCGCCTTCTGGATGCTCTCGTAGTTTGAGTTCTACGAGGTGAAAACAGTGCAGACGTCAGACGGTCCCAACGCAGATACACGCGTCAGATTCCACACCCGCCTGCGGGCCTGTTGGGGACTGACCTTGAGTTTCTTCAGCTCCTGCAGGATCATGTAATCGGGCATGTTGTCAAAGAGCCCGTCGGTGGCGGTGAGGATGATGTCGCCGAGCTGCACGTCGAAGCAAGAGCTGTCGGCTGCGTCGGGGCTGTCGGCACAGACGCAGAGGTCAGAAGGAGCACGCGGGCTGCAGTGATCACGGACATTTCAGGGAAAACTAAAAATACGAAACTGAACACAAGTATCGGCAAGGTTGTGACCGCATTAATTTGCCCGGTTTAAGCTTCTCCATCCCTTTTACACCCCCGTCCGTCTGACCGGATTTATTTAGCTAAATCTCTGCTCGAGGAACGCTCACTGATTACAGCACATACCACTAACCGCTAGGAAAATCTATCCTATGTGACTGATATTTTACATGGTCACAGAAACGTAATCACATGTGCAGGATGAAGATGAATTCAAGGAATAGCCATGACCCAGTTTACCGCTAAGAGCGTGCCTCTTCACGGTTGCCCTCTCTCCAAACTAAAGCCCTCAATTTAGAAATTCACACAGTCTGTCTTGTCTGAGCAGTGGTCATTGAAGTGAATATAGTGGCCAGGTTTGAATTCATCATCCATTATTGGACACAACCATGAGCCAGGGCAACTGGTCAAATGCTGCATTGAATAATTACACAGTGATAGCTCGAAAACGTCTCATCAATTGTAGTAATGAGGATAATCCGCAGGCGAAACACGAGGGTCAAGAATCCCACATTAAAATACGTATTTGGCCGCATGTTAATCACACATCTCTTCCAGAAGTACACAGTGCAACTGTCGCCTTTGGCACATTAACATGCTCCAAATAGCATATCTTTTAATTAACCACTTTAATTTTATTTCTGTAAAAGGAACATTCTTAGGAGGTCTTCAGTTTTGACCCTTGCAATCTTTTCAGTCGGTCGCTATGTTGGTGATCTAGGATTGGAAACCTAATCTGCTGTTGCACTCGAGTGTAAATCCATCAGAGTAAACCCTTCAACTAAATAACTAAAACACATTTTAAAAATGAAGTCACCTAAAGAACCATATAAAATGCACAACAACTGGAGAGAATGAGACTGAGTTGAGGCATTTCAAATGACGTTAAATAAAACACTAGTTGACATGGATCTCACGTTCATTCCCCTTCCGTTCCTTCAGAAATGCTTTTAAGAGGCTCAATATAATCCGGCCGAGTGAAAAGGTGGCCGAGGACTCCGATGTCAGCAGCCCACTCAGACTTTGTCCCGGGGGAGGGCGACCACATGGTCTGTATTGTAATCGGGATCTACGGGGCTGAATAGAGCACATTCCTCTCCGAGGCCGTGCACCGCCCGGCGTCTCACCTGTCGCTGAGGACGGCCCCTTCGGCTCCCGGCGGAGCGATGGACAGCTGGAAGGGCGTGTTGAAGTAGTGCTGCTGCTCGTCCGAGCGGTGGACCACCTCGCCCCCGCGGACCACCAGGAATCCCGAGTCTCCCAAGTTGGCCGTGTGCAGCTGGTGGCTCTGCCGGTCCAGCACCACGATGCAGGCCGTGCTGCTGCCTATGGATGGATGGACACATTCAATTCGAATGATTGGCAAAGATTTGAATTATCCATAAAAATAAAAAGTGAATATGTGCTGCATCAGCAGAACATTCTAAAAAGAGTCAAAGCTCCACCCAGCATAAAAAATAAATCTTTTCTGCCAGACTTCTCGCAGCTACATAGCTTAGAAAGTTTGCCTCCGTTTATGGAAAGCTACCCATCGGACGTGTGTTTGGGGACTGATTAATGGAGGTTAGCCTGAGAACACCAGCTTGATGGAACACAATCAGCGCGGTGGTTTTTGAACCACCAGCTGGGGGATGGAGGGGAAACACGAGCTGGTGGAGCAGGCGGAGCGTAGAGCCACACCCTGCTGGTGACTCATCCGGCACACCAGAATATGCTCCAAGAAGGGTCAACCTTCACAAAAAACCCTCACGCACGGTGACTCACTCCCTTTCTGCTCCGCTTTCACTCCAGCAAAACAACACACAGCCGCCCTTAAGAACATCCCCTCTCCCGTGAAGGAACAGCACAATACGTGGTTGTTTCCCCCGCTGCACATGTGATAAAGGGGTGGAAAAGTACCAACACTGGCAGACAAAGAGATCTGTTCCAAAAACAGTTATTTCACAGACATTCGTGCTCTTTGTTGTCGGGTAGCGTGCGGGACGAGGCAGGTCGGGACTTGGGACTCTCCCGGGGACTCCTTAAATGGGATCTGGCGGTTCTGAGTCATGATGGAAAATTCTCCATCCATCCAGGGGCAAACAAACAACCTAATCCTAAACAGCGTACTCGGGTCCGAACCGCACGGGAAATGCCATTTAAGGGCGTCTCCGGCAAACGTACCGTTGATAGTAAGTATGTGGCCTGAGCATTGTGGATCTCTTCCAACCCACCATATTATGAACAGGAACATTCCTTCACAGAAACACACACGTATTCCACGCTGCGTCAGGGAGGGTCCCGTCTACGTAAAGTGTGCGTTAAGAAGACACGGCGGAGGGCACAACCTTCTCTAATAACACTGGAGAGCTGGCATCGCCTGCACTCACCCAGCAGAGGCACTTTGTTCTGCAGCAGCTCGTAGTAGCTGGTCGTCAGGACTCCCACCGGGTTGCTGGGTACAAAACGTCCTTCCTTCACCAGCCGCTCGCACGTCTTCATCAGTGTCCCCGAAAACTGCGACGGGTCTACTCCGTAGTCCCTCCAGCCGCCTACTCCATCCGCTACACCTGGAAGATAAGACCATTTGGGTTTATTTAGATGGAAGTTCATCGTATTCGCCTTGATGTTCGCTCAACAACTCATTTAGATTTTTAAACCCCATAAGGGACTTCCCCCCCCCCAATGAAAACAAGATAATCATCATCATTCTTGACCTTGCAAGAGGCCCCAACAATGCCATGCAGTTACACAATGGGCACTTTCACTCGTATGAAAGAACGGGCAATTACAGAAAGAAGAAGACAAGAAAATGTCACAGCGGGTCTACAGCAGTTAAATTCTTTCTGAACCCCATTGCAAGTCTTCACTTGTCCCCCCTGAAGAAAAGCATGATCCTCTTTGTATGTTAATAAGAACACTTGCTTCCCACATGAGCCTTTGGGAAGGTCAAAGAGTTAGAGAACAAATGCGCATCGCTGTGTCGCAGGTGATCAACACGGAATCCAACCATCGTAGCCCGGTGGCGAAGCGGATGACCTCTGACCTCCCGTCGGCGTCACAGCCAGTGTTACGCAGTGCAAACGGGTGGGGGGGGAAAGAAGACGCTCACCCAAGACGTCGGCGGACCTGTGCCGGGCGATGAAGCACGCGTCGTCCCCGTAGCACGTCCCTTTCTTCAGGATGCCTTTGCAGAAATCTTTGCCGAAGCCGCAGCTCGCAGTCACCAGGCTGTAGTCGCGACTGTCAGTCTGAGAGAGTCCGCCAATGACAGCTCTGGCAACCAGTCTGCCGTACGACAGCACGGACAACATCACCCACACACCAGCCCCACGCCGAAAAGAGAAACCCCCCCCCCCTCCCGGCCAAGCTAGCCGCCGCTGCTAGCTTAGCGGCGGCGTGAAGCGCACGATGGCGACTGGCGAACGAGGCTGCAGATGCGCGAGCTACCCGACTAAGGGCGCGCGCGCGCCGAACCGGAGATTTGTTGTCGACTAAAACTTTTCTTCACAGAAAACAGACGCCTATTCTGCCCCGAAAGATCCGCAGCTGCCGATTCTCCGCCGCCATGGTGTCAGTTGTGCCTCTCGAGACGCTACATAACAAGAGTGCGGACCTGACGTCCTGTACTCGCGCGCTCCGTTCTGCTGCTGCCGCGGTCTTATGACTGCTCTGACGTCAGACAGCGTTACGCAATCCACGTTTCCAAATAAGGAAACAACCCATTCACGGGTCCCCTCGTTTATACGTAATTCAATGGAGATTGTAAAATACACAATGTTTACAAAAATTAATGAATATTTGAAGCAACAATAGTACAGCGTGATAAAGGAAATCCCGGCTTGGAATTTTTTTTAAACATAAAGCTAATTTATTTCTTTGTTAGAAGTACTGATGGTATTTGTATGCAACATTTCACATATAATGGACCGCTTGCCCGAACTGAATGGGCTTTTTCACTGTATTCTGTCGCCCCCTTGTGGAAGTCCGGTTGTTCATGAGATGTTCTGACATGTATTTCAGTTTGTGTTGTGAAAAAAAGGTGTGACACACAAATGACAATTAGATACCAATTCCCCCCTTAAAATACACTCAAAGTTTATTAGAAAGATTTAGACGTTACAAGAGTGCTTCCTTCCTTATTCATTTTAGCACGAGACTTGTTCAAAAACGTGATGATGCAGTTTAAGTCAATACCCCATGATACCGACTGTAAATAACCGTAAATATAGTTTTACATAAGTGAACAGGTGTTTGTGACTGATCCCCATTAGTTTTTATAGCTATTAATACTAATCACAATTTAATAAAACAATAAAGAAACTGGATAAAATTGTGCACAGCTTCAAACAAGGCATTCCTGTGCATTAGTAGCCATATTGTTACATTTCTCCTGATTGAACAGTCATATGTGGCAAAAGACTAGCTGCAAAATGGAGTGCAAAACACCTGAGGTTTTCATGGTGACATTAATTTACCCCTGTGGACGAAACAAAACATTTTGCTTTCATCAGGTAGAAGTGATCATCTTTTTAATATTGGCAGCAAAAAGGTTGAACAACCATTCCTATGCAGAAGTTAAAAGCAGAAGAGGAGCGTGAGTCCAGCCATTTGTCCCCCCGCTCATTTCTTGGCTTGCTTGGTGACCATATTGCGGGGGGGAGTCACAGGACGGCTGCCATTGGGCTTCTTCTTCTCAGCTGGTTTCAAAATCTACAAAAAATGATAGGGAGATGCTGTCACAAACTTTAAGGAGGATTCCATGTGAAACCAATTTTCACCCAGCACAATTTCCGAATTCATGAACATAAAAAAGGACATTATAAAGTACTTAAAAAGTAAGATTCTACCTGCAATCAAGAGTTTATATCTCTTAATGTCAATAAATAAGGCATATTATTGGCCCTATTGTCTACTTGAAGATGAAGTACTTACACATTAAACAGTAGGTACCGTTATGAAAACGTTACGCACAAATCATCTAAAACACTCAACGCACAAGCTCAGTTTTCTTCATAGGTTACCTGGAAAGAGCACATGAGGGTCTCGTCCACACTCATCATGGCCCCAGCATTGTCAAACTCTCCACAATAGTTAGGCGCTGAGAACAGAGTGACAAGCTGTCTCTTTGCGAAGAATTCATAGCCATCCTCAACAACCTGCAAGTGGAAGAATAATAGTACACACACACATATAGACACTTTAATTAAAGGAGTGATATCAATATTGTTGAATGTAGTTCTGATCACTGGTTCCTGGTGGTCAGGCTGAAACCTTTTTCAAATACTTAAGTCAAACTGTTTGACTAGACAGATCAGTGATCAGGGCTTACAACAGGTCACACGTCAAAACGGTTAGCAATCACTGTGCAGTGCTCACAGTATTGTCCCCGTTCTGTGTACTGTACACAACGTACTGCAGTCCTTGTGTATCAAGTGCAGTCAGCATATTTCACAGACCTGTCAACATACAGCAATGTCACAATTTCCGTCATAACAGAGGTCTTTGCGATTACCTGGTGGGCACGGCAGATCAGATCCAGGTCATGCTTGTGCAGGAACTTGGCCACCACCTCGGAGCCAAAGGTGAACGACACCCCCCTGTCGTTCTCCCCCCAGCCCAAAACATCCTTATCTGGGTCAGACCACAGCAAGTCACACAGCAGACCCTGGTCGGGCACATCAGTGGGGCGCATGATGCGCCTGATCTGCTCCATGGACTGAAGGTCAGGGGACAGTCCTAAACACAGCGGCGAAAGTACAAATAAGCACACTGACACAGCAGTCGACAGCTGTTCCACGTGGGTCCACGTCAGTTGGAAAGCTGATCAATCACAGCCTGGCTTACGGACAAATGAGCTTGGCTAACAACCGTGAAATATGTTGAATATTCTGCAAAAACTAAAGTGACTAGTGGGAATCAGGGAAATGTGTGAAAATAACATGAAAAAAACATCTCACCTCCATGGCAACAAAAGATCTTCTCATCAACGATGGCGGCAATAGGGAGGCAGTTAAAACAATCTGTGAAGGTCTTCCAGAGTTTGATGTTGTACCTTCTTTTACCTAAAAACACAAACAACACATTCATTGACATCCACCACTATAAATAACATCTACTATAGTATTTTGTGGGCTGAAGTGCACTGAAACCACAAAGTATGAACCACGAGGCAAAATACAGAACCAAAACTAGATGCCACCGCAAACAGCAATACTAAAATATACAATGAAACTGATACAAAGTCCCTTAAGCAAATGCATACATTCACAATTCATTTCGTTATACTCACACTCGTCATAGAAACCATATATTCTGTTGATTGAAGCACACTCATGGTTTCCCCTCAGGAGGAAGAAATTCTCTGGGTATTTGATTTTGTATGCCAGCAGAAGGCAGATGGTTTCCAGAGACTGCTTCCCCCGGTCCACATAATCACCCAGAAACAGATAGTTGCTTTCTGGAGGGAAACCGCCGTACTCAAACAGCCTCAGCAGGTCGTAGTATTGCCCGTGGATATCACCTGCAAGACAAAAGGGGCACAGGGATCCATTGTCATTGTGTTTTGAGTAATAATTTGCCATTGACCCCCCTTCCTCCCCTTAGGTGACATTTAAAAAATAAACCACAAATCCAAATCATAAGATTCATACAAAGACACATATTCAGCTCTTGCTTACCACAAATCTTGAGAGGTGCCTCCAGCTCCAGGAGAATGGGCTGACTGAGGAAAATCTCCCTGGACTTCAGGCATAATCCACGAATCTCATTCTCCTGGAGCTGCACATTCTTGCCAGGCTTTGCGCCCCTGACTGCGACCAGAAAAGATAAACAAAACGGTGGTCAACAACAACAACAGCGGCGGCGGCGGCGGGAGACGGTCTCCACAACGCGGGAGCCGCGGTTGTACCACAACGTAACGTCACCGCGCAGGGATGCGCAGCGCTTGTTTTGAGTGGGAGAGAAACGCGGCGTTTGGGACGAAGTAACGGGGACGTTACGCATCGCTCCGTGCCCTTCTGCGGGTGCAGTCGCGTCCCCGAAGCGCACAGATACGGCTCGAAGAGCGACTAGTTAACGTTAGCTAATGCTAGCTAATAAGATGTTGAAAAACACGCAACAATTAGCGGCGTTTCTAGCTAACGTTACTCAAAGCGTCCATTGTATCATGCGGACAACTCAAGCAGCTCCGCAGCTAATGACGTGCAGCTCCACAATGCACAACGCCCTTACCTTCTAAAAGACGTTGGATGATGCTGTCAATGTTGAGTTTGTCAACATCGGCCATTGTAGCGTTGGAGTTAGTAAAATCGATTTAGTAAAAATACGTCTTGGCGTTTGCACACTTGAAAGCTAGCCCGCTAGCTCTCCGGGCATTAGCTAGCAGACGTTCGCTTCTTTCTTAAATATATTTGGCGTGACCCTGTTCCCGTGTAGCTGCTCCTTGACACGTATGATAAAAATCTATAACGTTACTTTGACATCGCGGTTTAAAATAATAAAAATAAAAAGAAGAGAAACATCCAATGGTGGCTTTTGGTGAGAAACGGGGACTAAAAAAAAATAAACGTCAACCGCACTAGCTGTCGGCTAGCGATGGTGCCCCGACTGTGTTCGCCTCTGCCGCACCTTGTGCAGCGTCAGCCGGCTGCTGCGGGCCGCTGCGGGCCGCTGCTGCCCCCTGCTGGACCGGGAGGACAACGAGTCACTGACCTCGAGACACAGCTGAGTTTTGGAGGCTAAAACTACAAGGAAATGGAACTTGATTGTCAAGTATACCTCTCACATATTTGATTACAGATATGACAGTCAAAGGACAACGTAATTGCATGGTATTGTTTTCTTATTTATGAATAATTAGTGTATTTGAACAATTGTTATAAAAAAGCTGGGTTAAGTAATTATCTCAAATGTATTGGTAAAGCATTTGAAATTAAGTCTAGTTGAGGTACGAACAACCACAAATTTGTTTGAACTTACTTGCTGTTTCATTGGGCTGTTTCTCTCCAATTTCACAATATGGCAAATTAAAGCAAAATCAAATGATCCTAAAATACTTGATGCACGTAGGGAAGCGACCCACCTGAAAATAGAAAGTAGTTCACTATTTTACAGTGAAGTGACCCAATTAGAAGATAGACAACAGCTCATTGCATGTTAGTTTTATAGTAGCTAGATCATTGTTCCTAAGCCATAATCTACTTGTTAGTAATAATGCAGTGTTGGAATGGCTTGAGCAGATAATTTTGCAGCAATTGTTTTCATGATATATTGACAAGGAACAAATGAATACAATTCCATACTTTTGCTGTTTTCAGTTGCTAAATTTAGTTTTCTCCTAGTCCAGGCCAGGTGACTGCTTCGTGGGACCCCCATGTGGGCCTTTTTTTATGTGGGAAACCCAAGAAGGGGGGGAAACCCACAGGGTATGGTGGGTTGGTGATGGTATCCTCCAGATCTTGATATTTCTGCTGCCAGGTCTCATTGTTTTTGCAGAAGAGATTTTTTTTTTTTTACTGTGAGAAACCCAAGAAGGGGGGAAAACCCACAGGGGAACCCCCCAGATGGCGGGTGGGGTATTGAGCCAAGTCCAGGCCAAGGATTATTGAGGACCTGCGTCCTCATTCATTTGTAAATGTCATGCTAATGGATATATTTTATTCCATGTGCTCCAGTAAGTGTTTTCTTTTCAACTTTATCGCAAATTAGCAACAAGCAACTAGAAAGTAGCCCGGCACAGCGTCTAAGGAATGTACCTTTTTTGTCTCATCTATTTCCCTCTTTTGGGCGAAATGCAAATATATATATATGATATTAGTTCTATGATAATATGTTAAATTATATTAGAAATTTGAAATATGATGCTATATTTAAGATATTAGATCTATGATATTAGAAATATAAAGTATAAAGCCATGTCTGCTGTATTAGTTCTACTATGTTATGTCATATCAGTGTTTCCCCTTGATTCCCTACTTGGGGGGGGCGGACGTACTGGAGGGGGCGCGGGCATTGGGGTGCGCGGGGGGATATAATTGGTAGGGAAAACACTGCATATGATATAATGTTATATAATATCAGAAGTACTAGAGCTACTGCTCAAACAAACATACATCTTAAAACACTGCTTCAAATTCCGCACTGTGCTATAACCTAGAGGACTGTATTCAGCTTATTAAATATCAACAATGGGAAATAAAGCAGCACACAGATCTGTCTTCCCCGAGCCAAATGGAAAAGAGTAATTGCAGTCTCTCACACTGGGATTAGCTGAAATCCTCACAGGCTTGAATATTTAACCTCTTGACCACAGGGGGAAAAACCCCACTCAACATCGTTAGTGGATCTTTGCAACTGTCTTCTCCAGTATTACCGACCCTCCCTTCAACTATTCATTCAGTGATATCAGAGCATGTCAACACGCATTTAACACCTCCTCGCTGTCTTCTCATTAACTTTTATTTGACCTACTACATACAGATCACATGCACATAGCACAGTAATATATATATATATATATATATACACACTAACATAAAATCCTGAATACAATCATGCAAAATTATGTTATTCATCCATTTGAAAGGGAAATTGTTTGTGTTCATTTGGTTTTGTCTACTATAGTTTGAGGGATATTTCAACACAAACACGACTCATTCATTTAAAATTTTAAAATACTATTCCACGTGGGTCCACGTCAGTTGGAAAGCTGACCAATCACTGCCTGGCTTACGGACAAATGAGCTTGGCTAACAACCGTGAAATATGTTGAATATTCTGCAAAAACTAAAGTGACTAGTGGGAATCAGGGAAATGTGTGAAAAACACTTTCTTTTTCATTGGTCGGTTTTGAGATTATGGTCTATTTCCAAAAAGTGAAAAATAAAACATCCAAAATACATATTTAGCTGTCTACTAATTTGTCTATTTTAAGTCCGTAGATTTTTAGCATGAGAAAGTGTCTAAATGTTATATTAAAGCACAACATTTCAAAATACTCAGTAGTAAGTAACCGACTGTAAAAGCTTCATGTTGTAATGTATTTGTAAAATGTTTCACTTGAAGTGTCTCCTCTTAAATGTCTGCAGTGAAATCAGCTACTCTTGGTCTTTCTCTTCACCATGCGTGATGATGTGAACCAGGTTGTTGTAGTCCAGGTTTCCCGCGACATCTGGAGGGAACGCTGCAAACATCTGTTCCATCTATGGGGAGGGAGCGAGGAGGGTGGGGTGAGGGGGGGGTCAGATTAATATCTGAATGTCCTTAATCCGAACTCAACAACGTCATACATTCCAACATCACCTCTTCTGGGGAGAACCTGTCCGCCTGAGTGGTCAACATGTCCGTCACACTGTGAAGAGAAGCGGCGGTTAGGAGCAGAGCGGACGTTCACGCCTCCATCAGCGACACGGCGCCGTGCTCTCACTCACAAGTCTTTCTTTAACGATCCTTTCCCCTCCGGATCGAAGACCTTGAAAGCGTTGAGGATGGTCTCTTCTGGGTCAGCACCTGAAGATGATGTTGAGTTGATGAAAAGTCTCCCTTTTTGGACCAAGAATTGTCATGCATACATTTAAATAGTTACAATCGGTCTCTGGGACGTGCAAAAGAACCTGCCTTCACCTTTTAGTTTCTCCCCAAACATGGTGAGAAAGATCGTGAAGTTAATCGGCCCCGGTGCCTCCTTCAGCATCTCATCAATCTCTTCTTGCTTGACATTTAAACGGCCTACAGATGGACAGCAGATAAGATTGAACCCAGTTCAGAGCTTCGACTGACAATTATTGTCATTATTGATCAATCACATCACCTGAGATGACTTCAGCTTGCTTCTTTTGTCTGAGCAACAGTTCCACAACTCTGGACCTGTTGCTCTAACAATGCCGACAGCTGTACTTCTATAACACAGGTGGTCCTACCTAAAGCTGCGAAAGTGTCTCTCAGGTCATTCTTGTCGATGAAACCGTCTCTGTTCTGATCCATGATGGTGAAAGCCTGCGGAAGGTTTAGTGTCACACTCAGCGTCAGCGTGAAGCTGCTCAAGGACAAACATCTGGGGCGGAGCACTGACCTCTTTGAACTCCTGGATCCGGGCCTGTTCGAACATGGAGAACACGTTGGAGCCGGCTCCGTCCGCTCTCTTCTTCGCCTTCTTGGGTGCCTGCGGGCGTTTTTGTAACAATGACGTGAGGACCGCGGCACGTGCGCTCATGATGAGGAGCCACGGATGGGTGACCTTCACCGAGACCGGGGGGGGGGGCAGTAACCGCAAAACCGGGGCTTGCATCTCATGACGGATCACAGACCCCCGTCCGTTTCTTATGGAAACATTTACTCAAACCTCCAGTTTTTTTGCCGGGGAGGGTGTGTGGGCAGCGGGCCACACACCCTCCCCGGCAAAAAACCCCGCAGTCCCCCGGATCACAGGGGTTGGGGGGTAACGGGGGATTATTCCATAGGGCCCGGGTGGTGACAGTGGTGGTACACTGAGCCCTGTTTGATCAGAAATCCCTGTGAGGCGAGGATTATGTCGAGCTATTTACACGACTGCCAAGGAACTGTCGTCGGAAAGCAGCGAGCGGGAATGCGGCGCGGTGACGTCATCCCGCTGGGATTCGCGGGCCTCTCGACAGCTGCTGTCTAACCGCTTGTTGTGGATTAGCGCTCGCGTCTCGTCGACGGGGACCTCTGGCGCTCGGTTTACTTCCTTATTTTGTTCTTAAGAGGATTCTTGGAATGTGCTCAGGGTCGATGCTCCACTCCGAGAGGAACCGAGCGCGGCTAGAGTTGACGGGTTTAATTGTTCTTCATTCGCGTTGTGCTCGCCGCCTGTTGCTCTTCTCCTTCTCTTCTCCTTTCTCCATCACCCCCCCCCTGACCTCTACTTTTCTCTCCTCTCTCTCCTTGTTTCCTTCTCTTTCCTCTCCTCTCCTCTGATGAAGGCCGTTAGTAGGAAAAGGAGGGAACAAGTTCTCTTCTCTTTATTTATATACTATATATAGTAAAAAAACAAACAAAATAATCAATAAATCATCAAAAGGCCAACCAGAGTGGCGTCCTATTGGTGATCTCTATGGTTGATCTGTATTCAGCGCCCATGCACATATCGACATGGGGTGTATGGATCCGCCGTCATTGGTGTGAGCAGAGGAAGATGCATAATTCATCAAAACGTCCCACGACAGCATACGATACACAACACAAAATGCAATACAACACGATTCAACACAACACCTCCCCTCACGCCACGACAATGAAATCCGTGCCCGCTCACCATGTTTCAGAGGAAGCCGATGAGGAAGCCTTCTCCCCGCTGCTTTACGACCGGTGGAGGCGCACGGAACCGGGGGTAGATATACTGACCCCTCTCCCCTTCATAACGGGGCACGTCGGCCTATAAATACCCCGCGCCTTCTTTAGTCAGAGACCCAGGTAGAGAGGACTAGCCCCTCGCCGCCATCACCCCCTTGTCAGAGTTCATGAGATTTAGGGATAATAGCCAAACGCACATTCCCCATTAGTGAGGCCCCAGAATAACAATAGGACACAGCTGTTGCTCAGGAAGGACAGTTGTTTGTGACCGACAGCTGCCCTGGATGGGATCCGTCGCCCGGGTGTCCAGTCGGTGCTCCGCGGGGACCTGACGCGGAGTTCTGATTGGAGCGGATTCTCGGTAGCACAATGAAGGGAACGGAGAGAAGAGATTATAAACAGCACGTCGTGCCGTGGAAAACATTCAGTGGGACGCCGTGTTCATACGATGCGGGTCGCCTGTGTCCTCTCGCAGTCATCGTCCGACAGCTTGCATTTATAACGCTGTGCTAGAGGATGAGGTGAGATACTCATTTAGTGGTCCTGCAGTGGGGGAATTTAAAGGATTACAGCAGCAAAGGTCAAAGTTCGGACCGCGGTACACTGCTCTGTTTCCTTAAACAGCTCTGTGTTGTATTCATGACCACACAGAGGCTGGTGTGTAAAATTAAGTTAAGTGGATTTTAAGTTCAAAAAGTCGAATCCCAAATACTAATATATCTTTATTTACATTAAATAATAAAAGTAAAGGAATGTTTCTCTGTGCTGACATGAGATTTTAAATGAAACATGTTTAACAGCAGGACTTTGTGACGTTGTAACTAGTATTTTAAACTGATCTTCTCCAAAATGCAACTAAGTTGGTTTAATGTGAAACACGAGACCTTTGCAGTGAAGTCAGAGACGTCTGGTCTCCAGCAGGAAAACTAGACTTCTCCAACATCAAGGCACATCAGACAGAAATTATTACTATTATATCTAAAACAACATCTTTAAGTGTCATTCTTAATGTAATTTTGGATGAATTGACCTTTATAGTATTCACAGGGCTGCAGACGTTTCGCCTCCTTGTGGCTGAGAATACATCCTTTGTGATGCAGATACTTCAACATGTCCCCACATGAAAAGCACGGGTGTAATTCAGAACTTAAAGACGGCATTGCAGGAACACGTTCCTGTCATTATGTGTGAGTCACAACGTCCGCTGTTAAAAAAAGTTCACCGGCTGCCCGAGAATGAACTAAAGCATGGATGTCGTCCAACTGCAACGCCCTTTATTTCTTTGACCGTTCACTTCCCTCCCTCGTCCAGCGGGTGGCGCTAGCGAGCCGCAGCATCCAGCATCTCACCTCAACCACACACATCTGGTCCTAACTCAGCTGCACTGAATCAACTCGCTGTTGTCCCGTCTGATTTCACACAAATACTCAACTTAACGTGAATATCGTAGCGTTTAGCTTCCATAGAATCCCTGTTATTAAATTGCGTCATGCACCAAATGAGGTATTTCATTATGTTGATTATGATTTCTGTTCATAAAATTTGCAAGACATTATCCCATTTCCTAATGAATATTTAAATAAACCTTAATCTGTTCCACTAATCACCCACCCATTACATGTCTTTCCTCTTAACACAGTCAAAGTGCAGATGCATCGCCTTCATCAATGCAGAAAAGCCCAATCAAGTATTGATTGGTTCACATAGGTGGCTGGAAGGTGGTGCTGGAAGGTGGTGTTTAAATTGTGAGCAGCTCTGATGTTGAGGAGAGGCCAACCCTTCTGGAGAAGCACCGGCTCCAGACTCTCGTGGTTTAGGGGGAAAAAAAGGTTAAGGAGAAGCTCAATGAAAGAGCGCTGGAATGTGTATAATTATAGTTCCACGCTAAGAACTGTAACGTTACACTGTTTGCACTCGTCCAGCCCCTCAGTCAAAGCAGAGACCTCTCGCATTTCGACAGACCATCGCCCTCTCTCGCTTCGATCCGCTTGTTTTGTTAAATGAGGGTTGCTACGGTAACCGAGGTAATAATTGCAGAAGAAGTAAAAAAAAAGACATTGTGAAACGTTCACACACACGTAATGTAAAGTATGTAATCGCACAACATCTGCCGGAGTCAGGGTGCTCTCCGGCCTTCTGTTAGAGGACATGTTGTTAGAGAACATGTTGTTGTCTTCAGAAACGGATCTCCCGCTGATGACTATATCGTAGTGGGAGCAAGAGAGAACTATACACCTCCTCCAGGACCAAAGGAGACCAGCGTTGTAATAGTAGTTGATGAGCATCGCGCGAGTAGCTTAAGGTGGTGGTTTAATTCCTGTCTTTTTTTGGCATCATTAAATCACCAAAAAAGCTGAAAGAAACTTCCATCACTCAGCAACAACGGGGTTTCCACGCCGATGTCCTCCCACCCTTCCCAGGAAACACAGTCATTTTAAATCCCTCATCCACTGACCTCATCAAAACAATGATTTTCTAGCTCTCGGATAATTTCCCTTCTGTGCGCACAGACCTCATTTTAAGTAACCATGCATTACTTTTTAGATTAGGCTTAAGAGGCCCGTGGTGCTTTGTTGATGACAGCGGTGAATGTGAGGTCAAGATTATATTCATAACTGATTGAGGTTATGAGTTTCAGCTATTTTTCAGGTGGAATCAGGGGGCCCGACGGACAAAGCAGCAGCCTCTGTGTGGGGAGATTGTGGGTTTGGGTCCCACCTGGGTCCCCCTCCCCACCCCACCCCCCCATAGCCGGAGCACACTGCTCCAATCTGAAAATGTGCGTCATTACAAACACTTCTTGCTTGATCGGCAGGCAAAACAGAGTTTTTGATCTGAGCAGAGTGGGCTGGTTGGGCTGCAGAGACAAACGGCACATGAGAATGACACATATAAAATATATATATAGATATATATATATATATATCTATATTTGTCTAGTTCATTACTAGATGTTTGACTAATAATCAGCTCCTCTGCTCAAATGCCACTTGAGTATAGACGCTTCATTTTAGATAATGGGTGTTTCCAAATTAATTTAGGAAATCACAAGATTTTCAGCAAATTTGCCATTTCTTTCAAATGTATAAATATGCTGTTTTGTCTTTCATGAGTCGTAACAATTCGAAGCTGGCTGAACAAAGCTCACGTGTGATTTCTGGTTTTCTTCTCCTTATCATCCACGACGTCTGCATTTTAGCTTCACCCTACAGCCACAAATAAAGTGCAATAAGCAAAACTTTTAATAATCTCTCCTCTCTCCCCCCCCGTAGGTGTTTGTCTATGGCAGAGGAATATGTCATTGTCCCCCGCGGTGCTAAAAATATGACCCACGAGGATATTATTTTCCTACCCGACACTGATATTCATACCGTCCAGGAGCTCCTGCTCGCCGTGAGGCCGGTGCTCGGTGACCAGGAGGTGGAACGTGGACCGAAACCGCCGGTTTTGATGGATACCTTCACTCAGTGATGAAGGTATAATTAATGGAGTAAATCACACAGTGCTCATCTGCACACAAGCTGGCGTCTAACACTGTGGTGTCAGCAGGGGGAGCAGCCGGCACCAGTGCCAGAGCAGCCTGACCGGAGCAATGACTTCTTTTATGTAGACAAAGAGCAACCTCATGCTTTATTAAGTTGGACAAAGTAAAGCCCCCGAGGGTTGCTATCTGCTTAGATTGGCGCTGTCATTATAAATATTTAGAGAGCTGTCAATTGCAGGAAGACAGTTGCTTTTTTGTCCCAATACAAAAGCATATGTTCATCGCCTTATAAAGCACGCACACATTATTGTACATTTTTATTATTATTATTTATTAATATGAATGCATATTTAAACAAAAACGGTGAATTTAGGCACATTGATACAAATGGCCCACATGAATATAAATAAAAACGTAATCAAATCAGGAATGATGTTAAATATTATCAAATGTGGGCTTAAACTATTACTAAGCGTTTCTATTTGTTTCACAGGTGATACCGTTTAGCTGTAGATGACGGGCTTTGAAGACAGAACAGATAACAGCCACATACACATACCGCAAGAATAAAGAAATGCTGCTTTCAATGTAGATGCATCACTCTAAAAGGTGGATTTAAATGTGCAGGTTTCCTCTTATAGACGCAGAGTTCCGTTGATATATTGGTCTATAATGTGCATGATGATAAACCGACACGTGGAATAACGTGAAGCGACATTGTAAATATAGTCGCACTTCATATGTCGATAATGCGCCTTCATTTCCAATCATGTTATGTTACTGTCCCGTGGGCTCCGGTAATAAACACTATATAAAAAGAAAATAAAAAGAGGAAAAAGTGGGCTTGGCTAAATTCCCTGAAGTCGACTAATCTACACATCATCTCCTTCCCTTTTCCAGACGGTATCGATCAACCCCGGACTCAACGCGCCTATCGATAACTTTGCCAAAAATCAAGTGCAATTCTTTCAGGTAATGTCGGGAACGGACACACACACACACACACACACACACGCGCGCACACACTTGCTCTTTACTTTTATAAGACCCGGGCACTTCTCCAAAAATATATCTACTCCCCCTCCTGCCCCCCCCCCCCCCCCCCCCGGTCCTCCCTCCCTCCCCTTGTTAATTCGGGAAAAAAGAAAACATGTTGGCAGACTTGTCAAACATATCGGCGCAGTCTCGCGTTCACTCAGTCCTCTATTTTTTTAATTTTTTTTTTCTAAAAAAGTGGGACCGCTGATCGCGCACGTTGTTTAGCGAAGGGGGGGAATCCAGCCCGCATATTTATTGCAGCCGCTGAAAAAAAATCTCCTCAATAACCCCCAAGATGGCCGCCGATGTAGGATCGATGTTTCAATATTGGAAGAAATTTGATCTACGGCGGCTCCAGGTTAGTGCTTTTTCTCACCTTTTTGTTCTCCCCCCCTCGCTCGTCTCTACCCCCCACCCTCCCCCCCGCGGTTCGGCTCCTCGCGGTTCTCCCCGCCGCGTTGCGCCGTTTCTTTCTGAGCGGGGAACGCGAGGCGGAAGCCGGCGGTGTTTTCGCATTGATAGTTATTAGAAATTGATCCCCCCCCCTCC